GCTCTGCTCTCCATTCCTTTGGTCACTTCAGTAAAGTTTTATGAATTATTGCTATCATTCTTTTATATATTTAATGTTTATTTCTTGGCATCTGATATGACGATGTTACTTTAACTTGACCCTTCTAAAAATGCTTGATTTTTTGAGCTGCTTATTGCAGAAATGTGGAACTATGTTGACTTTTGTATCTTGGTATTATATGATGATACCCTGAATACTTGTCATTTTTAATAATTGGCCTGTAGAGGTAAGTAATGTCACTTGCAAATAATGGTGATTTTATTTTTTCTTGTTCTTTTTTTATTCTTTGTGGCTTGAATTTTGCTAGAACCTAGGAGTAAAAGGGCTACCTTTTCTGGTTCCTCATTTTAAAGAGAGTACTTCTAATAGTTCCCCATTTGAATGACATATATTAGAGATTTTAAAACTATATTCTGTGTCAGGTTAAGTAAGTTGCCTTTATTTCCAGTTTGCTAGGCTTTTTAAAAATTATAAATTAGCCCTGGCTGGTGTAGCTCAGTGGACTGAGTGTGGGCCTGCAAACCAGATGATCATGGTTTGATTCCAAGTCAGGGCACATGCCTAGGTTGCAAACCAGTTCCCAGCAAGGGGACTCATGAAAGACAACCATATATTGATATTTCTCTCCCTGTCTCCTTCCCTTCCCCTCTAAAGCTAAATAAATAAAATATTTTAAAAATGATGAACTAATGGGGTGGTTTTTCTTTTGGGCTTATAGTTTATCTCCTTCAGTCTGTTAAGTTATGTAGTAAGTTATATTTATGTGTTTTCTAATTTTGAAACATCTTTGCATTCCTGAGACAATACAGAGTTATCAAGATGAATTTATTTTTTTATACACCGAGGAAGTTCATTTTCTAATGTTTTATTTAGGACTTTTTGTATTTATATTCATGAGTAAGATGGGCCCTCGATTTTCCTTTCTTATCCTCTTTTTACCTGGTTTGCATATCAACATCGTACTGACCCTATAAAACTGAAATGGCTGGTGTTCATCTTTTCTAGTTGCTGAGATAATTTGTAGAAGATTCAAATGATCTACTTCCTGAAAATTTGATGGAACTTGCCAATAAAACCGTCTAGGCCGGGAACCTTCTTTCTGTGAATACTTTTTATAAAGATTTTTAACTTATTGTTTACAGAGAGGGAAGGGAGGGAGAAAGAGAGAGGAACATTCATCAGTAGCCTATCTCACACCCGCAACTGGAGACCTGGCCCCAGGCCCACACATGTACCCTGACTGGGAATTGAACTGGCAACCTTTCGGTTCACAGGCCAGACCTCAATCCACTGAGCCGCACCAGCCAGGGCTCTTTCTGTGAATATTTTTTAACTATAGCACTTATTTTTTTTTAAGTGTTTGGCTTTTTTATGGTTATGTCTCCTCCATTCATACAACTACCTACTTGTGTTTCTCCCTCTGATCAGTTTATTGTGAGGTTGATGTTTTAAAACTTAATTTTCTTTGTTTTTGTTTTTTGGTTTGCTAATTTCTGCCCAAATTTTTAGTATTTTAGCATCTCTATGTTTCTTCTGGATTTATTCTGTACTTTTTCTAATTTCTAAGTTGGGCACTTAATTCCTAGTGGGTCTGACTTTGGGCAGGTTTAGCCCCCTTAGGTTTGTGTAGTTGGGTCTGGACGGATTCCATCAAAGCTTCTGACCCAGAAAAGACTAATAGTCAAGACGTGCTCTTCCTTTTGCTGTTGTTCACCCCTCCAGCGGAAGACTCACCCAGGTGGTGGTCTGAGGGACAGTTTCCTTTATTGGACTGTTTCAAAGCATGTGCTCAGTATTTCAGTGTGTCCTTGGCTTAATTGTGCACACGCGTTTCCTCTTTTAGCACTGTCTTGTTATGTGAAAGCACACTAATGTGCAGAGCTGATAAAATTTAAAGAGAATATAACCCTTTGTGCTATAGATTAGGAACCCACCAAAATGAGGTGGTATTGTCTAAAGACACAGCATTTTCAGAATGAAGTGAAAACCAGGTCATGAGACTTTGTAGCTCGTTCTCTTTCCACTGCACACAGCACACCTCAACGCCAAAGAGTGTTCTGTTGATAACGTGGCAAGGTCACCTCCATGACCTCGTTCAATGTGATCAACAGAAACAGCGGCTGGGGTGAGTTGCAACATTAACAATGAAACAGCGTGCCTTGCGTGCACGCGAGCGCTTGTGTGTGTTGTGCTCACCATGACTGATTCAGTGTTTACTGGTTGCAGTTGTGCGCCACAGATTCATCCTGCAGCGTTTCAACATGAACTTAAGTCTGTCTTTGAATCTTGTTCTTTCCACCTGTTGACTTCTGACAAGCGGAAAGGGTTCGAGGAGGGAAACTAGTGAGGGATCAGAGGTTAAACAACCACTTATTTGAACTGTGCAGCACAGACCCAGTGTTGTTTATTCCAGTGTGGCAGCTGACAATATCCTTGTTTCTGAGGAAAAATAAAATTAGTATTTAGACATGATGTATCTTGCACGCTCATTTCAAAGGAAAGAAATGGCATTCGTTTTTAATTCTGCTGAAGTGTCTTTTATATTCCTTCTGGGCTCTAAATGTTTTTCTTGGAACATATGTACTAGATTATGAATTGGCTTCTTTGAGGCAGAGGTCTTCTTGAACAACTGGTCCTTGATAGCCTCGAGAGAGGTGTTGCACAAGTTCCAAATATTCTGATTTGAAGCCAAGGGTTGGTTGACTATGTCACTTTTGCAGCTGTAGTTTAAATGAGAAACATCCTACCTTCTCAACAGAAAGTTTACAGAGATCCATATTTTTCAAAAGGCTTTTTTTAACATAAAACTTCCAAAAGAGGTGTATTAGCTTTAGCTTGCTCGATTTAGAATAAATGCAGTAGAACAAATTGAGATTAGAGGTTCGTACCTTTGAGAATATTTCCTTAATGAGAAGCAAACACTCTTCCTGTTGTTCCATTGAGATGGAGTATAGTGTGAATTTAAATTTTATGTTACTTTAAGTAAATTTCTCCTTCATTCTCCCCTCATGTCTTCAAGAATTTTTAACATTTATTTTCAAAATTCCGTAAATCCCGGTGAGATCTAGTGGTAAAACTACATACAGGTTATAGGCAACTCATCCATCTTTTGATGTGCTAAAAATAAACCCAAGCCTCCCAAGCATGAACTTGGAGGTTTAGTCCCACCACTGATCCTACCACGCACACAAATCAGGCACCTGAGCACACGAACAGAAGCTTTCACTGGGTTTCCAGAATGTTGCACAGCCTTATAGCATTGCCACATATTGGATTCTGTTAATAGACTGCAAGAAAGCTGTTTTGCTAGATGCAGTCCCCTAGAACTCAACTTCTAAGGTACCAGTGGTATTGACCCTCTGCATGGGGGAGCTTCCCAGATGCTAACTGCTGCTTTGGCAGTGTCCTGGCCTTACCTAAAATCCTCACTTTCCTATTCAGCTTTTAACTTCCGTTCAGTGCTCCTTCCTTTCCATCTCTGACATTTCTCCTGCAGACTCTTCCTGAAGCATTCACTCCTTCTCCCACTTATAACTCCTAAAAATAGCATTTATAAAACATAATATAAACAGAAAAGTAAGTGACTAACATAAAGTCTTAGTTTTGAAAAGTAAAACTAAAAGGCCATGAAAACAAATATCAGTATTTCCTGATACTCAGAAAAAAAGAACAAAGAAACCTGGAGCCCCTTGCCGTGTTTATAAGACTGAGTTTAGGATGCAGAGTAACTGAGTTTGAAAACACAGACATTTGAGTCAGACAGATCTCGGCTGTCGTCTGAACTGCGGCCCGTGGTATCAATGTGCCCTTGAGTCAGTTGTGTCTCCTTTATGAATATCCTTTCTTATCTGTACAACTGGAGCAATAATATCACCTGCTACTAGGTTTGTTGTCAGTTTCAAGTAGGAGAACAAATGTCAAGCCATCTGCACAGGACATGGCACATGTCCTGTGTGCCACGTCCTTCACTGAAGGCACAGTGAAGGTCGAGCGTATCATTATTGTTACACACATTGGGGGAAACTTGTACAGACCTGTTTTTTCCTTGGAATGACAGACTTTGGAACTAAAATTCCTCTAAAATGATAGGGTTGAACTTAAAAAAAGACAAAAACAAAAACCCACCCACTTAAAGAGTCCCTTCCAGCTCACTGACTACCTCTGGACTAGGATTGATAAATTGATTTACAGCCTGAAAAATTTATCTCATCGAGGCTTCTTATGAAGGAATAAGAGTCACAAATTCCAAAATGTCAAGAGGGCTGATGAAGTAGGTGAGGAAACGGGGATGGGATTTCTTGGCAAAGGCACCTTTTCTGAAGGGGTGAAATATTAAGCACCAGGATCCTGCCTGACAAAGGAATGAGACGGTCATGTGTAACATTGCAAATACACATTTGGGTAAAAATAAAGTAAGAAACAGACACTAGTGTATTCATATGGATCAATTTTCTTTCATTCAATGGATGAATGAGCAAATGAATGAGCCCAACATGTAATTAAAATATTTATTTTCAATATCTTTAATATCCTGTTTTATTCCATGAAATGAAACATTGAAGGCCGCTGAAAATGCCTTTCAATTATTATGGAAAAACTCTTACCTCATGCAGTTCTGGGTAGCTGGAAGCGGAACAGTACAAATTGAGTCATTCTGAGGAGCAAGACATCAAATGGAATATGGAGGGTCACTACTTATTTTTTTGTCTTCTTTCATCAAGGATAAAGGGAAATGGTCACCTTTCTAATTAATTATGTAGGGAAAAAAAGAATTTTTCAAAAAGGACCACATCTACAAACACTTACAGATTCAGGTCTTAGACTATCTTGGCCATGAACTCTGAATTGTCTCGGTAAATGAGTAGACACAGGTTGATACTAGGGTACCGAGAAAATGACTGATAGAACACATACTCTTGTTGGAAGTGGAATGCTTCTGACCACCCCTATTGACAATCTAAAATCTTGTGTTTCTACAGGGTTCGGGGACCAGGAGAAACTGTACTTCTGTAAATGTTGCTGGTTCACTTTTCTCTAAGACACTTCACAGATCAGAAGGTCAGAGAACCATAAAGATTCCTTATCCCCTGTTGCACCCAACTTATTATATTCTTTCATGTATGTCTTTTTCCCAAATAATACCCAAAATAATTGTAGATGGTTTTCTTTTTACCTTTTCAGATTTCAAGTTGGAGGTTTTTCAGTTCATAATATGAAAATGCTGCTGATCTTGTTCTTCATAATAATTTACACCCATGTTTCTATAAACCAAGATTCTGGTAAGAAAAAGAGTGGAAAGAATTCTTAATTATCATTTTGGAAAATAGATAATATGTGATTTTGACTGACTTAAAAGTTGAGTTTTGTTTCACTTTGTTTTGACTTTGATAGTGGTCAGGGTAGGGATTTTAGCTCCATTTCTTTTGAAGATTATTTATTCCTTGTAAATTATAGAAAGATACAAGAGCTGTTATTTTGTCCTCAGTTTCAACCCCTTTTAAGTCTTCTGGGAGGCTGCAGAAAATTCTGTCTCTTACTATTAGGCTCAGTCCTGAAAATTTTGGAAGGTCTCTTCCTAACTCACTTGTGCCAAAACATTATCGGGGTTAAGCATCCAGATTTGACTCCAATTTAAACTGTTTATCCATTATTATTTTAAAAAGTACTTTTACTCTGAGGAGAAAGCACCATAGCTGCCTACTGTCTGTCAGCAATATACATCCCACGGACTTGAACTCAAAATACTGGCCTACCCCTATCTGCTTCAACCTCTTCTTAAATTATTCTCAGACTGATCACTTTATGTTCAGGGCTACCTACGTTGTTTTTTAGAGCTTTCTCAAGGACTCTGACCTTGGTGGCAAGTTTTCCGAAGAGCTAAACTAAGACTTTGCAGACATCTTCCTTTGATGTCTCAGTGGATTTGATATTAAGCTTTTTAAAGCTTAATATCACTTTCCCCGAATTGTTCCACAGTTCAGACATAGTGATGGCGTTTAGCAGAATCTGAATACAGCTCATGTGCCAATTGTCTACACTTCCTTTCTCCACACAAGATGTGGCATCTATCCATGAACAGGTCGAACTGTCCTGGGCAGGGCCTGCCTGACAGTCCTCAGAGGGGCTCCAGCCTTCTCTTCGAGGAAGATATTAAGTCACCTTCTCTTATTTCTTCCCTTACAATGCTGCAGACTATGTGACCATCAAAGGAAGCTCAAGCTGGTTGAAATTAGGTGACTTAGAAGGCAAGAAAGAGTGGTTTTATCTACTATGCCTCAGACTGATATAAAGAGAATGAAATAAGAGGCAGGGGTGCCCAAGCTGGTTGCCTAGCAGCTGTAGATAGAAAAAGATTGAAGTTATTTCCCTGTGTTAGAATCTATCTAGTAATCATTTCAGATAATCAGAATCTTAGAACAAGGAGGGACCTTAGATATTTTCTCATTAAATCTACTTGTGTTAAAGGTGAGGAAACTGAGGCCCAAGCGTATTGAATGGCTTGGCAGAACTGGCAGAGTTAGTCAGGACTTCTTTTACTTGTCCAGTTGCACCATATTTTCCTAAATATACACCACCCAGACTCACACAGACATTTCCCTTCCTTCCCCGAGTGAGAAACGGATCATATACTAAAGCGGTGAGACCTGTGAATTCAAACCAACAGATCACCCATAAACAGCATTTTGTGCTTGAACGGAGTGATTCCCTATCCCATTATATGTAGAAAATATAATTCTACATACCTGGCATTGAACTTGGCATCAAATGAAGCCTTAAAAGTTCAGCAAAGTGTTGTATTCCTATAGGAAAAGTATATGTTTAGTATCAATAGAAACTAAAACCATAACTGTTTTCCCATCTTAAGGTATATTGGTTTCTATCACATGTTACATATGTGAGAGTAAATTTACCAGTTGTAGTGCTCACTTACTCATATGATTTATCAAGAACTATTGTAAAGCCCTGGCTGGTGTAGCTCAGTGGATTGTGAACCAGACCTGGTATAGCGCAGGTCTGTGAACCAGAGGATCTCGGTTCAATTCCCAGTCGGGGCACATGCCTGGGTTGCAAGCCAGTTCCCTGCAGGCCAGTTCCCAGCAGGGGACACACTAGAGGCAACCATACATTGATATTTCTCTCCCCCTCTCCTCCCCCTCTAAAGATAAATAAATAAATAATTTTTTTTTGAAAAAAGAACTATCGTAAGTAACTTTAAAATAGAGTAAGGCAACCTCATATTTTTATGACTTTTGAGTGCTTTTTACACTTCATCCATTGGACACTGACACACAGAACTAATGTGTCTGTGACATAACCGGGTTATTTTGTTATGGAGTTTACACTGGAATCATACTGAGGGATTATCTTCCAGATACCTCCATTCAAAAAAACTTGAAGCAGTTTAGTTCTCAATTAAAATTTTCATCCTCTTGATATAAATTGAGGTCAAATTCTGAAAGCAAAAAAAAAAATGATACAAGGGTAAATTATCTACTAACAATACAAAAACTCAGGAGTTTTTACTCTTAATTCACCTATTTCTAATTAACTAATTCCTTACCAAAGTGATGCTTAATTTTGTAATTGGTTTAAGTGAGAGGATCTATAAAAGAATTAGCCTAAGAAACAAATATTTTTTCTTGAGAGGAAGTGTAATTCCAGACTATTATTTTCAGTTCATTGGGAAGGTATTTATGAAAAATACAGATAAAATAGGAAAATACATTTTTCCCCCTATGGTTCACATTAAACATGGTAGTCTGTTTTTAAAGTTTATGCTTCATTTGTTTGTGTGTGGGTTTGCAGACCCCGAGTATGCAGATGTCGTGTTCCTGGTGGACAGCTCTGATCACCTGGGAAATAAGTCCTTCCCTCTTGTGAGAACATTTATCAACAAGATGATTAACAGTCTCCCCATAGAGGCCAACAAATACCGCGTGGCCCTGGCCCAGTACAGCGACAGGCTCCACAGTGAGTTCCAGCTGAACACCTTCAAGAGCAAGAACCCCATGCTGAGCCACCTCAAGAAGAACTTCGCGTTCATGGGCGGCTCCCTGCGGGTAGGGAATGCTCTCCAGGAGGCTCACAGGACCTACTTCTCCGGCCCGGCCAACGGGAGAGACAAGAAACTGTTTCCCCCGATTCTGGTGGTGCTGGCTTCGGCCGAATCCGAGGACGACGTGGAAGAGGCTTCCAAGGCTCTGCGGCAAGACGGGGTGAGAATCATCTCTGTGGGGCTGCAGACAGCCTCTGAGGAGAACCTGAAGGCCATGGCCACGGGTCAGTTTCATTTCAGCCTCCGGACGGTCAGGGACCTCAGCGCGTTCTCCCAGAACATGACGCAGATCATCAAGGATGCGGCTCAGTACGAGGAAGGAGCAGCCGATGATATTCTTGTTGAAGGTGGGCTTAGGGTGCTGTATAGAAATTATAATAAAATGCTTTGTTAAAAAATTAACTTGGAGGGAGAATTAAGACTCGGTAACCATCCCTTTCCCCAAAACAGCCCGGCCGTATTTTTAGCTATTAGCTAAATGTGCAATGGGGCCCATTGATTGTGGCCGTTTTAAGTTTAGCGAACACCCCACATGCCTTGGTGGTGCATCTTTCTCTTCGTCCACGTTGTTTGTAATTTACAGGCTTCTTAAAATTCAGGGACGCTTTCTCCCGGCCACCAGCTGATCTCTGAGCTATCTCCCCCTGGGCTTTGCTTGCTATGTGGTTTTATTACCGGTTCCTTTAAAAGGTGAATTTTATTTCTGGAGAAATCCTTGACAACAGAACATCAGAGCTGGAAACAACTTTAAGTAGTCTAAACTTCCTAATCTGCAGGAAGGAGTCTGCAGGCATCCTCAGAGGTGGAGACATAACCTGGGCGGGGCAGACGGCAATTTGACCTCAGAGCTAGGTCGGGCCTATGTCGCTTCACCCCCACGCTGCCTCCCCTCCTGCCTCTCTGTTCTGAAAGAACTGCTCCACCTCCATCCTGCTGTCTGGGGACTTCAAACTATCCTATTAATTAACACAGGACAAGGGTTTATGAACATCATTTAAGTAAGGGACAGGGGTGAGCCAGTCAATACCAATTTGTTCAAAGTGTACAAGCAACATAGGAAACGCCCATTATTTCTGGTTAAATTGAATGACATGATATATAAAATGATCTATTGTTAATGGAGAATGCTTTCCTTGTGCTAATCTCTGAAACTATAGATCCTATTACTAGTCTCTTTGCCAAATAGATTAATGGAAAAGGTACAGTTGGTGTCCCCATACCATCCCTTAGGAATATTTGGATTATGCTGATTTGAACAGCGCTGATATTTAATGACTTTAATATGACAGTAGTAGCTGCTGTTCACTGAATGACTCTTCTACACCAGGCTCCACACTATCTCATTTAACTCCCATAACAACTCTGTGAGGTAAATATCACTATTACCTCCAATTCATAGAGGAGGACATGGAAGCTCAGAGTTTAGCTCAGGTTTAATATTTGCACCCAGGACCCTCTGATATCAGCATCGAAATCACTGTGTGTATCTTCTTCTTTCTTTAAGAGCAAAACAAGCTCTGGTAGATGTTCCCCACACTTTGTAATGCCGAGCAGAGATGCCGAGCCTCCAGCTAAATTTGTGCTCCTTCCTTCCTTGCCCACACAGTGTGCCAAGGCCCTTCAGTGGCTGATGTTGTCTTCCTGTTGGATATGTCCATCAACGGCAGCGAGGAGAACTTAGACTATCTTAAGGAGTTCCTCGAAGAAAGTGTATCTGCTCTTGACATAAAGGAAAATTGCATGAGGGTTGGCCTCGTGGCCTACAGCGATGAGACGCAGGTGATAAACTCACTGAGCAGGGGCATAAATAAGTCGGAGGTTCTCCAGTCTATCCAGAGCCTCTTTCTTCAGGATGGGAAGGCCTACACCGGGGCCGCCCTCAGAAAGGTAAGGGAGGAAGTGTTCAGCGCATACAACGGCAGTCGGAGGAATCAGGGGGTGCCCCAGATTGCCGTGCTGGTGACCCACCAGCCATCAGAAGACAACGTGACCGAGGAGGCTGTCAACCTCCGGCGCCAGGGTGTGGCCGTCTTCACCCTGGGCATGGAGGGGGCCAGCGAGAGCCAGCTGGAGAAGATCGCGTCGCACCCTGCTGAGCTGTATGTCTCCAAACTGAAGACCTTCTCCGATCTGGCCGCTCACAACCAGACATTTCTGAAGAAGCTGCGGAACCAGATAACACACACAGTCTCTGTGTTTTCCGAACAAACCGAAACTCTCAAAGGAGGTACAGTGTTTTGCTGAGAGAAGTACTATTCAATCCTTTTTCTTTTGTCTTGTCTTTTATATATTCTGTCTACAAAAGCAATTGATGGCCTATAAGATGGGGAGTTAGAATAAGTTCCTACTTTTTTACTTGAGCTTGATCACATGAAATGTAAGTGGGGAAAATAAAAGCTATTGTGCTGTTGGAATGGGTCACGAGGATTTCCCTTTTTACCTCCTCTTTGAGCAGCTTTGATTGGAATCTTTTCTGCTTACAAAACACCCCAGAAAATTCTACCCTTTGCTATTTTTCTCCCTTCACTTTTCCCTTCTCCTTTGCCTCTCATGTTCCCCTCCTCTTTCCTTCATTTCTTTTTTTGTACCTTTTCTCTCCTTTCTCCTCTCCCCTCATCTTCAAATTCCAATTTAGAGAATGAACAGGGGGTATAATTTGGGTTAAGGACATTGTAAGTAATTTGTTGTGAAGTACTATTCTAGTTTCTGTGAGTTTAGAGAGACAGATAATATATTTTATATACTTCATGTATATACACATGTATGCTCTAAATATTTTGTGTACGTATATACACATACAAGTATATTCTTCAACAAATATTTATAGTATGTTCAGGATAAAAGTGCCATTGTCTGCACATATAAGCCACTTGCAATACCCCTAGTTTTGTTAACTGACCAGGAGTGAATGAGGAGTAACTGGTTCAGGATTTCAAGAAAGAGAGCTCATGGGTCCACATGTTCAGTTAAAGACTTTCTCCATCTCACATCACACTGCTTGTCTTTTTTGTGAAGCAGTTACTCACTAATGAGAGGAGTGACTTCTCATTCTTCATTCATTGAAGGAGAAAAGTCACCTTCAAATTTTCATTCTAATCTTTTACTATGTCCCAGTTCACCTTGGTTCATGGCAGAGAATTATCAAAATAGTCTTAACCCATCAAAAAAATTCTTTTGGCTGAACTGATGCTACGATTCTCCTAGGAGAGCATGCGTTTCACTCCTAGGAGCTCTTCTTCCCCCTTTTTTTTGTTGGAAGATGCTCATATTTATTGTTATTACCATCTGCTCCCATTTCTTCTTCACACTTGTCCCGGTGCCACCCTCAACTTCTTGGTTCCCTTTCAGGTTGTGTGGACACTGAAGAAGCAGACATCTATCTGCTCATTGATGGATCCTGGAACATCCAGGCCACAGACTTCCAAGAAATGAAGACGTTCCTATCAGAGGTTGTAAAGATGTTCACCATCGCTCCCCAGAACGTGCGGGTTGGGGCTGTTCAGTACGCTGACAGCTGGGATTTAGAATTTGAGATCAATAAATACTCTAACAAGCACGACTTGGGAAAGGCCATTGAGAACATCAGGCAGATGGGCGGGGGTACGCACACAGGCGCAGCCCTGAATTTCACCCTGGGGCTGTTGCAAAAAGCAAAGCAGCAGCGAGGAAACCGAGTGCCCTGCCATCTTGTCGTCCTGACAAACGGCGTGTCGGAGGATAGCATCCTGGAGCCTGCAAACAGGCTAAGGGAGGAGCTCATCCACGTTCACGCCATCGGGGTCAAGGAGGCCAACCAAACACAGCTGCGAGAGATCACGGGCGAGGAGAAGAGGGTGTACTACGTGCATGACTTTGACGCTTTGAAAGACATAAGAAACCAAGTTGTTCAAGAAATCTGTGCTGAAGAAGGTAGGAGAATGGTGGCTTTCCCTGTGGACTGCCTGCAGCTCACAGGTTGCCTTCCTGCAATACTTGGCATGGCAGGTTTGGAGAGACAAATTTCCAGGTTGAAATTTGTTGACTTGTGTAGCTGTGTTTGTTTTCAGAATAAAGCTGAGGGCCCATTATAGTGCTGTTCTAACTTGTACCCGAGGCAAAAAGATACTTGGTGCCATTTGCCTTTATGAGTATTAAATAGCATCTTCCTACAAATCCCTACTAGCACAGACATTTGCTTAGGTACTGAATGTTTAAATGATCAAATGATTTCTTATTTTAAGGAGTACTTCAGGCTTATTTAAATTGATTTTTAACAAAACTTTTATGAATTCTTGTAGAGCTGTAGCAGTAGTTTCAAACCTGGGGCCGGGGGGATTTTGCCCCCTGAGGGAACATTTGGCGACGTCTAGCGACATTTCTTGTTGTCATAACTAAGCGAATGCTATTGGCATCTCAGGGGTAAAGGTCAGGGATACCGCTAAACATTTCACAGTATCCTGCAATGCAGACTACCCTCCATGATGAAAATAATCCATCCCAAAATGTCTAGTCTTGAGGTTGACAAACCCTGAATAATGCTCTACAGCAAATTACTAAATTACTAAATAACAAACAGAATAGTTTCACTTTACTACTGCCTCTACTGCTTTATTTATCTGCTACCAATGTTACCAATCCTTATCTTCAATATAGAATTTTTTGGGTTGGATTTCGCTGTTCACTCTTATTTTTTTTACACAAGTAAACATTTCACTTTTTTCCATGCAGCCTGCAAAGAGATGAAAGCTGACATCATGTTTCTGGTGGACAGTTCTGGCAGTATAGGAGATGTTAACTTTGAGAAAATGAAAACCTTCATGAAAAACCTGGTGAGCAAATCTCAGATTGGCGCAGATCGTGTGCAAATCGGCGTAGTCCAGTTCAGTGACATCAATGAGGAGGAGTTTCAGCTCAACAAATACATGTCCCAGAGTGAAATTTCAGATGCCATAGACCAAATGCAACAGATGAAACAAACTACAATGACGGGCAGTGCCCTGGCCTTTGTGTCTCAGTACTTCAGCCCCGCCAAGGGGGCCCGACCCAACGTCAGGAAGTTTCTCATCCTCATCACTGATGGCGAAGCTCATGACATAGTCAAGGACCCAGCAGAAGCACTTCGGCAAGATGGCATCATTATCTACTCTGTGGGGGTGTTTGGCTCCAATGTCACCCAGCTGGAGGAGATCAGCGGGAGGCGGGAGATGGTTTTTTATATTGAGAATTTCGACATTCTGCAGAGCATTGAAGACAATCTCATTTTTGGAATATGCAGCCCCCGGGAAGGTAGGCCTGGGCTTGTTCACTAGTGGGGCTATGCAGGTACCATATGTCCCTGTGCGTCATTATTTCTTGAGTTAAGTAGACTACTATTTGAACATTGGAAACTTTTTGTTTGATTGGAATGCTTATCCTAGGGGCTTTTGATTTCCATAGGAAATGTGACTTTCCTCAACTGAAATGTTGAAGTAGAGTCACTACGGAGCAATTTTGATCCACCTAGATTCTTTCCCACCTAGATTCGTTCATTTGTAGATGAAGAGCCCTGGGGTGATGGGGCTTCCATTGAAGAGAAGTGGTATCACAGTGGGTCTTAGGTCAAGTTTCCTAGAGGTGGAAGCTGAGTCAGGGATTCTCATGGAAGTGGTTTATTGAGGGTACGTTTTTGGAAAGCAAGGAAGGAAAGCAGGACAGAGCATGAGTAAACTTAGCCAGAAGGTGGTCTTCGTGGAATCAAGCTTCAGCTGGATCACGTGGGAAACTTTAGAGCATGAATTACAGCACGGAATCTGTTCCACTTTGAGATGAAAGGCCCCGGCTGAGTCCTTGGGCCGTGTGTGGGCGACCCAGGCAGGCATAGAGGGGCATGACCTGTTGGCAAGGTGGCTGCCCTTTGACCTAACATCTACTATGTGTTAGCATATTTTACAGTTTTTAAAAATTATTACTTATATGAAATGAGATGATGTTTGTGAAAATACTTTGAGGCTTCTTAAATCCTATAGAGGGGAACTCGAGCATGGGATGCTTCAAAGAAGTAAATAGTAGAGTCTCTGCCCTCCTCCCATGCAACTTCAGAGGAGTGAAAGTGACAAAACACAAGTTCTGTAAACATAAGGAATTTATTCATACTGTGACTCCTGGGGCTGAAGACAGAAGCATTCTGGAAAAATCTCTGTGAAGGAGATGGTCTCAATGGAGTTTTGAGGGAAAGGGAGAAACACTGTTCCATTCAAGTAACAGTTCTGTTCAGCGCCCACCGGAAGGTTGATTGTGGTCTGCATTTTGTGGTAAAAGGAATATGCCTGCAGTGTTTTTGCTGGTAGCTTCACTGAGATTAAATACATATTCTTTGAAGGGCGCTTAACGCCCAGGAATCTGCCCCCAGTCCTCCGGGTAATCCAGACTCCCCAGGGCAGCTGAAGGCCAGAAGGATGTAGTTTTTTTCTTTTGTGGCAGCAGCCTATCAAGAAAAACCTCGATTTTTTTCCTATATAGGAAAAATCCCAGTTCTTCCCTACTGTGTTTCTTTCCCATTGTCCTCTTTACTGTTCACATGGCACACTTCTGACACTTGTGGTCACCATATGTATAGAGGTTTTTTTCCCCATATCGACAAGCAGTTTTCAGATATCAGCAGGGTGTCCAAGACTTCAACTCAACTCAGACACCATCTAGCTGGAGACAGCATCAGGCCCCACAGACCGAGGGCCCAGTTCCATAAAACTGCCCCCAACCCCGCTTCAGACACCCGTCATAAGCTCAGGTCATCACCGGGGCTTCAGACCGACCTGCTATAGATGGGAGGCTCAACGACCCTCTCCTTGGGCTCACAGAACTTAGGAAAATGGTTACATATCAGTTACAGGATATGATAAAGGATACAGATGAACATCCAGAAGAAATGCGCAGGGCAGGTTACGAGGGAAGGGATGCAGAGCTATCGCGTGCGTGCACCACATCCCACGCCCTCTCCGAGCACCCCTCTCTCCCAACACCTTCCTGTGGTCACCAAACCCCAAAGCTCTCTGAACCCCAGGGAGGATCCATCATTAACTCCATTTTCAGCCCTTCTCCCTTCTCAAGAAAGTGGGGGCTGAGGCTGAAAACTCCAAGCCTGGTCTTTCTGGGGACCAACCCTCATGCAGGAGCCATTCCTTCCAGGAGACAACAGGAAGGAAACACACAGCAGGGTCCCATCCAGAGTCATGGCATTAAAACAAATGGCACTCTCATCACCTAGAAAATTACAAGCCTTTCAGGAGCTCTGTGTCAGCAACTGCAGAGACCAGTACATATTTTCTATCATCTTATTCAGCCTTTCTTGAAGTCAGGGGGGTGAGGGTAAATATACTGGCCCTTGGGTTTTCAACAGCCCTACCACACAGCAAGCAAATGGCTGGCAAATGAAGGAAAAGTGGTGAACCTCTGGTGGAGGTGTGGGCAAATACTCTCTCACTGTTCCATTTCTCCCGAGTGGATGGGCTAGCATTTGGAACCTACCTTGGGGAGGCCTGCAGAGACACAATACTACACAAGGGCTAAATCATTAAACACCTGACAATTCCACTTCTCCAGAACCTGTGAGTTGGCGTTAGACCTCTGCCCTTGTAGACAGAATACACGACGTACACGTGGATTTAAGTATTAGCTGGGTCTTTTCTGTTTTACTTTCCCATGGCTTGACCCAAGAAAGAAAAAGTCAATGGGAGTGTCATGCTAGGACAGCTTAGTTGGTCCAAGTGCAAAATTAGGTTATTTCTATGAGGAGGCCCGATAATGAGAACAGATAATGTTTCCAGAATGCCAAACAGGGAGAAAATGTAACCTTGAAAAGTCAGCCATCATATAACCATGAAAAAAATAAACAGTGTTGCCAAATTCATTTTCACTTGGTCATTTCCCCAAGGTTTATCTTAAGTATAAAATCTCATGAACCCTGTGGCTTAAACAGACAAATCTGTATAAATGAAAGCACATGTTGAAGGAACTGTTTATACAGGAAAATTTCCATAGTATTGTGATTTTCTCTTTCCATCCAGAAGCATGTTCTCCTTCCCACCCCAACAGAAGGCTTCACTTTACATCAGAGTTGTCCTAAAAACACACCCGAGTATTATTACATACAGGAGACAGATATATGTGTACTGTGTATGTTATCTAAGGAGTGGACATTCTAATATATGGCTTGATGCCATGGAGAGGAGACACAACTAAAAAGCAGGTGAGGGCAGGTGAGTCTCCCATGATGTCCAACGCTAATCTCATGGTTTGCCTTTTCTCCTCTTAGATTGCAAGCGATACGAAGTTTTAGACGTTGTATTTGTGATTGATAGCTCTGGCAGCATTGACAATAATGAATATAATATCATGAAGGATTTCATGATAGACTTGGTGAAAAAAGCTAACGTTGGCAAGAACCAGGTCCGATTTGGGGCTATGAAGTACGCTGATGACCCGGAGGTGCTGTTTTACCTGGATAACCTCGACACAAAATCGAAGGTGATTTCAGTGCTCCGGAATGACCAGCCCATGGGGGGCAACACCTACACTGCCGAGGCTCTGGGCTTCTCAGACCACATGTTCACCGAAGCCCGGGGCAGCCGCATGCACCAAGGGGTCCCCCAAGTCCTCATCGTGATCACCGATGGGGAATCCCATGATGCAGAAAAGCTCAATGCCACCGCCAAGGCCTTGCGAGACAAAGGCATTCTTGTCCTGGCCGTGGGGATCGCTGGTGCTAATCCCGTGGAGCTGCTAGCCATGGCAGGGTCGAGTGACAAATACTTCTTCGTGGAGACTTTTGGAGGCCTGAAGGGGATATTTTCAGACGTGTCAGCCAGTGTGTGTAACTCTTCACAAGTAGGTAAGGTTTGTCAATTAGATTTTTCTTAATTGTCAGCAGAGGTCCCAATGAGGGAGAAAGCAATGCCCCTCCGGAACAAGCTCTCCAAATGGGAGAAGCAGCGCCAATTGTTTGGTAGAACAGCGCATGCGCCCTGCTCCTCGAAGAGGAATGCATTGCCCTGTTTCCAAAAGAAGAGGGCATTCTACAGCATTCCTACCCACTTCTGCCTACACTCTCCTAACAATGGGGAATTCGTTGTTCTTTGAATAAGCTTTGTTTATTGGAGCACAAATTTGTTTCCATGTCATTTTCATCCATTAGTTTTTCTTCCTGCTCTTCACACAAGAGGTCAAATTCCATCTCTTCCTAATAATCAGTGATCATTTCCTGAAGTCTTCCCTCCTCCAGGTTGTAAGTCTCCAGTTCCTTCATCTATTTCTGTTATGACACAAGCTTATTTAGGACACAGAGCCCAATAACAAACCTTCTGTTCCAACCCCGGATGTTTCCAGGACAGAGTACAGCAGGACTTCCTTTGCCCCAGATGCTGTGTTTCTATTCCAGCATCTGGAGATTACATTGACACATGCATGTATGTATGTATGCATGCATGTATGTATGTATTCATTTAGTGTCATTTCACACCATTTCAAAAGGAGATTGTGATGTATTAAAATTCCTTATATTGCCCTGGCTGGTATAGCTCAGTGGATTGAGCGCGGGCCTGTGAACCACACGATCGCGGTTCGATTCCCAGTCAGGGCACATGCCTGGGTTGCAGGCCGGTTCCCTGAAGGCCAGTTCCCAGCAGGGGACGTACAAAAGGCAACCATACATTGATGTTTCTCTCCCTCTCTCCTTCCCCCTCTTCCCCTCTAAAGATAAATAAATAATAAAATATTTTTAAAAAAATTCCTTATATTTATTAAGAGTATTATACTAAAAATACCTAGTATTTTTATTAGATGAATTGCTATTAATCTAGGATTCCACCATCTTGGTACAATTCTTTTTAAAAATTAACTTTTCTGGTTTTCATATGCATGACCTCCCAAGAATGCAGCTACTGTCTTTCTCTTCCATGACACTAACAATCTTTGTGGGTCTTACCAAAGACTAGGACAGATTTCCTGTCTTCTGGTGGCCAATGCCTAAAATTTGATTTGTCCTTTTAAAGTTCACTGTAGAAGTTGATACTGCATTTTTTAGTGAGAAGTATTCCCTTGAGCAGGAAAAAAGTACTTTATTTCCTTTACTTGAATCTAAAACAAATTTAGTAAGTTACCCAATTCCTGAAGAACCTAGTTATCATATTTCTTATTCTCTCTCTCCTGCATATCTCAGCCATGGGGTTCCCAGACACCTTTACTTTTTCATGAGGCTGACATGAGATGTAAGTGAGCTAGGTCAGTGACGAGGGCTCCGGAGACTTCAGGGAAATGTTGATGCTTACCAGAAGGCTAAAGAAGACCCGTGCCAAGTGTGGCTCGTTCACCGGCCATGGTCTTTCATAGTCTTTCTTTTTCATATTTTCTGTGTCAATACCAAGGAAGCATCTCTAAACTATCCTGCATTATTTGTTCAAAAACATTATTCTCAAGTGGCTATTTTTACTGAAAGGAAGCTGATAAAGTGGAAAATGAGATATAGGTCAGAAGGCAGGATTTTAAAACTTCAGTTTGTCTTGATAAACAAGAAAGTATTTATTGGCTCCACCGGCCAGGGAGGCCAGGTCAATACTCCAGACCGTCTGTGTCTTGGTCTGAGGCTCTAAGTGGATGTGTGCTCTTTAGTTTTTCCTTGCTATACCACTGCTCTCACTGGGTTTTCCAGAAGGTTAGATTGCAGGTAAGGACAAATTTTCTGTAGCATGCTCCCCCTCCCCCCAGTTCTCTGGCACCTTGGGAAAGAAAAATTGTGGAATAAGGCAAAATGAAAAAGCTAAGAGCAGCACAGAGAGCTGGGCGAGCCGTTCATGCCTGGTGCCACCTTTATGAACTTATTGCTTTTATTTCTTTTCCAATTAATATGACCACAGGGTGGCATAAGATAAGAAATCCCTTTCAGAAATACCGTTTCTATATAACTATACACATTTCATTTACTCTGGTTGAGTGAAATAAAGAACAACAATCTAATCTCTTTTTGTTGGTCCCTTTCCTCGTCCTTACAGATTGTGAAATTGAAAAAGTAGATCTCGTTTTCCTCCTGGATGGTTCCACTAGCATCCAGCAGGAAGACTTCAAGAAGATGAAGGCGTTCTTGGTGTCCATTGTTCAAGACTTTGACGTCAGCATCAACAGAGTACACATAGGAGCCGCCCAGTTTAGCCATGACTATCGTCCAGAGTTCCTACTGGGGAAGTTCACAGGCAAAAAGGAGATTTCATTTCAGATTGAAAACATCGAGCAGATTTTTGGAAACACACATATCGGTGCTGCACTCCAGAATGTGGGGCGTTACTTCCAGCCCCACATGGGCAGCCGGATAAACACAGGTACCCCACAGGTGCTGCTGGTCCTCACAGATGGCCAGTCCCAAGACGAGGTGGCTCAGGCCGCCGAAGACCTGAGACACAAAGGCATCGACATCTACACTGTGGGCATTGGGAAGGTGGATGACCAGCAGCTTATTCAGATCACCGGGACTGCGAGTAAAAAACTCACAGTTCATAACTTCGATGAACTGCGTAAGGTCAAGAAGAGGATAATTCGCAACATCTGCACCTCGGGCGGTGAGAGCAGTAAGTATTTAAATGTGTCCTTCACATTCACTCCTCCCCTGTCTTCATTCACAGTGTCCTCAAGCTCTGTTTGCAGCTGGTGGGAGACTTCAGACTGGTGCCTCCGGCTTTCAAGTTGAACTTTTCTCAGTTACTAAGTGGGGTTTTTTTTGAGACTTGTGAATTGAGAAACAGGGCTTCTGAGAGACTTGTCTTTTTTCTCCTGCTGGGAGATCACATCCCCTTTGTGAATGGGGAATCTTTCCATTTCGGAAGGTGTGAGGAAAAAGCCTTTGTTTACAATATGGTTGGTTACAGAGGCTGGTTACCAAAGAAATAAACTATCTGACAGATTTCAGTTGCCTCGCAATGGGGCCTGAGTGCTGTGGTACAGGATGCAGGGGATGAGTTTAGAGGTTTATATCTTTACTATGAAACTCTACTGCAGAAGGTAGTAACTGTTTGAAAATCCACACATTGTGATTTTTCTTTTCCAACAGATGGGAAGAAAGGTTTTGAAGGAAAGATAACTTTTTCTGTTCTTATAAATGCACCCAGAATGTTGGCCATGATTCTGTGTAATTACCCATAGTACAGACTCTCCCTGGATTCTCGCCAGGGAGAGAAAAGCTTATACAGTTGCTAAGAGGAGGCTCCAGAGACAGACATTCTGCTCCAAACACCTGCTTGATGGCCACTTTTTCTTGGACAGGTTTCTTACCTTCTGTAAGTTTCATTTTCTCATCTGTATGATGTGAACAGTAGCAGCACCTAGTTCAAAAGATCATTGTGAAGCTTAAATGAGAAAAATGCCTATTTCAACTTTACAAGGGAGGACCCCAAAACCCCCAGGAATTTATTTATAAAAAATTGTGCATTTATTCTTGCATGTTAAACTCCAGTCACCTCCAACGTATTCTCCATTTGATGCAATACACCTATTGAGACGTTTTTTCCACTGCTCAAAAACAGTTTTGAACTTGTTGATTTTGATGCCTTTTAGTGCTTCTGCCATTTTTTGTTTCCCCTCTTCTACAGTGGTAACACATTTCCTTTTGAGGACTTTTTCATCCAGGGGAAACCAAAAATAAAAGTCGCTCAGGGTGAGATCGGGTGAATAGGGAGGGTGCGGCATGGGGGTCATGCTGGTTTTGTTTTTTTGTCAAAAACTGCTGAACACTCAGTGCAGTGTGGGCAGGTACTCATCTAAGTCACCCATCAGGAAATGGGCAAACGCATTGAAAGAGTCTTCAAAAGAAATCCACCAAAGCTACATGCCACCTCTCACAACAATGCCGAGTGGTCCACTGATACAGATGGGTTCCTAGAACACTCAAGGGACCCACCCTCCAGAAGATAATTCCAGTTTGGGGGAGGTTTCCCCCTCATAATTTGAATAAGCATGACACCAGAGGTATAATTATAAAGTACTCTATTTTTGTCTACCACTGACTCATTAAGTTTATTTATGGGGGCCAGTTTTCTCTTGCCCCCACTTACTTTTCGGAGATAAGTGAACCTCTTCTTGCTGGTTAATGTGTCCATCCCATTATAACTGTTGTAACTCTAAACTTCATTCAAGGTCACTCTGCTTTCCCAACCTGCCACAAGCTGCTCCTCTGTCACAGAGACAAGGTCACATGTAATTGGTGTTTTTCCATTGTCCCCACCTACCTCTTCTCCTAGACCCCGCCCTCTTCTTGCTCACCATGCTTTCTGGCCTCCCCAGAATGGGTTGGGGAAGGGAGAAGAGCTAAAGAGCAACAGGGAAGTTGGTGCTTGACGGTACTTGTCAGGAGTTCGTTTTCTTTGGTGATAGCCCATGTTTAAATCTGGGTCCATCCCTGGGTCCTTCTAAGATTTTCCCACCTGCCCACCATCACCTCCACCCTCACCAAAGCACATTTCTCATGGGATCTTTCCACCATAGTTTCCTCGAGGAACGTAAGCATGCCTCAATTCCAGATGTTCCCTTAGGCCTTTCTCAGCCTCTGGTCTTCTGGTGATGCCTTCAGCTTTATTCTGCCCCTCCAGGAATAGCCTTCCTGGACAGGAAATCAAGGAGCCCACAACAGCTTTTTCTTACACATAACCACAGCAGTTCCAAAGGAAATAATAGCACCAATTTCTCTGATAAACACTGGAAGTTATGTGCCCCCGACCCCCAGGGTGGCCACCTCTCCTTTGCAGAGAGAACAGCATGCCATCCTGTGTCTCGTTCTTTAGAATGTCAAGGCTTGTATCATCTCCAAGTTATCTCTTAAAGCTCCTCTCTATTGACTTAGAGGAAATGACCCCCTTTCCTTGAGTATGTGTATATGTGGTGGGAGAGCTCACTGCACATCAACGGCTCTCTCCAAAAAGACTCTTTTGAACTTCAAGTCTTTTATAAGACCCAATGTGTAGGCTAAAGCTTAAGAGTCCCATAATTGGCCAGGGATGATTGTCTTTCTAAATCCTGCTTTATGATCTCCTCATCCTTTGGAGTGTATCCGATGATCTCAGCCAAACCTACCACATTAACTTCCAGTTTCACATGCAGTACCCATTTGCAACTATTAGGGAGGGAAAAATTATCTTGGATCCATCTACTTAGTCTCTACTTGGGAGACTAAAAGAAAACCATGTGGAAAGTCAAAGCCAGGGGTCTATGCTCCAAGTAGTAAGTGAGTGAGCTTTAAAGGGAATAGTCATGAGTGCAAAAATAAATAAATAAGAAAAGTACTCTGAGATAAACTTGAAGTCATTACTGCAGCAAGCAAGAATGCGAGGCCTTTGTAGCCAAGCTGTGGGCTGAGGACTGATGAGGCCGGAATGAACACTGATAAAGCTTCAAAGGCATGTGAAATACATTAGAGGATGCCTGTTCTTCTTAAACTGTAAACTCTGAACTCAAGGAAATCAGATGGTAACTTGGTGTGGCTCAAAGTGAACCAGACTCACAGCCTGAACATCTATCTAGCTTTGCTGCTTATTAAAATATGCATAACTTTGGAGATGTCACTATCCCTTTTTAGTTTTTCTTATGATGGAGATAGGAGGAAAGTGACTAAGGATCAATATTTCTTGAGCATCTATGAAGGGTCAGGCATGGTGCTCTAAGCATTTTAAGTGCATTATCTCATTAGTCTCCCCAAACCTTATATGGTTTATATTTTTATTTTCAATTATAAATGAGGAAAATGGGATTCAAAGGAATACTGCTAACTTGACCCAGAACATACAGGAAATAACAGACTAAACAAATGTTGAAAGCTAGGTCTGTCTGACTCCAATCCAGTTTTTTGTTGTTAAACACGCTGCCCGTTTTCTTGATATGGTGGTTGTCTAGAGTGTCTGATGCCAGTGTTCTGAAGAAGTGCTTCAGTGTTCGGCCTCACCAGTTTATATCAGGAACTTGAGACATCATGGGTTTCTACCTTGACATTGTTTCCATGAGCTGCTGCTCCCTGAGGAAGCCACCCACTGTTAAGTTGTCACTTCCAAACTCACAATCTAGTAGCAGAACTAGGAACCTACCTAACCTATCATCACTGGCTACCCAGAAAGTGGTAAAGTCAGGTGGTCTGGCATATGGACTCTAGACAAACCTCCACACTTGGAATTCAGATCTAGTAATAACTGTGAGGCAGTAGTAATAACAACGGCGGGCAAGCTGTTCTGTCACAGCTGCCTCTTCAGCAGAAGAGTTCCTACTAAGTCTGTGTTTCATAAGGGTATGTGAGATCATGAACAGAAAGTATGTGGCAAGTGTTTAATGAGCATTAGTAGCTATCATAGAATTTGCAGAAGGCATACTGAAAGTGATCTTATAAATGAAAAATACATGGAGTGATGAGGTTAGTTCACAGGGCAATTGACCACGAGTCCCTTTATTTAGGAGCTTTAATGTTTTAGCAACATTTTAGAGCCATATTCAAATGTAATGTCTTAAGATCCGCCAAACTCCCCCAAGCAACTAAACTCCAAAGTCTGGGGGTTTTTCTGTTTGGTTTTTTAACCTTCATTCATGCTTCTGTTCCTGACTTATCTTTGAGCCTGGCTGTTCTGACTACCTAGAGCAAGCAGTTCTCAGGATGTTAAAGTCCTGGCGGGGGAGGAGGGTGTGGGCATGGAGACATAATTAGATAGCCAAAGAATCAAGACTACCTCTTGTCGGTTTGATCTCCAAAGTATATAAAGAACTCACATGACTCCACTCCAGGAAGACAAACAACCCAATTAAAAAATGGGCAAAGGACCTGAATGGACACTGCTCCAAGGAGGACATACCAAGGGCCCAGAGACATATGAAAAGATGCTCAACATCACTAGCCATCAAAGAGATGCAAATTAAAACCACAATGAGATGCCACTTCACACTGATCAGAATGATGGTGATTAACAAATCAACAAACAAGTGTTGGAGAGGATGTGGAGAAAAGGGAACCCTAGCGCACTGTTGGTGGGAATGCTGACAGGTGCAGCCACTGCGGAAAACAGAATGGAATTTCCTCAGAAAACTAAAAATGAAACTGCCTTTTGACCCAGCAATTCCACTGCTAGAATTATATCCCAAGAATCCTAAAACATCAATTCAAAAGAACCTATGCACCCCAGTGTTCATAGCAGCACAATTTATAGTAGCCAGGTGCTGGAAGCCACCTCAGTGCCCATCAGTAAATGAGAGGATAAAAAATCTGTGGTACATTTACATGATGGAATACTACACAACAGAAAGAAAGGAGCTCCTACCCTTTGCAACAGCATGGATGGAAGTGGAGAGCATTATGCTAAGTGAAGTGAGCCAGGCAGTGAAATACAAACACCGTATGATCTCACCTATAAGTGGAACCTAATCAACAAAACAAGCAAGCAGAACATTGAGATAAAAAACAAACTGACAGTAACCAGCAGGGAGTGGGGAGGGGGTTACATGGGGAGAAGGAGAAGGGTCATCAAGAAACATGTATAGAGGACCCTTGGGCAAAGCCTAAGGGAGGAAGGATTGAGGGGGGATGAGAGGGGGGTGTGGCAGGGGGAAGTGGTGGTGGGAGAATGGAGACAACTGTATTTGAACAACAAAAAAATCTGTCTTCTAATCTTATTAATATAGCCTACCCTTTTGACAATAAGCAACTGCCATCATCTCCAGTTAAGGACTTTCTTTGTAAGTCAGTTAATTAAAGTGAGCTTTTGGGTCTGGCAGTGAACCGTGAGACTGTAACTGTCACTCCAATCCATTCTTTTCTTTTGTATTTTTATTTTGAAATATGTAATCTAATTTTCATAGGAAAGAAAATTAGTGTCCAGAGAAGTTAAGAGAACTTGCCAAGTTATTTAGCAATAGCAGAGTCGTGACTACCACATCCCTAACATTGAACTTTGTGCCTTCCCACTCAAGGACCTCTCTCCCCCAGGCTTCCACATGCTGTTCGCAAAGATGAGTCGATTGCTTAGAACACTGGTTTTCCTTCTCCTTTTTATCATCTTCTAGAGACAGTTCTGTGGATTACCTTCCTAATTTCCCTTGTCCTTGTGACTACTATTCTCACTCCTGCGCTCCTCATTTAATCCTTCCTTTCTTTTGGACATCTAATTTTAGCCTGCAAACTCAATTCCTGAATGATCCCTGCCTCTTATTCACTTTGAAGGCTCCTAATTTCAGAGCAGATGTCTCTGTAGAGTTTGCAGGGCCATTATGTGGGAGTCCATATGTTTAGTATGGCCTCATCCATCCAAATGTATTTAGCATGCATAGCTGCTCACTCTGGACTTGCTCCCCAAATTCTATTCTTTGGATCACATTATTATGGAATTGTTTGTCAACTGGAATTAGTTAAAGAAACACAAGGAACTAGAGTTTGTCCTTTCAGTAATCCAGACAAAAAAAAAATTGAAATACTCAATTTCTATAGGGGACAGTCTCCAAGATTACTCAGTGATATTTTGGCATTCCTGTCAATGTTTTTTTTGCAAGAGGCTGTTTTCCTGGAAGGCAAGACATTTTGGTAAAACAATGCTCATTTGAGAGGGAAATTTTCAGTCTCAAGATAGGAACAAAAGGATCTAGATTCAAGAGGAATTTTGGAAAGGAGATGTTCTGATGCTTCCTCCTGACTAGTTTCTTTCTCTTCACCTTACTGCCTGAATTTTGGAGAAGAGATGTTTTCCAGTAAAGTAAGTACAGTAAAATAGGAAAATCTACCTTTCAGGTTTTCTTGATAACATATTGATTCACTTCAAATGTCATGGTGGAAATTGATTATCAATTATGGCTTTTATTTTCCCTCATCGGACCCCTTTTCCATTAAAAATGAGTCAGGTAACTGGCCCTTGTTTTAAGAATTGAAACTGACATTTTCATATCAAAGATTTGTGGATGTTCCACTGGCCAGTGTGTCTGGAGGTAGCCAAGGCAGCCATTTGTCCATACAACAAGTATCTGGAAAATTGCTTATCTAAACAAAGCAAATTAAAAATACACACTCTTCATCTTTAACTTACCCAGTTAACTTACCTTTAACTTATGGTGTTGAATTGATTGAAAAAAGGTTGAAGATTTTAGCCAAGCTACAAGTTCTTTTTTTTTTTTAATTTAATTTATTTTTTTAAATTTGATTATGCTGTTACAGTTGTTCTATTCCCCCCTTCATTCCCCTCCACCCTGCCCCCCATCCCCACCATTACCCCCCTTTAGTTTATGTCCATGTGTCTCAAGTCCTTTAGGTTCTATATTTCCCATGCTATTCTTGCCCCCCCCCCATCTATTTTCTATCTACTGTTTATGCTACTTATTTCCTGTACCTTCTCCCCCCATCTCCTCCCTCCCACTCCCCTGTTGCTAACCCTCCTTGAGATCTTCTTTTCTATGTTTCCACTCCTGATCTAGCTGTCCTTTTAGTTTGCTTTCGTTTTAGGTGTGGTTGTTAATAACTGTGAGCTTGTTGTTCTTTCACTGTTCATGTTTCTTTAACTTCTTTTTCTTAGATAAGTCCCTTTAACATTTCATATAATAAGGGCTTGGTGATGATGAACTCCTTGAATTTGATCTTATCTGAGAAGCACCTTATCTGTCCTTCCATTCTAAATGAAAGTTTTGCTGGATAGAGCAATCTTGGTTGTAGGTCTTTAGATTTCATGACTTGGAATATTTCTTTCCAGCCCCTTCTTGCCTGTAAGGTCTCTTTTGAGAAATCTGCTGACAGTCTGATGGGGACTCCTTTGTAGGTGATTGTCCCCTTAGCTCTTGCTGCTTCTAGGATTCTCTCCTTCATTTTAATTTTGGCTAATGTAATTATGATGTGCCTTGGTGTGTTTCTTCTTGAGTCCAACTTTTTTGGTACTCTCTGAGCTTCTTGGATTTCTTGGAAGTCTATTTCCTTTGCCAGATTGGGGAAATTTTCTTTTATTATTTGTTCAAATAAGTTTTCCACTGGTGGTTGTGCCTTTCCCCCTTCTGGTACCCCTATAATTCAGATATTGGAGCGTTTAAAGATGTCCTGGAGGTTCCTAAGACTCTCCTCATTTCTTTGAATTCTTGCTCCTTGACTCTTTTCTGTTTGGCCATTATTTGGTTTCTTCTGGTCCACTCCATTGATTTGAGTCCCAGTTTCCTTTTCATCGCTATGGGTTTCCTGTGGAATTCCATTCATTTCCATTAGTTTAGCCTTCATATGTTTCTCTAATTTGTGGCTATAATCAACCAGTTCTGTGAGGATCCTGATGACCAGTGTTTTAAACTGTGCGTCTGAGAGTTTTACTATTTCTTCGTCGCTTAGATTTATCTCTGGGGCTTTGAGGTCTTCCTGCGACATTTTTGGTCTGTTCTGGCCCTTTAAGTGGGAGAAGCGGCGCCTTGGACTCCCAGGTCGCTGGGTTGTGACGCTGTATGTGGAGGCGTGGTCAGAGCGGGGAAATGGCGGCGCCCTCTACCCGCCGCGGCCGGTCCAACCGCCCACTCCCTCACCTGTCCGCTCGCCCGCAGATAGGCGACCGCAGTCAACACGCAGCACCGCCTCCCCACTGTCTCCTCTGCAGTCGCTCACCTGGTGGGTTGCTCGGTCGCTCACTAGGTCCAATCCTGCGTTTGGAACCCGTGCGTGGATTCGCGCATCTGGATTCTGCACGTGGGTCCGTCCGACCGGAGTCCTCCTGTGCAACCCCTCACCAGACTCCGGTTTTGCCCCTTACCGGTCGGGCTGAAGAATTTGTTGTTAACGGACTTCCGAAAAGTTCAATTTTCCGTGTTCTGGTTGTGTTTTCTGATGCTAATATTTAGTTGTCCCTAAACTTGGTTGTGTGAGAAGGCACGGCACATCTACCTATACCTCCATCTTGGCGGAAGTCCGCAAAGCTATTCTTAAAAATTCACTGATGAGTATTCTGCGCCCGAGGGGAAGCTCCAAGCTACAAGTTCTTGAAAGAAGAGTGTATGCGATGAGCCACAAGACTTGATTCTTCTTTAATTATCTTCCCTTTATGCGGCTCAACTTAAAATATCAAGTCCCTTCTAGTTTCTGCAGTGCTTAAATGTCCCTGGAGTTAATAAGTATAGGAGCAAAGCATTTTAAATGTAATACCCTCTTTGAGTAGTTCTTGAACCCCAGAAGGCATTGGCTTTGCCTTTGCGAGTGGCTGAGCACTGAAGGCAGCACCTTCTTTGACAGGGTAAGTGAGGGTAATTGGGTGCCAGGGTCTTTACCTGTAGGACTTAAACCAAGCAAGATCTCAAAGGATCTGTTGGAGCACTTGTTTCTCTTTGTACTTTTTCTTTTCTGAGTGGATTTCAGAGCACAGAAAAAGGAAACAAATGCCTTTTGGCAAGATAAATCATCAAAATCATTCCTTAGACAAGTTTTTTGTGACTTCTATTCTAAATGACTTTCTCTATGCAAATATTTTTATATTTCTCTTATAACACAGTATTTGTTAAATGACCTGAATCTTGATAAGTAGCATGATATGAATTTGCTTTTTTAAATTAACATTTCCACAATATAATTTAGATATTTAAATGACTCTGCATAGCTTTTCCTATAACTACAAGAAAAAATTTCAGAACCTTGTTATAGAATCATCTAGATTTTCTACCAGTGAAAAATAATACTATATACTTTACACTTTTACAGGTTATGAAAGAGTGATTATGAGCCTCTTCCATGACTCCCTCATGTTCTTATTTTCCAACTTAGTAACTGGAATAGAAATAAGAATTCCAAATCCCTTGATTCAGACATGGCATCTAAGTTGAACATGGTGATTATTCATTCGATCTAACAACATATGCTTTTCCCTTGAACCCTAGATTGTTTCGTGGATGTTGTGGTAGGATTTGACATCTCAACTCAGCAGAAGGGGCAGACTTTGCTTGACGGTCAGCCTTGGGTGGAAACCTACCTGCAAGACATCTTACTCGCCATCAGCTCCCTTAATGGGGTCAGCTGTGAGGTGGGCACGGAGACCCAGGTTAGCGTGGCTTTTCAAGTGACCAACGCCATGGAAAAATACTCACCCAAGTTCGAGATCTACAGTGAAAACATACTGAATAGCTTGAAGAATGTAACAGTTAAAGGACCGTCTGTTCTCAATGCAAACTTCTTGAGTTCCCTGTGGGATGCATTTCAGAATAAATCGGCTGCCCGCGGCAAGGTGACTTGGTTTTATTTTTTGTGTTGTTCTGTGGCTGCAATGACCTCCTTTTCACTCACATGTCCTTTCTGAATACTTTCCTAGGTGGTTCTCTTATTTTCAGATGGATTGGATGATGATGTTGAAACCCTCGAACAAAAATCTGATGAGCTTAGAAAAGAAGGTATTGAACATGGGGGAGGTGTCGGGAAGGGATGTTTATTAACTTTTGAGTCTCAGAACTCAACTCTGGCTCTCCAATGTCCAGGCACTCAATCCTGAATTTCCCAACCTTTCCACTCCATTTACTTGACAGAGTAAATGAGTTCTCAGAACATGCTGGCGGCATCTTTCTTCCTCAGGTCCTAGGTACATGAAACAGCACTGAATACAAAGTCCTATTCTTTCTCTTGTATTACTATGTTTGTTCTTCCTAAGCTTTTTCGGAGAATGTTCCTGCCTGACCTTGCCTCATATTGTCTAATATTACTACTTCTTCAGTATCAGCAGAATGGAACCATGTGTTTCTCTTTGACCAAAGAACGAGAGAGTGGGATTATTTTTTTCTAACACTCCTAAACTGTTTAGAGTTGCACGCATTCTTGAATGAGTCGACTCATGTTTTGGGACTTTCTAATTACTTCCTTTCCTTAGACTACAGAGACACCAACACCATGGTGTTTATGAGTTTGTAAAGCTCTGGCGTGACTCTTTAGGCTTTAAGAACTGGTGTCCAATCTAGGTTATTATCATTCCTACTGAAATTTATGGGTCAGTGAAAAAAAAATGCACCCAAATGTTTGGGTCTGATGAGGAGGAGAAAATCTTTCCTTATAAGTGGGTGCTGTTGGTGCCTCACCCAGTCTCCCCCTTCCAACCAGGACCTCCCAACCTCCAGCTATGAGTGTCTCCTGCTAACAATTCCCAGGTGCCCCTTCTCTGAGGACTTGCCCTTGGCCAATGGGAGCCCCCTCACCTGGAAGGTTACTCCCTGTCCCTCCCCTGGGGAGCAGGTGGAATACAAAGGGTTGGATCTTTGCCTCTGTATAGCAGCATATGGTGCAATTTGTGCTCCAAGCTCCTCATGGAATCAGGCTGATGCTAGCTAGACTGCAGCTGAAACACTGTCTTGCTCAGCTCCCTCCCTGCCCTGCTTCCCTCGCCCCTTTGTTCTGAGAGTGTTTCTCAATAACTTATGTGCAGCCAAATTGCTATCTCGGGTTCTGTTTCTAGAGAATCTGACCTAAGACATCTGCCTCCGAGGTTATTGATTAGAGACTGAGTGGGTTTTGTCTTTGCTATTTGGTTCTCTCTCTCCAATCTTAAACAAATTGCAAAGTTCACTGAATTTACAGCTAGAGAATGAGAGTTTTTATTTTGCCCTTTATTTCCTAAAGCTGCTTTCTCTGTAGTCTATCAAGTCTTGGCATTTCTTTCATGAGCTGTAGTGGAAATTTTAATTAACAAAACCTTAGAGTGCTTAGTTTGGGTGGGTAGGGTTTTTTTTTTTAATTTCATCTTTTCTTTTGTGAAGAAAGATGTCTTTTCTCTTATAGATCCCATCAGTTTTCTCCAAGAAGTTTTTCTTAGAACACCTAGGTTTCTAATACCAATCTTTATTCTTCCAACTCCCAAGGAAAATTTAATAAATAGATTTCAACTTCAGAAACTAGATTTCTCGTAGCCTCAGAAATTCAGAATGTTTGGGGAGAGATAAAGGGATGATGGCCATAATGTTCTTTGGAAAGAGGAGAACAAGCCATAATGTCCTTGTTTTTTTTTTTGAACAAGGAATATCTCTGGCTCTGGCTTCCCATTTTTGAACACACATGATTTCAGGTGACGCTGGGACCTATGACTGATTGAGCTCAGAGCGCCTCCCTAACTTTAGGCCCTATAAACTGCTATATTTTACACATGTTAACTCTTTAATCACCATGAAACTGGAAGAGACCAGGAGAAAAAGATCCTCCATGGTGGATGTGGTTTTATAACTAATCCATGTGGATTGGGGGTTGAATTAGTCTCTTAATTTTTAAAGATCCAGCACTCTCGAATCTACTCAGTGATGATGTATCTTAGCAGTTTTTGAAGTCTTTTCTTCCTTAATATATTTTTAGGAATTGAAGACACTGTATTTAAGATCATATGGTTCATTTACTGGGTGACTCTGAAAGGAGCAGGATTGGAATCCCTATCCTGAAAAAAGCAGTTACAAATGATAGTTCTGTGAACATTTCCTGCAAATCAACAATTCCACGGTTCTCCTAACTTTTAAGTTTCCTTGGAACTTATAAATAGATGTGAGATCTGCCCCCCACCCCCGCCCCGCCCGCTTATAAATAAATTCACTAGCCCGCCTTCTCTTAATCATTTACTGCAGTTGACGAGCTCAGTATTCCCCATTGCCTCTCCCAGCCCTCCCCATCGTCCCTTTTCTCCTCATCTTCCTTTTTGGGACGGTAACGAACTGTCCCTGTTTGCTTGAGACAAGCCAGAGGCTATCAGCACAAAACCCAGGAAAGTCCATGCAAACCAGGACAGTTTGGTCACCCCCTTCTCTGGTGCTGCTTCCTTTATTTCACCCCAGCCGACCACTCTGTTAGCCTCTCCTAGCACTTGAGCCTCCTCAGTATGTCCCTGAAACTTTATTCTTTGCATTCTCCTCTTCATCTACCCCTCACTCCATTCAGAATCACGGGTGAACTTATGTCAGAAGGCATTCTTAGCTCTCAGTCAAGTCTTGAACGTTTCTTTATTCCAGTCCATTGGTTTCCATGTCCCATCCAAAGACTCTCTTACCCATCTGTCAGAAAAATGAGAAAACTTACACCAGTGGGATCAGGTTTTCATAAAGCTAAGTTTATTCAATTTTAGGACTGATGTTTATGATTATGCCCTTAGTACATTTTTGTTATTAAAATGTCCTTTGGGTCTAGGCTTTGCAGTGGGTTCTCTGGGTGTAAACCTAAAAATACCGTCTGACCCAGTCATTTAACCTCTGCAATCCTCAATTGATTGTAAAATAGAGCTATAATCATACACACCTATACAATTGTATTTGTTTCAAATAAGATAATGTATGTAAAGCACTAAAGTAACTTCTAGGTACATAGTAGCTGTTAATGAATGAGAGCACAGCTGTTGCTATGGTTACCACCACCATAATGATTGCCAGCTTTATTACTATCATTACGTAATGTTCCTACTTTGCAAAACACATCAGCCCTGCCAGTCCCTAAAAGTCATCTTTGAACTCTCCTGGTCTATACAATCCCAAAGCCTGCGAGCTGCAGGCTTTGATGCTTATGTGTCATTTGTTTCTAATTACCGGACAAGAGGTCTTTTACTGTCTTTTGCTACCTGCAATTTATTATCTGTTCCTTATGAGGTCATTTAGGTCTGTGCTCCTCCAACTTTAATGTGCCCATCAATCACCTAGGGGTTTTATTAAAACACAGATTCTGATTCCGTAGGAGTGACACTGGGCCTGAGATTCTGCATTTCCGATGCGCTCCAAGAGGGTGCCAGTCTACTGCTCCATGGACCCCCTCTGAGTGGCAAATATTCAGAATACTTTCTCGATACATAAGTTCCCCTGTATTCGAGCATATTCTGTGGACCCTTATAAACTCCCTACCCCACGGTTACCATTTCCCATCTCCAATTTAATTCGTTCTGAACAACATAATTCCTTTTGTGCTCTGATTGGTCTCATTACTTGTCAGTTTTACAGTGTGTGGTCAGGGGAAGTGGACAGTGAAAAGAGGGTTCCTCTTGTGACCATTTTCCTAGAATAACAGTTTGGGTATGTGTGCACAAAGATTAAAATAACAAGCCCTCCTCACCTGGAGAATTGTACATTGTGTTGGATAGGCCTGAATGCCCTCATAACTGTCGCTCTGGATGGAGCCCCAGATTCAGGTGACCTGGCTGATCTTCCCTACATTGAATTTGGGAAAGGATTTGAGTACAAGACCCAGTTCACTATTGGAATGGGGAATCTTGGAAGCCAACTGTCAAAGCAGCTGGTAAGTTGTTCAGAAAAGATAGGTGAGTTTACATTTTATATTTCTTTTGTGTCGGCTTGATATTGATGATTATGAATTTGAACTGATTTGTTCATTTGGGACTGAAGAAAGACTTTTCTGAATTAGTGGGCAGCTGAAATAAGAGGGTATTTTGAAAGAACTGTAAGATAGTAGAGGTGTGTCAGAGCATGTTTAATTTATCTACTTGGCTGAAAAGGAAGGAGAAAAAAGAAATTCAACAGCACCTACATTTGACTTTGGGTGATGGGCAGACAATGCAACATACAGATCATGTATCATGGAAATGTACCCTTAAACCTACATGATCCCACTCACCCATGTCACCCCAATAAGTTTAATTTAAAAAAATAGCAGCTACACTCCTCTCAAATTACAGTCAAGGAATATAAGTGCCAAAGGGAATCTGAGACTTGGGGGGCAATCGGAAACTCCCAGCCAGTTTTCACATCCCTTGTGGATCCTCAGAGCCACAGGTCGCCACCCAAATACGGTTCCAATGTCCTCAATGTATATGTTCCCCACAACGAGACCTGTACGTGAGAGCCAGCTACATTTAGGGTGTGATTATAGGAAGAGCAGTCTGCTCCAGTGTTGAGGGAAAACTAATGATGGAATGATAGACCTCTGTTGTACTTTGTGAGTGATCAAAAAATTTTGCTGTCTTGACTAACCTAGATTTTTGCCTTTATCACCTAATGTCTGCATGAGATGCCTTTCAATCATATTTCTTTTAGAAATGTACGAGAATTCAAACTAGAATGGTTAAGTGTTACCAGGTCATGTGGCACTACTTTCACCTTAATAAATGGCTAATAATTTATAATTTGCTTATAATTTATAAAACCCATAATCTGCACATTGGGACACTTTCCAATAAAGTACAAGCTCCTGCTATTTTGCACCTATAGAATTTCTGTATAAGTAGATGTTTGAACACAATTTATTCAGTGGAGTAATTATGTAAAAACAATTGATTAAAGAATATGGAAGTTTTGTTTGAATTTCTTTGTACATAGGAAAATTCTGTCTATTTTTTTAAATGTATTTTTCTGTCTACTGCTCTTTAAAATTTGTAGGGATAGGTTACAGAGGGAGGAAGTTAGTCCTCAAAACAAGACTGTCAGTTTTTAAATATTACATAAATAAAGCACTATACAAGAGAAACTTAATTTTAGATATATATTCATTTTAACATTAATCATAGGAGATTTGATACTGTTGGATTTTGGTGATCCAAAGAAAATTGATATCTAATATGAACTCAGTGAATCTGTTCATTGCTATTATTATTTATTCTTATATATTTCAAGTGTTATTGATTTCAGAAAAACAAGCGGTTTTCAGAAAAACAAAAATTTTCTGATGTCAGAACAGAAGCATTATATAAGAAACAAAGAGGAGAAATTGCTAAATAGTTACAACAGAAAATTTCATTTTCATCACACTTTAATTTTGATGGGAAACTTCTCAACGCAAAGATTAATTCTATCCCACTAAGGCAAATCATGGCATTTACTATAAATAGAATTTTCCTAAGAATAAATTTTGTGGGTTAATTATAAAACTGCTATGGAATCTGTCTATTATTTTTGGGATGATTAATTATGTCCAGGATGAAATTCACTCACATTTTAAAATATAGAATATGATTAGAATATGATTTGGGGGGCCAGAGTAGATAGAGGAATATTCTCCTCATGCCCCCACCTCTATGAAGCGAGTGCTTCTGAAGTGCTGACCATGCAACTGGTGTTTTTGAAATCCTGTTGCACGCAGACTGTTCTGGAAGTGTGTATCGGTGGACTCGGTTCCAAATGGTGTGACACTGGGCATCATCTAAATCCTTTAGCATACAAAGATTTCACAAGACAGGAAACAAAGCAACATGCATTCATTTTATTGGACAGAACACTGGCGGCAGAATTATACAGGGTGATCAGCAACACCATGGTCAATGCTGGGATGGTGGAAACAGGAAGTCACATAAATCAATTATTGGCTTGGCCAAAAAGTCTGCATGGTTTGTTCCATAAAAGACATATTTTTTATTTTCATCAATAACTTTATTGATTTGGATATTTTTGAGTATGTCGGCTGTCTCCTATGTGGTATAATGTTGATCGTTCTATTTTATTTATTCTTTATTCTTGTTTATTCTTTTACAGTTTTCCCAATTTTCCCACTTTGCCCTCCTCTGTCCTGCTCACCCCCAGCTCCCACAATCAATCCCCACACCATTGTTCATGTCCATGGGTCATTCATTCGTGGTTCATTGACTAATTTCTTTGCCTTCTTTCCATCATTCCCTCCTTTCCTCTGGCAGCTGTCAGTCTGTTCCATGTTTCCAAGTCTCTGGTTCTATTAATTTATTTTGTTCATTAGGTTCCTCTTATAAGTGAAATTATATGGCATTTGTTATTCACCAACTGGTTTCTTTCACTTAGCACAATAGTCTCCAGTTTCATCCATGCTGTCACAAAGGGTAGGAGTTCCCTCTTTCAGCTGTGTAGTATTCCATTGTGTATGTATCACAGTTTTTTAATCCACTGATGGGCACTTAGGCTGTTTCCAGCATTTGGCTATTGTAAACAGTGCTGCTCTGAACATAGGGATGCATAGGTTCTTTTCAGTTAATGTCTTGATTTTTTTTGAAGATTTTATTTATTTATCTTTAGAGGGGAAGGGAAGGAGAGAGGGAGGGAAATATCAATGTATGGTTGCCTCTAGTGCATCCCCTGCAGGTAACTGGCCTGCAGGGAACCTGCCTGCAACCCAGGCATGTGCCCTGACTGGGAATCGAACCGCGATCCTCTGGTTCACAGGCCTGTGCTCAATCCACTGAGCTACACCAGCCAGGGCTTTAATGTCTTGATTTGATCGCTCTCAGTTTCAACTAGTCTACCCAACCATGGAGCACCGTCCAGCAAGAAATTTCCAACACTGAACTTTACAAACTATTTTCAACACGTTTCATCAGTCACAGCACCTTCTCCATACTGCACAAATCTTTTTTGCATTTTGGTTGTATTTTTACCTCTCTTGAAATAATAAAGCATAGCATGCCATAAATGTTGCATATTTTTCTCCATCTCAATATTAAAATGACTATACAAAAATTCACCAATTTTGATGCTTTTTAAATGCATGCTGATATGACAGCTGTCACAATACAACTAAAAAAATTGTTTTGAATGAAGTTAAAGACAACTAAGCACTACTAGAGCCATCATATGGAAAAAAACAAATGATGTTTTTGGCCAGTAGTATACAATGAGTTGGCCATCACTAGACTGAAAACACTTTGGGAACACAAAAACACCTTTAAGTTGATTCTGAATCCCTCATGGTCCTCACGTGGTGGAGAATGCAGATCACAGAAGGAAAGATGGACAATAAAGAATGTCTCATGCATTCTGTTTAGAACACAGTCACTTTAATGGTGAATAGGCTTCTGAAACCAATAGAAATCTGAACTGCAGTGGTGAGCTTGTGTGTGTGTGATTGAGAAGCAATGCCACCTAATGTGAAGTATTTCCTACCCTCTCTCAAGGTCAATGTTGCCGAAAGAACATGCTGCTGTTTATTCTGCAAGTGCATTGGAGAAGATGGCACAAGAGGAGATCCTGGACCTCCTGGGAATAAGGCAATTTTCAGATTTATCACTCACTTTATTTGAATGTAGCATGGCTTTCAGCCATGAGTTTAGGTAGAAATAAGGGGTGATTTTAACTTCTAGGTAGAGCCTCTCAGATAACCTATTATTATACATCTCTTTGCATATGCCAAACTGGACAGTCACAGCTTGTCTTTGGTGTTCTAAATTGGAATCTTTCTAAAAAGTTTTGTTCAAGTCTCAGGAGAATCAACTGCTGAGCTCCTTGCTTACCCAGGGTTTCAGCATTGATGACGGTGATGTGGAAAAGTCGATTGTCATCTCTCATGTTGAATAATGAAAACCTCCCAAATCCCATTGTTCTTTCAATTTCCATTTTTAATGACTACAGTCATTTAAATCAGGTAGAAAACATTTTGTGTAGTCTGCTAAAATCAAGCTCGCTCAGCTCACCCTATCTTAGCAAAAGATGCCAAAATATTTCATTCAACTCTAACCAAACCAAAATGTTATCACAGATGTGTGGGGGCAACTTTCCTCGCAAGTCCCCCCATGTGTCACAGATGAGAGTAAACATGACTGAGACATGATGTGAGTGCAGGAGAGATTCAAGGTGTGGTAAAAAGTAACCTTTCACTTATTTCCAACACACCCGGGGGCTTTACCCACGGAGCTCCTGATCCCTCAGGGGATGAAGTGTTGATTTCTGTTTCACTTAAGCGTGCATCCGTGGCAATGGCTCCAAGCCTCTGGATCTAAGGAGGTCCCAAATTCGTTGGGTCCCTGATCTGGGCACCAGATGTGGGGGTGACTTTCCTCGAAAGTCCCCCCGTGTGCCACGGATGAGAGTAAACATGACAGAGACATGATGTGATGTGCTTGGGGAGGAGAGGTAGCCAGTTTCCCAGAGGAAAAAGGCTTGAGCAGTGGCCAGTTTCTCAGGGGAAAAAGGCGTTGAGCCCTTTCCTGCAAGGGCTTTTATTGGGATGTAATACCCAGGAATACAGGGCAGCAAGGATCAAACAGTAGATAACATTTCAAAGAAATCTGAGGGCTTAGTCTGAGTCAGTGTCTGTCAGGAAGATAATTTCAGGGTTTCTGGCTTGAATCCTTAACATATGAAAGCACTTTTAGCAGAGCAGATTTCACAGGTTTATCAGGAAGTCTTTGTGATACCAGATTTTTCCTCAGGACAGGCTCTAGCAAAGTAAGGAGCTACACCCCTCCCCAACAGGTATTCAGGCTTAAGGGGATTAGAGCCAGGAAGTACTTCTCCCAGAGGTCATGGGGACTCAGGCTTTGTCAAAGCCGGGGGTGGGGATGGGGTGGGGGTGAGAGTCCATTGCTCTTAGTTGCAGCCCCCAAGTCCTTCCATGATGGCCTCCCAAGTGATCGAGTCTGGCTTAGGTTGCTTCCTGCTGTGAGGGGTCTTACCTGTCATTGACTTCCAACCGTGCTTTTAGGGCAAGGGGAGAAAACTGAGGCAACATTTGCTACCAGAGACAAGCTTTGTCTCCTGCAGCTCACATTCCAAAGGTCACTGACTCATCCTTAGCCACAGAGGGTAGAGTTACAGTTGCTGAAACCAGTCAGAGTGGTCCACTACACAGATGCATAGACAAGAACAGGCAAATTATGCAAATGGTAACCAAGAGCAGGTACAGATGTTTCCTGACCAGAAGAAGTTTATGTACCCATATGTAAAACTATGATTTGGGAATTTAGAAAATGTTCAAATATGTAGAACATACTATGGATGTGTTTAATAATAATTTCAATACTGCTTGCATCCATTTTGACCCTAAAATAATTTATAGATAGAACTGTCATTCCCAAATCACCATGATTGTGTATGTAAAGGTTTTTGAACGAATTATTTTTTGATTATTTCAATTTCATGTAAAAAGAGTGGTAGAATTTTTTCTAAAACAGACAGTGCTCAGAAAGAATGGGAAGGAATGTAGATGGTCTACTTTTTTACATGTAGCATCAATCCTAGAGCTCATTTGAACATCTGTATTCACAAACACTCCAGCACTATGTATAACACCAGAGAGACTTGCGGACAATGGTTGTGATTCACCCCCACACCCCTGAGTTATCTGTATACTTGTCTCAAAATTTCAGCTATTTTTATGTGCATAAATGCAGCCTAGGTTGTGGCAGAGAAGTAATTTTTTCAAACTCTTTTATAAATTAAGTAAAACTGATGCTGAATATTTTTGCTTGGTTACCTCTGGATTTTGCTCTGTGGAGTGCTAATGGACTCCACCTTTCCTTATTTTCAGGGATCCACAGGTTTTAAAGGCAGTGAAGGCTACCTGGGAGAGGAGGGCGTTGCTGTAAGTCAAAGGTTTTTCTGTTTTGTTTGTTTGTTTTTTGTAGCCTCAATTTTTCCTAAGGACATCTCTACAATATAAAGTCGTGGTGTCAAATCAGAGACATGGGAAAGGTCAGATTCTCAGGATTTGTGTGCAGAATGAAAGGTCTTTCCTAATTGTCCTCAGGCTTTGCTTCTGGTGATCATTAGTGGTCTATTAACCTAATGTCTCCTCTTTCACGATCCACCAACACTGCACAATGAATCCAATGTGAAAGTTATCTTCCTCACCAGGAGAGTCAAATTGCTGCCATTTTCCCCTTCCTGATCCATTTTGCAGAGGTAAATGAACTTGACATATTGTTTATCAAGGATCTCACTGTTTCTTGCATCCATCTATCCCCTCTTTTCCTCTCTCTTTCCCTCACTTTTACCCTCCTTCCCATTTATCTATCAATCCAACCATCCAGCCAGCCAGCCAGCCAGCTAGCAATTATATATTACCACTTACCACAGTATTTACCACAGCCTTCACAAATTCATTTATTCATTTAAGATGTATATTAAAGCATCTTACCATGTGTCAGGCAGAGTGCTAGGCTCTAGAAATGAAAATAGATAAAAGACAAATATGGTTCCCATCTCAGGTAACTTCCAGACAAGTGGAAAGGCAGATGAGACAACCATGGTCCCAGCTATTATACACAAGGACTATAGTGGAGGAATAGATGCAGTGTGACAGGGTGTAGCAGAACAAACACCTAACGATCTCAAGTAACAGCCTTGGTGGCAGTTAGGGCTTGGAAGAAGAGTACATACACATACAGGCTAATGCTTGGGCAGATGCCTGTAGGACAAATAGAAACTTCTCCAGAAAGACCAGGGTGTTCAAGAGCATGTAACTGAGTCAGAGACTTGTGTGTTTGCAGAATAGCAAAGGCACCCAGGACACAGTGAAAGGTTATATGTCAAGCAAGACCTAGATTGTTGGAAGCCTTGAATACCCTGTGAATGGTTTGAATGGTGTCTTCCAGCTGGTGGGCAGTCATTGAATGATGTCATCGATAGAAGTAAAAATGATGGGGGTATGTATTTAGAAAGCATGCCCAGGCACTATTATGGATGATGATAAGGCTGTAATTACAGGTGGAAATCATGCACCTTCCACTTCTACAGGTGGAAGACAAAGTGGTCCTAATCTTAGTTTCAGACAGTAAGAATGGAGGTGGAATGAACATAACTTATTGACCACTTGGGAAGAGAGAAGCTGAGGATGACACCTTTGTTTCCAGCTCACAAGACGTATAGATGGGTAGGGTCATTGTGAAGAGGACTGTAGGAGTATTTATTTAAGAACAGTGGATTTTGGTCCTATAAATCATGCCTCTTGCTTAGATCATACCTAGAGCATCCTTTTCTGATGTCTCACCAATCTTCTGTTGTCTTTTCCTGCAGTACCTACTGAAATCTTGAGAATGCAGCTTAGCTGCCAGTTCTTTGTACGCCTGTTTTATTTAGATACTATACCACCCATGGCAGAGTGCACACAGGATCTGAAGCAAAGCAAGGTTGTCAACAGAGTAGCTCTGATTCACTTCCATTCTTAGTTTTTATAAGCATGAATTCTGGATTGTCTACTGTGAGCAGTCACACATTTGTTTTCCAACTTAACACTTGTCAAATTTCCAAGACAGATCCCAGATTGCCACAGAAAAAGTTCACCCAGTTCTGTGCTCTTTCTCAGGGGGAAAGAGGAGCCTCTGGACCAATGGGAGAGCAAGGTACTAAGGGATGCAATGGTGCCAAAGGTCCTAAGGTAAGGGTCGCATAAGACATTGTGGAGTCTTCCCAACATGAATTGTTTTCTTATACTAACTGCCACTGTCCTTTCTATTTTCAGGGAAGCAGAGGACTAAATGGACATCAGGTATGGTACCAAACATATCCATCTATCTCCTCAGTTGCTGTCTAAAAATATTTTATTCATGAGATTATTGGCCAGCAGATTGTGGGAACAAAGTTTCTGTTGACCTTTTTTGCTGTCAGTAATTGAATTTTGTTTATTTTTATATTTTATTGCAGGCAATGTGTACTATTTGATGACAGTTCCTATTACTAAGTAAACTTTGATATAACCCAAGGCCAGCCTAAGCAAGAAGCTGTATAAGGAACAAAAAGTTAGATGTCTTGTTTGATGCCTTCTTTCCACATAAATGTAACGCACTCCGTTCTGATTGCATATGTTTTTTTAGGGAGAAGCTGGGGAGAGTGGAATTGACGGATTGAGTGGCATACAGGTAGAGCGTTCTCTCTGTGCCATAAAGACCCTACTGAGCTATTTTCTCGTTTAAAAAATGGCGATTTGAATTTTTTCTTCTCTGTTTCTTAGGGTGACAGTGGTCTTCCTGGAAGAAAAGGAGAAAAAGGTGACGAAGGATCACAGGTAGGGACTCAATAAATAGACGACACGGAACCTGTACCGGGAATAAAAGGTGTAACTAAGGGTAGAAGAGCTGTCCTGGGTGTGTCTGTCGGCCAGTGCCTCAGGTTGCTTTGTGACAAACCATCACAAAACCTCAGTCACATGCAGCAGGAACCTTGTTCTTATGTGTCTGAGAGGCTCACCTGATCTAGGCCGAGCATGGCTACCCTTGGCTCCTGTGTGTCTGTGGGTTGTCTGGGGCTTTGTACCACATGTCTCTTATCCTACTCCTGGGCCCAGAAAGCTGCCTGTCCATGTTGACCATGACCTCTTCAAGGCCATGGCAGAAGCAGAAGAGAAGAAGTAGAAGCACACCAGGCCCCAAGTCTTCTTGAGGCCTAGGCTTTGAGCTTTCTCAGTGACATTTCTATTTCTTTCTGTTGGCCCCACTGAGTCATGGCCAAACTCAGGGGAGGGAATCTTACCTCCCCCTCGCCAGTGCGCACACACACACACAGTTGAAAGGCAGTGCACAGTTACATGGCAAAAAGCATAGATTCAGAGGGGAGTGAAGAACTGGGGTCACTAATGAAAAGCAGCCTATTCCCATCTAGAACAAATACCAACAACAGTTGTACTTCCGTCATCTACTTTATCCGTCTTTAGTGTGTGGACGGAGGAGTCAGAAACCCACTTTCTAGCTGATGCAACCACCTAGGGGAAAATGGATAATCCCTCTGAATCTCAGTGGCCTCGTTAAAAGCAAGATAGTAAACAATACCCAGTGTATAAGGTAGTGGTAAAAACTAAACAGGATGATAAATGTGTCTGGAACAGAGTTCACCACTGTAGCAAATAATTGGGGTCACTCTTAAATTATTCATATGATGCCTGAAACTCTTTCTTGGTTGTTTCCCTTTCTGGTTTAAAAATAACTTTGGAAAAAATTTAATTATTCAAATCAGGGAGGAGATAAACTCTTTGATTCTATTAATGTTATTAAAACTCCTTGTCTTGTCCCTCTTCTTATTTTCATTAACTTTAGGGAAGCCCGGGAAAGAAAGGGATTCCTGGAGACCGTGGAGCAAAGGGCCTGCGAGGAGACCCTGTGAGTGCCGGCTGCATGGGTCGTGAACTGGCGTCAGGGTTCAGCTCCCATCGGCACTTTCAACAGGGAAAGGCCTCCCCACTTTGAGGTCCTACAACAGCAATCCTGAGTTCAAATCACCACAGGCACAATTGTAGAATTTTAAAAGCAAGTTCATTACATTAGATCCTCATCACATAAGAGATGAGCATGGACAGTGAGAAGCCCTTGCACTTGACTCACACATGTATCTTTTGAGAGTACACATGCAGAATTGTCCTTGCACTTCAGAGCTGGGAAGGGATTCCAGTCTACTTCCTTTTCTTTCTCTGGCTGACTCAAAATATGGACAGAGGGGAAGAAACAATGCCATATCTTCTTTTTCTATTCTCCAAAAGCCTTTCTCAATTGAGAACATTATTTTCATTTTTTTTAATCCAAGGCAGCTGAGATTATATTAGTCCAAACATAGGACACACAGGTGCCTGCTCTCACGAGACCTACACCCAAAAGGCAGGGCCACACCAACAGGGAACCTGCCAAGTCAAATGAGATGTTCATATTGGACAACTTGCTTTCAGTACCGTGCTCACACATAAGGAAGTCTCCAAAACCTTGATGAGTTAGGATTTAGGTTTGTTTTTAAACATTTATTAAACATTTTTAGTGAGATATAATTGACATGTAACATTGTGTAAGTTTGAAGTATACAAAGAGTTGATATGATACATTTGTATTTTGCAATGTGATTAACCACGACAGCGTTAGCTAATTCCTCTATCATGGCACATGGTTGCCACTTATATTTTGTGGTGAGAACATTTACTATTTAGGCTTTTAGTATCTTTGAAGTATATGATAACATAGTATCATTGTCTAGGATCACTATCCTGTGCATTAGGTCTCCAAAGTTTATTGAACTGTAAATACATCAGAAAAGTGCACAAACATAAATACACCTGTGTATTCACCACCCAGGTGGAAAAAATAGAACATTAGATAAGAACAGAGCACCTAAGAAACCCCCTCCTGTCCACTGCAGTCACTGCCAACCCTCCCAAAGGTAATCACTGTCCTAGGATCATGAATTAGTTTTACCTGTTCTTGAGCTCTAAGTAAGTGAACCATTTATGATTCGCCCTTCTGTCCCTGGCCTCTTTTGCTCAAGTGTATGCTTGTGAGATTCATTTATGTTGTTGTGGATAATGATAGTTCATGCTATCTCACTGCTACATAGTGTTCCGCTGTGTGGCTATGCCATGATTTACATATCAGTTCTGCTGTTGGTAGGTATGTGGATTGTTCCTGATTTTTGCTCTTATAAATAGTACTTCTACGAACATTCTTGTATGTGTCTTTGGGTGCACTTTTGCACACATTTCTATTGGGTCTATACTTAGAAATAGGATGCCTAGGTGATCACTGAAATACCTATATTCAGATTAACTTTTTAGAGCCAAACATTTTGCAATTTTTTTTTTACTGATTTACACCCCCACTGGAATGTGCCCGAGCAGAATGACTAAAGTTGATAAACACTGACAGTATCAAGTGCCCATAAGGCTGTGGGCAGCTGGGAATCTCACGGGACTCTGCCTTTAAAAACTTCCCCCGCAGGACACATGGGTCGATCCAAGAAAGAATTTGGTGCAATACATGCTGACAAACGTAAATGTCAGGCATGCATTGAAGACAACTCCGTTTGTAAAGCAGTGGAATTTGCACTTGCTGACAGCATTGTTTACTAACTGTCATCTCCTGACAAGTCTGGTGACCTGAGGATTTTCAAACAACTTCAGACTAGCTAACTGAAAACAAAACAAAAAAAACTGTCCACCAATACAAATAATTCAGAAATAGTAGTTCAAATACAAAGGCATTTCAGTCATCTGGATACGACAGCTAAAAACCCACTTGGGGCATTACTATAAAACTGCCATTCACCATGGTCAGAGTTAACCCTAATTGTCTGCTAAATTGTTTGTGTGATTATGTAACACCTTTAAAGAATCTCAATAATGTAAAAGGATTTTTATTTAGAAAGAAATGTTCTGTGGTTTCAAGAGATGGCTGAAAATTCCATCCACTAGAGCTTTTCTGAGTTGAGTGGTTTGTTGTTATACTAACTTCAGATGGTTTTTCAACACATAATAATTCTTCCTAGCCACTTGGGAACATATATCTCATATTGAAGATAATTCCGTGGTTTTTGTGGCTGACTATTTTAGAAAAAAATGTTTTAAATGTTGTAAAAAGATTGACAAAATAAATAGAACACACAGAATCAGGTTATTTACAGGGACACGTGCAGATGACTCAAATTCTGGAAAAACCTATGTTTATTCAGCAAGAAGGTCCAATCATGTGAAAGCCAGCATTGCTGTTTGAAATTCCCCATTTGGACTGAAATATTTTTTTCAAATCTCATGTAACTTTGAGGGAAAGCTGAGCTAGATCATTTATCTGAGCTACAGAGTTTACCATTCCAAAACATGCCATTGTTAGAAGCCCATGTTTAGTCATAAATTTGAGTTATATGATGCTCTTATGTTGTTTCACAGAATTTGAAAGACTTGACCAGATACTACATTCAGACTAACCAAACATGAGAATTAGGATGTTCTAGTCTACAGAATGTGCTGGAATATGATTTTTTAATGTCATCTCTTGAATCAAATAGTTTAGAAGTTGGACCACAATAAGAAGTTTATACAGGCAGTGGAATAAAATTTTGGGCTTTACATTACCTCATTACCTTCCTTTCCCTTACGTACCTTTCTCACCAAATATAATTACATAATACTGTAATTTAAGTATATCCTGCTTGGAGAACTTAACAGAAAAATGTTTAAAGAATAAAACAGGAAATGCAGAAAACAATCTTTGGCTTCCGTATATGGAAGAGAGGAATAATTTTTATTTGTCTTAATAACATTGGTTATAAAGTAAATTCCAAGCCCATCTTTTTCACTCTTGTTAGCCTATAAACCCTGTAAGTGGACAAACTACTTGTTTAAAAAGCTTACTGACTCTCTGGAACAATCACATGTCCCTGTTGGTGATCACAAATTGCTTATTGATTGATGAAGGTAATTGGGCGGCTGTCAGCCAAACAGCCAGCAGCTGGCACTCAGTAGGGCTGGGTAATTGCTTTCTTTCCCTTCTCGATGTATTGAAGCACTGACTGTGCTGTCTGTCCCCCGCCCCCCACCGCCCATCGATCAATCAATCGTCAGGCACCGGCACCGAGTACTCTGTTTACGGTCCAAAACCATCCTCCCGCCCCCGCCCCGGAGGTAGAGAGCTCTCGGCTTGGCGCGCGTGGGGCAACACCCCACTATGTGTGCCTGTTTGGAACGAGTTTCTGTGGGAACGTCCATGTGACTGTTGGGAAAAATGCCCGGCTTTTTTGAAAACCAAAAAAGTAGGGGTGAGCATATGTGAGAAGAAAGCAGCCGGGCGCCCGTGCGCAGAAAGAGGGAGTTGGTGGCAGACGCTGCCCTCCGCTGCTCAGCGCGCTTGTGTTCTTGCAGTAGAGCGCGCTGCAAACATCTGCCTTTCCCAGTGGTCGGGGAGAGTCACGTCTACCAACCCTCCAGGTTAAACTTGCCTAGGCCCCAAGAAAGGAGAGCAAATGGTAAGAGAAAGGATTGCAGTAGCCAGAAAGGGGTACCCCAGACCCAGGATGAGTTCTTGTAAACAGGTCCTGCCACCCTTGCTTCCCTTGGCTCCGCCTTCTATGCTGACTTTGCTCCATATTCCACCCCACCCCCCATCCTGTCCCCTGCGCACACCTTGGGTTTCCACTCCCTTCTGATAATACAAATCACAGAAAGAAAAGAAAACACCTTCTTAACTCATTTCTGCTTTTCACCGAGTTGAACCTTTGTCTACTTTTGGGAGTAACTAAGTATGTTACATACAAGCCACATTTTTAAGGAGAAATGTTTGAAATCTATTAATTTTTCTTTTTATTTCCTATTTTCAGGGAGTTCCTGGACTTGACAATATCATAGAAGGACCCAAGGGCTTGAAAGGAGGACGTGGACAACAGGTAGTTACGGGAACATTTGAAAGTCAGCTTGTGAGGCTCAAGTCTTAGTGGCAGAATGTGAAATGCATAGAAAGAATTTCGAATCAGAGTGGATATACTTCATACAAAAGTTATTTTTAGGAACAAAAGGGTCTTGTAATCATTATCTGCTACTACAGGATTCTGGGAACATTCTCTTCTTCTGAACTTGGGGTGATGTGCTTCATTAAGCCATAACCTTGAGGTCATCATTTATGTATGTAAACACCCAAACTCCAACCTAAATGTAGGGCTAGCTAATGAGAAGAACCATCAGAAGGGTTGCTGGTTTTCCCAGGATCCAGAGGACACGCACCCTAAAAAGCCAGCGTATTCTTCATGGTACACGATACAAAAAGTACCAAATCTGGCACGATGGACTTGCCTCTAGTCCCCTGGGACTGTTCTCGTGAAGCTTCCCAAGTAGCAATTGCATCATCTGAAGTTATTTGTTTAGAATTTAAAAAAATTATTATCTGGCTAATGCTGGATCTTCTGGCCGAGGAAGTGTCCTCGGCCACCCCCACCTGGTGGGGTCTGATATGGTGGAAGGACTTTGTTTTGGGGACAGGATGGGCCCTGTTTCAGGACCTGTCCCTTACCATCCTGTGGCCTTGGGCCACTTTCTGTAAACCTTAATTTTCTCATCTGCAAAATAAGACAGAAAGCCTACTTTTGACAGTTATGGTGAGAATTCAGTGACTGACCCTGCTGTATGAGAACCCTTTGTAGGAAATGTCACCTACAATTTTTATTAAATGATAAACGTAAGTTTCACTGTAGACTCATAATTATTTCTTCCTTTTCTATCTTGGGAAGACTTGTGAGTACTGTGAGATACTCACATTTTTATTCACACCAGGGCATAATCTGCGTAGGTTAGCTAAACGGAACAAGAAGTCCAAAGGTAGAAATCTAAACCAGCACTGTCTGTACTAGGCATGTGGCATGCTTCAATTATCCACTCTGTGGGGATAGTTTGATTTAAATATTCTAACTGCACCGTAATTGCACATCAGGCAGCGGTGATGAACAGATGAAGCCATGTCATTAGCATTTTGTCCTGCAGTTGCTCATTAGCCACATTGAGATGATTTATGGCCAGTGGAAGCAGAGCTCCATTCCAAAAGGAGAATAATTCTCCAGTTGGTGGGTACCCATCCCGCCTCCCTGGAGCAAACCGGCTGAGGTTGAGGAGAAATGCGTCTGTGCTGTGTAATGACTGGCACACATCTGTTTTGTTCATTCGACAGGGTAGAAGAGGCGTGCCGGGCCCCCCTGGAACACCGGGCTCCCGAAGTGACACAGTAAGAGCCTTTCTAGACAAGGAGACCCACTGCTCCAGGAGGAGCCCATCTTGTGACGAAGATGGCTGAGTGGGGGGAGTGGGGGGCTGTTCTGTGGGGCTCAGTACTTTGGGGACACTGGTCAGAGAACAGAGCTGGAAGAGGGCTTGGGGAAGCCCCCGCAGCTCAGGCAGGAGGGGGCTGCCTGCAGAGGAAGTGACCGACCAGGAGATCAAGCTGGGCAAAGAGGACAAAGCAGCAGCCTCTCAGGGGAAGAGGTGTCGGAGTCTGGCCTCCTGACGAGGCTAACTGAGGTGGCCAGTGACGCCGTTTTAAGTCTAAAACTCCATTCCCTATCAAATCGTATAGCTATGCACTTGAAAAAGTGAGTCCTGGTTGAAGTCCTCTCTCTGTTCTTCCATTTTTTCCACCTCGTAAATATTTTCTTGATGGAGTATAATAGCTGGTTGTATCAACTTCAGCCCAGAAAATACAGTGTCTAATATATGTGATATATTAAACTAGTTTTTATTTGTGCTCAGTTTTGCAACATTATATGTTTTTGTCGAGATATAATGTTGTGTTCATTCCAGGTGTTCAGCACGATTGGGTATGTGTCTATGTGGCAAAACGGTCACCACTAGTCTAGTGAGCATCCATCCTTCACTACTCAGAGTTATTTTTCTTGTGATGAAAACTTTTAAGATTTACCTCTCATAGCAACTTGAAGCTATATAACACAGTATCTCTAACTATAGTTGCCATGCTGTACCTTATGTCCCATGGCTCATTTATTTTATAACTGGAAATGTTTATCTTTGACCGCCTTCACCCATCTCCATTCAGCCTCTACCCTTCACCTCCGGCAGCCTCTGTTCTGCTCTCTGTACCCATGAACTTCTTCTTCATGATTCCACATATAAGTGACATCACAGTATTTGTCTGTCTTTGACTTATTTCACTTAGCATAATGCCTTCAAGGCCCATCCTTGTTGTTGCAAATGGCAAAATTTCATTCTTTTTTAATGGCTGAATAACATTTATTGTGTAAATAAATCCATTGTGCATATATACACCACATTTTTTAATTCATTTATTCATCAGTGGACACTTAAGTTACTTTCATGTCTTGGCTTCTGTAAAGGATACCACATTGAATATGGTGGTATCTCTTTTGAGTTAGTGCTTTCAACTTCTTTGATAAATACCAGGGGCAGAATTACTGGTAGTTCTATTTTTAGTTTTTTGAGGAACCTCCTTACTATCGAAAATATTATATATTTTTGAGGCATAAAAATATATACCTGAGAGCAGATTTTGATTACTTGCTTATGGAACCTTTGGGGATTTTTTAAATGTATTAGTTTGTTTTTTCAGTGAGTACTTTAAACAAATGATTCTACACTTCTAAGAACACAGAGGTTGTAAAAGAAAATCTTTACCCAAAGTACCCAAAGAGATACTTTGATAAAATACACTTAAATGCCTGTATTGGATTCTAAATTAGACCTGCCTCTTCTCATTGTGTACCATTTTCTTTTATTTTTTATGTAGTTGTCTAACCCTCTGCAAATGCCTTTACCTCCCCATCCTCAAAATATATAATGTTTTTAAAATGAGCACAAATAAAAACTAGTTTAATATATTCATTTGTTATGCATTGTATTTTCTGGGCTGAAGTTCATAGAACCAGCTATAATACTCCATCTAGAAAATTTTTTTCTATCTTGGAAGGCACTCATTTGCAGAGCAGAGAGATGGAACTAAAAACACAGATTACAATTAAAATGTGCAGAATCTGATTGCTGGGCAAGCACTTTACTACTGCAGTTTAATGCATCTAAAGATAAAGGGATACATCTGTTATTCATTTTACCTTTAAATGGGTGTTGCCAGCTTACATACCCCAAGAGAATATTTTGAACTGAAAGATTATCATCCAAGAGACCCTGGCATGGAAGATGCACTTTTGTCATTGGACAGAGGCCGTCGTCTCTCTAGAGGCTAATGCCACGCGTGTCACCACGCGTCACCGTGCACAACTCCTGAGAAATACGGCATCATCTTGGGCTTTTAGGTTCAGCAGTGTCATTCATGAGTAAAAGTAGGACTTCCAGTTAAAGAAGGCGAAGTCAAGGTGTTTTTTTAATACTATTGCCCATTTGTGCATTTTACCAAAAACAACAAAAGAAACTTTAAATAGTTTAACAAGCTGTGACCGCAACTTTAAGCTGCGTGGGGTGACTGTTGGCCCCACTCCTTTAAAATCTGGTTCCTCATGTGGGAGGCTTTGGAGAGCTGACTCAGGCCGCCTCTGCCCTCAGGCAGGATTGAGGGTTTTCTAAAAGTAGCCTCCCTATTCCTGAAAAAGCCAGTGAACAAAATCCAGGGATACTATGAATTCTGAGACGATCAGGGAATATCCCGATGGACACCATTTAGCAGAGGAGACAGAAACAATGAGAAACTGAAGAGCATTCCAGCTGTAGTATCTGCAGCACAGCAGTCCGGGAAGGCCACAGAGCTCCAGAGACAGGGCAAGAAATAGCAACTATCATCACAGCGCAGAGAAGCTATGAGTTGAGGGACTTCGTGTGAGCTCCATGACTCTCTCAAAAAGGCAAAAGATTTGTATGATCTGAAGAGACACCACAGCATATCCATGAGTCTCTTAAATGTCAGTATGTCAAAGCAGAGGGAGCCATAAAGTAAAAGAAATAATTCATGATGAGAAAGTACCGGAGGCAGCATACCTATATCAAAGCTACGGACCCAAGTCTAGGTAGCGGTAAGTTATTCAGTAAATAGGTGACCCTGTTCAAAGGTGATTAATAATGAAAAACATTAATAATCTTTATTGCTAACCGGATGATTACTAACCAAGACCTATGCATTGAAATGGCAAGAAAACAGGAGGAGAGCTGGATAAGCACGGGGCAGATGAAACCTCGTTAGCGGAGGAAATGCTTAAGGAAAAGGCAAAACAACTCTGGCAAATTATTCTCCAAAGCCTCAAAAAAAAATTAAGACAACACAACTGCTCTAAAAAGAGTCCAAAGAACTGATAAGACAATAGAAAGTGGAAAAAGCAAGCTGGTAGTGCCTGGGGGAGCCGTGGGGAAGGGGAAAATGTAGAATTTAAGATGTATTCGAAGCAACAGAAAATGAGAATAAATATGACTGAAAAAATATAGGCAGGCATATGGTAATCAAGAAGCCACACAAGCAATAATTGAGATAGACTATCAACAGCGGAGAGCCAAAATGTAGGATTTGCATTACTAAATGAAACAAAATGCAATGGAAAAACATTCAGAAATGTAATAAAATATAACTTCTAGAAGCAGAAGCTCAAATATGCAGATAGAAAAGACATTCTTAGAAAAGATCCATACAAATATCTCATCACTGAGCCACATCCTATGAAAACTTCCACATTTATTATGTAAAGAAAAAATCATGAGAATTTTTTTATTAAAAAGGGATTAAAAAATTCTCATGATTTTTTTCTTCACGTAAGCAGAAAAGATAGAAAACTCAATCTGTTATCAGCTTTCTTCCCAACATTCAGGGACCAAATGAAAGAGTAGAATGGCCGGAGTTCTGAGATAGAATGGTCCGAGGTTTGTATTCTCACTCAAGTGGTCCCGAAAGCATGTAAGTTCTCAATACAATGAAGCTGTCAAAAACTCAGACAACGTGGCTCTCACGTTCCTTTCTTTAAAGTTTTATAATAATAAATTTGAATCCCTTTAGGTGGAGAAATGAGACTAAGTCAGAAATTGGGATTATAGAACAAAGTGTAGATTTTAGACATTTGACAATTACAGATCTCATGAAGATGAGGAAGTGGGCACCGTGTTGATATACTGAGTGCTCACCTTGCGTTGTAGGGACTCAATCTCGAAGCATATTCTTAAGCTAAAATGCACATTGCAGAAATATCCTCGCCTCCTAATTATTCTTCATGGTCAAGAAATGTTACCACCTGACATTCCCAGTCATTCAGTTTTATTTTTCCTCCTGTTAAATTCAAATACAATTAAATGTATGTTGACTTTAAAATAGCATGAGTAACATGATCCCTTTTTAATCAAAAGTACCATATTTAGAACTTCATCTGTAAACACTCATAAAAAGATGCCAAGAATCATGATTACTAAATGTTAACGATAGTTATTTTTAGATGGAGGATGTGGAATAACTTTTACATTTATATTCTGTGCATTTTTTGCATTTGAATATTTAAAAATCAACATGTCATTTTCATAATAATGGTGAAGTCATTATCCTTTAAGAGAGAAGAAATATCTGTAATGCTAAAAAAACTCTAAAATATGGGTAGGTCAGGAGCGTTGAGGATTCCTCAGTGCGAGGGATTTCTTCTGGACTGATCAGTGAAGGAAGGATGGCCAGTGTGGCACTCGGAGAAATCCCCGCAGGGGACCGAATCTGACCCTCATTGGTTTGGTAAACCCTACTGAACACCTACAGTGTACCACAACTCTACTATCTATTAGAGCTACAAGCTCAAATGAGATGTGTAACCTTTGCTATCCAGGAACTGAGAATCATGTTGAGGGCATGGGGTCTCAACATGGGGTCTCAACGCCATCTTGTGCGTTGTAGGATGTTCAGTGTCATCCCCAGCCTCCCTAGGTGCTGGAGTGGCACCCCTGACTGTGGCAACAAAAAGTGTCTCTAGATGGCACCACATGTTCCCAAGGAAGGAGGGGGTGGTTGCTAAGCACCCGCCTTGTGGGTAGGAACCACTGTTATGGAGGAGGGATGCAGACTTGTAGAGGGATGAGCTCTGTGCCAGGAGTCTGTAATGGGTTGGGTGATGGGGGAGGAGGAAGGGCCAGGGCCAGGAAGCTGCAATGCCAAGGATGGGGTGGGGATCGGAGTGGGAGGTTGGCTTTTTTTGAGCCAAACGTTTCTGAGAATAAGAACAGATTTTTGTGCCATGGCTAATGAGAAGCAAATGTAGCCTCAAACTAACACATGATCTTCAGTCCTGTTAAGTCCTGAGGGTCTGTTAGTTATGCTTTGCCCTTTTCCTCTTTCTCAGCACTGTTCACGGGGAGCTTGAAGTGCTATAGGACAGTCATTTATTATTGTGAGTGAGCTTGCCATTAAGATTTAGGACTAATGGGATGCTTTGCTGTTAAGAATGTCCTTCATTTTCCTGGGGACTCGGAGTTACAAATCAGTCCATACCTATTTGGGAAAGTGGGGCATGGTAACCAACCAGAAAGCCAGTCTGCAAGGAACCGAAGGGCTGAGGACTCCTCTGGGTCTTCTAACTCCCAGGTCTTCTTTGGGGAGATTTTCTTTCTGGCTCTGCCCGTTCACATTCCCTTTCACAGGTGAGTAATGCCGTCTGGATGTGTTGCCAGACAACTATGAGCCTGTAGGTAAGCCATTAAGATGTCTCGGGATTTAATGTTTCCCATCTAAAATATTTGAATATTTGAGGCAAAATTATAACAATTGCCTCCATATTTCCTTGCATTTTTTTTTCTTTTTCTCACATCTGCTGAAGGTATTTAAAACCGTGACCTTTATTTGGAGTTTAAATCGCCAGGAGCTGTTAATGAAAGCACTAGCTGATTACTTCTGGAAATGCTTCCGTTATTTCAGTGAATGTTCCATTAAGGCCTGTCCTTTCCACTAGGCTTACAAACTCCTGCCGTGGGACAGGAGGCAGGTTTTCTCAGCACCAGGTAGACAAGTGCCTTGGAGGAAGCCGGAGCTCAGTGAATATGTGTAAAGATACATCATTTTAATCGAGCTCCGTTGAGGTCAGACAAAGACAGAAAGAAGCATTCATGGGTGTTCCAAACACTGCGACAGTGGACCAGATTTTTGGATGTGGAAGCTTGTTTCATACCCTTTATTGTACAGGAAGCTCTTTATTTTGCCCAAATATAAGGTTCCATCTCATTGTTCCTGCACAAGCAGAGGTGTCCACATAAACCCCAGGTCTGGCCGTGTGCCAGTAGCAGGGCCCCGGTGGTTTCTGCTAGCAGAGTACAAACCCTTCGTCTTTGGAACCCCACTATTCACTTTTCTTCTCATGTCTCTGACCTGGAACCCCTGCTACGACATACACTCCTAGTTTCCTGTTTTTATTACTCAGTCTGGTATCCTCTGCTGGAAAGAGGACTTCCTATGTCTTCTCCCCCATAGAACTCCTACCCATCCTCCAAAACCCATCTTTAAAATCTCTTCTTCCAGGAAATTTTTTTCTGGTTTGACTAATGAAATTATTGCGTTCTTCAAAGCCTGCATTTCTGCTGCTCCCTTTTGCTGTGGTGTTGGCCATACTCTGCCTTGTAAGTGTTCATCTCACCTGAGGAGTGAGGGGCCCCTGAGGTCAAGGACTGTGTGTGTGTGTGTGTGTGTGTGTGTGTGTGTGTGTGTGTGATCCTTATGCTGCATGGTCCCCTCCCAGTGTGCTTTGCGGGTAGGAAACCCTTGGTAGATATTTTTCTTAATGGAGCTGAAGTGAAGTGATTCAGAACAGAAAAAGCATCTTTCCTTCCCTGTACGAAATAGGATTTAGACTTTCATCTCAAGTTGATTCATCAGGGTTTTCAAGGAATAGGACTCCAGCCATTTCCCCAGATGCAGAGTCTATTTCCTAGATAATAATAAACTTTGACTGAAATATGATTGGTAGAGTTTAAAGTCTGCAATACTGGCCTCTCAGAATTTTGACCTGAACATCCCAAATAAATGTCCATTAAGGAAATATAGTCCGATAGCTATTGAATTTTTCAAATCCTGGATGTCAGTATTGCTATTACCTCACCGAGAGATCCTCAGACAATAAAATGTCTTTGTCTCTTGATTTCCAGATCTATGAAGTACTGATCTGGAATATACCCAGATCTTAAATATGAGATTAGGAGGGGAAAACCCAGTTGATTATGTAGCACCATTATTTTGATTGGATATTTTATTAACAAACTAAATTGAGTAACTTTTGAATGATTGTAGTGATTCTTTCATTTTTTGACAGGTATTTGGCTTTGGGGGGATGGGATAAAATTAGTTTGGCTATCCTTCGCTTCTGAAATTAATCTATAATAAAGCACATGATCTTAAATTTCTCAGTCATTCCTTTGGCTTCCTGCCTATTGACCACTCTATTCTTGATTTTTTGGCTTATGTAGTAGCACTTTGGAAAAATAAAGAGAAATAAAATTCAAACCAGTCAATTTTGGAGCTTGTGTGAACAGCTCTAGTAACAGTTTAGTAGAGGATGAATTATCAACCAAAATCACTTCTCTTAAGTATCTATAGAGTTCAGTTGTCTATGATTTTAATTACCTGTTGCCTTAGAATAGAGATGGCAGCATTTTGCTTTCCTGGTATAGTGGATAATTTAATGTTTTGAGCAATAGGTGGAAACTTTTTTTTAATGTCAGTGCATTAAAGTGCCAATTACTAATTTAAATGACATATAAAAAGCGCTTTTTCCAGAACTTCTGATATATACCTTTTCCTCCCATTTTAGGCAGCTCCTGGCCGAAGGGGACATACAGGCCCACAGGTACAGTGATGTTTTTCCCCCTTAACTCCACATGTCCAACCAAAGAGCTGGAATGAAGACTCTAAAAGCTCTCTCTCAAGCCTGAAGTTCTCTTCTTTTTGATATTAGTTGCAGAATAATAAAATGTTAGAAAAATTTTAGGCTGCAATTTCAAATCTTAAAAGGAAATGAAAATTTGGGCGCTTAAATCAAAATCATAAAAATCAGTGATGAGACATTACTTGCCCAAACATTGTTAAATTAAACTTGGATTATGCATACAAACTCTAGTGACTCAGTAGGTGACTTTCCTTTCTTTTTTAATAAAATATTTATTTTTAGAGAGGAAGGGAAGGAGAAAGAGTGGGAGAAAAACATCAATGTGTGGTTGCCTCTCATGTGTCCCCCCTACTGGGGACCTGGCCTGCAACCCAGGCATGTTCCCTAACTGGGAATCAAACCGACAACCCTTTGCTTCACAGGCCCGTGCTCAATCCACTGAGCTACACCAGCCAGGGCAGTGGGTAACTTTTCTTTTAGATTTTTGCTCAGTTAACTCTGAAACCTTATTTAAAATTTACATACACCCCTTTTAAACCAAGAGAGTACAAAAAAAGCCCTAATATAAATGGGATTTCTGAATGTTTTGTTCAAAAGTGGACTATACCAAGTATCCCGATCTTATCCCCTTTGGATGTATTGGTGATACAGTAAACAAACATGCTTCATGAGCCTACAATACTTAAGAAAGCCTGGTTGTGACTTGGAATTTTTCAAAACTGAGAAAGCACATATCCTCCTATTGAAAATAAATAATAAATCTACTCTTAATCACATCATGGGGGAACTCCAGAATGTTAAAGAAAACATTTTAAGCACTACCAGCAAGAAAAGCCAGTTAGTTTTACCCATGAAATGAATAACAGATTAGAGTGCAGCAGACTTCTGTTCGCTAATAATAGATGCCAGAAGACGGCAAATTAATATCTTGCAGGTGCAGAGGCAAAATGGCCAGAAACCTAGAATTTTGTATGTAGCCAAACTAGAAGTGAGGAAGGTAGACCTTTTCAGGTAGACAGAGAGTCTACCATCCACGGACATCACCCCACCCACACACACTTCATGGTTAGGTTTCAACAACAACAACAACAAAGCAAATCCAGAAAAACAGCATAAAATAAATGAGATGGGGAGAGAAAGTGTTGAGAAATTTCCTCTTTCGGATTTCTCGGGACATCCGAAAGAGGAAATTTCTCAACACTTTCTCTCCCCATCTCATTTATTTTATGCCGTTTACGTTTAGTCACACCCAACTGTCTGACAACTGAGACGTTACCTTGGGCGGTCCTTGTCCTTGCCTGAATTAAGACTTCCTTAATCTGTTCTGACTCCTCTTGGAGTCCGTGTCTGTGGCAGAGTTTAAGGGCTATGTGAAGCGAAGGCTCAGCTGTTGATCCTTAGATATTTTAACTATTTGAACATAAATGCAATGTTGCAAGATGCTTAGAGTTTTTAAAATGCAAAGTAAATTGTGAGATTTTTCAAGCCCAATGCCCAAGGTAGAGATAGCATGCATGTTAAAGTGTTACAGGACAATAAGGGTGTGTGTGTGTGTGTGTAAAGACAGAAAGCTGTGGCTAATTCTGCCTGATGAGACTATAGAAAATTTTCATTTCCTCCTTTGTATTTTCCTGTATTCATATTTTTGCAAAGATCCTGTACTGTCATTGTGATTAAAAAAAATTTGTAATCTTGCAAGTAAAGAGGACAAAACTCTCAGGAAACACTGTTAAGAGGTGGATTCTCTCTCAACACAGGGGACAACAGGTGCTCCAGGCCCAGATGGACTCGAAGGCTCACCTGGACCTAAGGGCCCTCAGGTACATATTGAAACTAATCATGATGTGAGAACTTACAGAATCTGAAGTGTCGATAGAAGCCCCTGATGCGCCCCCTCCCACCTCCTTGCAGAATTGTAGTTGTTTAAAGGGTTTTCAGGGCTATAAAGTAGGGAAGCAACACTGTCCTGACTTGTACAGTACTCGGTCTCCTTTATCTGAGTTGTATTCCAGTCAGGAGGTGGCACGAGAATGAACCTGCTGGGCAGTGGTGCCTGAGCCATGGGTTCAGGCCAGCAGGGGTACTCCAAAGAGACCTGGGGCCAAGGAAAACATAGGGCCTCAAAACTGGGGATTTTGGTCAATTCAGCATTGTAAGTGTTCAATGTTACCTATCTGGGTGCCCGTGCTGTAGAAAAATTGGCTCTGCTGTAGGAAATAGTTACTGCAAATACAGCTGAAGTCTTCAGCAGGATGCTCTGCAGTGTGGCACTCGGCCTGTGCTTTCTAGCTCACCTCTCCTGGGAGCTGCCCCGGGCGCTTTTTCTTTACAAGGAACAAGGCAGGGCTGACTCTCATACCGATCACATGAGGGGGAGAGGAAGCCTGTGCCAGAAAAAACACAATGTGGCCTAAAATAATGAGAAGGGAAGGGAAGTCCTAGAAAAGGCTGAGATGAAAAGATTAAAAAAAAAAAAAAGGAAAAGTCAGGCTACAGAACATTAGAATCATTTTTCTTTCTCAATTTGAAATCTCAGGAAATAGTGTTGCTGTTTGGCAAATGCAGGACAAGCAAGGGCTTTGCAGTTTTTTTTCAATGTTTTAACCCACGTAGTTAAGAAAAATAACCGAAGTAACTAGTACATGTTGGCAGCTTGGTGCATGGACGTTGGGCGGAATATCCATAGATAGGAGAAGAGAAACTCGGTTCGCATTTCACCGGGATTTCAGAGCAGCCAACAGCCTGCCCCTGGGCCGCCGTCTCTCTCCAGCGTGATTGCTTTTCTTTGTCTCACTTGCCAGCTGAGGAAAGTTCACCTTTCCCAGCTTCAGATGAGAAATATTTGCCACTAGGGTCGTGGGGAAGCATTTCCGTGGATTGACTGGCTTTATTTGTGCTAAACAAGCAATACTTCTTCTTTTTTGCAGATTCACACTTTTTTCATGACATAATTTAAAAAGAGATGCAAAAACTACACACAGCGTGAAGGTTTCTTTTGCATAACGTGGAAGCCATAGTTAATAAGCAATATAAATAATATCCCAGAAGTAGAAATATCCAAATTTCATCTTACTGCATGCCCTATCTTATTTATGACCAGTTGTCACTGCAGTTACGGAATAGAAATTCATCTAAATAGTTCATTTGCAGGCTTATATAATTAAGGATTATTTTGTTTTTTTGGTTTTTTTGTTATTCTCTCTTATAGCCTTCTTTTCTACTTGATTTTATTTCACAAATTATCTAAATCATTATATATTCTTTTTTTTGTTTTGTTTTTTTTAATTAATTTTATTTAGTTATTTTTCAAGTACAGTTTTTTGTCTATTTTTCCCTTCCCAGCCTCCCCCGCCCCTTGCTCCCCACCTCCCTCCCATTTCCACCCCCCTTAGTTCTCATCCCTGTGTCCTTCCTATTTGTTCCTCCAAATCCCTCCCCCTTGTTTTTAGGATTATTTTCTTTTCACATAATACATGCAATTGGAGTATAAAGATGCTTAAGATCATTAGAAGGCAATACTGAACGTTTCCCCTGCTCGGTATTTCTTCACTTTGAATGCAGCTGCCCAGCTGCCCAGCTGTCAGATCGGACGCCTGACTCCCCGCACAGAGGGACAGCTCAACAGGTCAAGGCAGAACCAAAGTCATGCATGGACTTCTCGTTCCAGTTTCTGGCTATGTCACTGACTTAGCCTTTCCGTTTTAATATTCAAGTTAATATTCAAGTGTATCATTTTAGGGAGAAAATAATACTTTCATTCCCTCTACCTAGGGCCCAAGAGGAGAGGCTGGTACGAAAGGAGAAGCAGGAGGTCTGGGGAGTAGGGGTCCCCAGGTACGTACTGACACACAGTGACTGCATCCGGCTTCGGTCTTGGCTTTCACTTGGATGCCTTTGTGGTTTATTTATTACCTGTGAACTAGCAAATGTGTATGGGGTTTGACTTCCTTGCTTGGTATGGCAACACCCCGTCCTGGCCCCTCCCTTCTTACTAAGCAGGCTGTCCTTCTGTCCCACACAGAGCTGGTTTCTAGCCCTTCACCTCGGCAGCTTAGCCACTATTGTGAGGTTAAGGACTCCTCCTCTGTGTAAATAGGGTCATGTTACTCTCCCTCACTCACTCCTCAGGCGCTTCCCATGAACCCCAAATACAACCCACTACAAACACAGTCTAGCTATACCTGAGACTCCCCCGACAGACTGTAAACCATTCCACCCACTGGGACCTTCCCCGCACCACTGACATCAGAATCTCTGGAGGTGTGGCCAGGGTCTCAGTAACTTTAATTCTCCCCAGCTGAGCCTAACACACACACCCAACAGTGGGAATGACCAGCCCACATCAGCACTCTCAAACTTCAAAGTCCGTCAGAATCACTACAGAACTTGCTCAAATGCAGAATCGGATTCAGTAGGTCTGCAGTGGGCTTGAGATTCTATACTTTCAGCACACCCCCAGGGCATTTTGAGTTGCTGGCCCCAGCCACACTTGGAGTAGCCAGGTCCTACATGATTTGGCCCTTGCCTACTGTCCCTTCTTCTAGATTGTAAGCTTGGTGGAGCCAGGACTTTGTCTTATTATTTTGGAGCCCACAGCGACAGTGCTGCTACATGGTGGAGCTCAATGCATAGCTGCATAATGAATCCATTAGTAAATGAATGAATGGGAATAGGTGGGACTTGGGCTCTGGGCTAACAGGAGGATAAAGGGAATCTGCTACTTTGTGTCCATTAATTACACTGGGCAGTGGTCCAACACATGCGGCTGTAATCATTGAATTAAGTTAGAGGCTATTTGCATAAACTTGTATCTCATGACACAATATTTTAAAGCATATTAATTACTGCTCATGGGTATATTTTTCCTGTTTTTTTTTTTTTTGTTGAATGTATGCCTTCAAAAAAGCATGAAAAATTAAAAATTTCATGGTAGGATTCAATTTATGAAAAGTAACTATTTTGCATTTACATCTTTGAATCATTAAAAGCTTGGCTGGTGTCACAAGTGGAGATTTTTTTTAAGTTAATGCCAAGGGAAAGATATATCTGGTGATTATCTCATCTGTTTATATAAAATATTGAGATGTAGATGGGTTGAAATTCAAAGAGTTTAGTAATTCCCTTGCTCTAGAATCCAAAGTTGTATCCAAATGACTGTTAACACCAGTAAATGATTCCATGTGCCCTGTAGCAAACTTCTGAGTGAGTGCCCTTTAATCTTGCCTTGGCAAGATCGGTCAGTCATAAATCATTCAGCCCCATGGCATTGCCAGAGGTAGTCAGAAGGCACCACTACTCTTTGGTATAGCTCTTCCATTGATCTGGCAGGAAAGCAGGGTTTTCTTTCTTTGCTTGCTTGCTTCTAAAGACCCATGTCAACACAATGAAAGTACTATTTCAAAGATGTGCAGACTTTTCGATGTTCAGGGCGTGATGAATGAGACCTCGTTGTTGTTGTTTCCAAAGGAAAGCTACAGAGACGAATACAATCAGGTGTGTACAAGGGGGTGTTATTCTTCCCTGGCTCTAAACCCACTCATAATAGGCTTCGTATTCCCTGAGAGCAGCAGGCCAGCCACTCGGGCGGAATCATATGAGTGTTTTCTAATCGCAGGCTGGAAAGTTGTTCTGAAGATATACATTTAGAAAAAGGGATGTGATGTCTGTTGACAATGTTCTGAAGGCTTGTTAATTTATGGGGTGTTGGAGCATTCTGCACAAATCAAACATAGTAACCCAGCCTAGTAATTGGCTGTGATATAAAATCCGGGGAAAGCCATGGCACAATGAAAAAGAAGAAAGTACTTTGAAAGTTATGGCATATTCTTCTGTACCTTCCTTTGTTCCTTTCATGTTTGGTTTGCCAGAAGGTCCTACAGGCATGTATCCGAGGCCTAGAAAAGGAATGGAAAACGCAGACACAAAATGCCGATTCCAATTAGACCTGGAATTATTCTTTCAATCCATAAGGGGTTTTGTGAAACAATCGCTGGTAGCATATGCAATATCAAGGAAGTTTGAAGTTATTTAGGGCAAATTTGGGATACAGAGTATAATTTCATCTTTACACAAAATAGCATAGGGGTCAAGGGCAGAGAGTGTAAAGCCCTTCCTGGGGGTGACTTCTTGGGGGCGACTGCCAGCCTTGTGCTTTCAAAACTGTGTGGCCTTCAGAAATTTACTTAGCCTCTCTCTGCCTCAATTTTCTCTGCTGTCAAATAAGAATAGCAATACTAGCTACCTCATCAAATTTTTGTGGAAACGAAACCATTTAATATATGTAGGTACTTAGAATAGTGCCTGCTTTATAGTAAGCACTGTACAAATGTTTATTACTACTATATGGCATTAATAGCAGGGACATTTTTTACCCAAAGCATGCTCATAGCCAATCCGGGGAAAGCCAGAATAATGACGACAACATAACACTATGTATTGCAAGCCCCAGATTTCATCGTTCTGCCTCATCCGGGTTAGATGACGCATCAGTCATTCCCTTTACCCATTTATAGACCTTTCCCGCGTGTTTCCTGCTGTCAGGCCCTGTAGCAGGATAAAAGGATGAGTCAGACACAGAGCTTAGCTTCACGTGCTCCCGGGCTCACCAGGGAGACCCATGCAGACACACGGTTGAGAGGTGGTGTAATAAATGTTACAGTAGAATTATACCCCGGCAGGATTTTCCGTCTCTCCTGCATAGACCCTTGCTTAACTCTCATGTGACATTTGTAAGGTTTTTGATAACAAGAGTTATTTTTGGAAGTTCTTAATGAAAGAAATAAGTGCATATGATTATTGAGATGATGGGTGTTTCTATCAAGCCCTTATGACACTAGTCCAGAAATAACTATTCTAACCATCTCATGTTACATAGGATGCTTATTTTTGAAATAATAAAGTTTCCAGCCAGAAAGAAAATAGAATTCTACCCAAGGTAGAGTGGTGGGAGAAGGATGGCGTTATAGGAGGGGAGTGTGGCTTAGCTTTTGCGGGATAAGGAGGGTTTCTGTAGGCGACCAAGGGAGGGAGGCAGGCATGCAAGGAAAGGCACCGGACTGTAGACAAAGAGACATTAAGGTGAGTTCGGGGAGCCACGCCCGGCTCCATGAGCGCGGAATGCAGGGTGGACCAGCACTGTCAGGATCAACATCTTCTCAGGTGTGGTGGAGGCTGGTTCTTGCATTAGCTCACCCCTTGCTGGCCTCTTGATTTTTTTTTTTCTCAGATTTACAGAAGCTGAGCATTTAATCTCCTTGGGTTGTTTGATATTTGCTTATCAGGTTTGATGTCACAACCTGATATTTGCTGGTGGTCAGTGTAGCCAACATTTTACCTCCATGAATATAATTGCTAACAGGATTCCTTTTAAAGGTGAAAAGAACGTGCACCCCGTACCCCGCCCTTGTGTATTCCATCCAAAAGGGAGGTGTCCTTGGCAATGCCCCAGCCACTAATCCCAATTAGTGCAGTCCCTTCTAATATGGTGCTACCTAAGGACAATTTAAAAAATTCTAAGCCTTTTTCTTCTATCCTCACTTAACACTAAAGCAGTTGCCGCTGTCATGAACCAGTGACCCCCCAGCCCAGGTCACCTCATTTGGGGATAGATCTGGCCCCACCCTCCTGCATGACGTTTGGAGATTCACATTTTTAAAACTCCAGTCTTAACCGAAGCATGGATGGTAAGAGTTTAGGAGTCCTGCCCAAGGACTCGGGCCTCAGAATAAGAGATGGGGTGGCTGGGGGTTCAGTCTTGAGGGTCAGAGTCAGGTTTGGTTCTTACCTCATCCTCCTATTAACTGAGCGATTTGGGCTTAAACACTTCGAGAATCTGTTTTTGATTGGTGAAAAGGTCTTAATACTTTGTATCTCACCATATTGTTGTAAGGACTGAAGAAGCCACATATAAATATCTACCTCTCAGTGCCTTGCACAAAATTAATGTTCAATAAAAGGACACCACGACAAAGCCAGAGGAGATTTGACCTCTAGCGAATGCCCTTCCTCTTTAAAGGCCCTGAGCTGCTATTTTAACTCAGAGTGACTCTTGATCTCTGATCGAGGCAGCCTTTCGACTCTTTGATGTCTTAGGGGTAGCAGAGTTTTTCTTACTTCCTTTAGAAATATGGCCCCTTATATAACTAGCGGTATTTGTGTAGGTGATTTATCTGGGTAACAACTCCCTGAAGCGTGTGCTCCATTCAAGGAGCCAGAACCCCCAGTGTGGAGCTTTGTGCGGTGCGCCACAGGAAACAGAATCAGGCTTTCTGATGTTCTCAGGAAAAGGTCCTGTCTGCGCCCTTCCATCCATCCGGGAAACCCTCTACTTCAGCAGGCTTTCAGACGGGCTGATCTCTCATCATGCTCATGTGCCCTTGAGGTGCCTACACATGAAGTAATCTCCCAGAAATATTCTTCACCTCGTGGAGCTTATGGTGTTTGAAGGAAGCACAGAATGTGGGCTCCCAGGCAAGACTTCCGGTTTGTCCCTGAGTGTCAAGAGCACTTAAAAATCTCTCTACTTCTTCCATCTGTGATCTACATGAAAATTTCCTAGGGAAAACCAACAAATCGAACACAGGATTTTCTCTCTCCTGGGAACCATTGCTGGATAGGTGGTTGGATGAATCAGTGAAAAGGTGGGTGAATGGATGGCTCCAGGTACTCTGCATGGGTTCTGGAGATATGAAGTCAGTGGGGTATGTGTTTGCCTTTAAGGAGCATCCAGGCTGTTCTCTAGTGGATGAGAGAGATGGTGAACAGTCACATACAGAGTAGAGGCATCTTTGGGACAGCCGAGAGGTCCAGCACAGCCAGGGGGGTCCTGGGATTCTTCTTGAGACAGTGATGCCCAAAGTAAGATTTTTAGTAGAGGGAGATTCTTCTTCCCGAGATGGAAAAATGAACCTAAGCAAAGGGAGCAACTTGCACAAGTGTGGGTGTGTAAGGCACAAGAAGTGTTTGGGACTCAGGTGTTCAATGAGCAAAGAATGATTGGAGTAGTCACAGATGACTACAGAGGCAGGCATGCCACCAGTTGGAGGGATTTTACATGCTAAGGAAGTACTAAAACTTTATTCTGAAAGCTATTCAGAATTCAGAATTTCAGGCCAAGTGACAGCAGCAGCCTGACATTTTAAATCAAAAGCAGAAAGGAATGGAAAAATGAGTTAGAGAGAAGCCAGGCCACAGCAAGGGAAGCCAGGAATTCAGGAGGGCCAGAAGGCAATGGGAATGGAAGAGAGATGGATAGAGAGAGGGGATACAGTCTGTACGGATTGTAAATAATAGCTGATTTGTTTTGAAAGGTGAGTGAGAGGGAAGGGTCTGGATGATCCTTGGGTTTCGGGCTTGTGTTTCAGGGGGCGTAAAAGTGTCACCATTTCTTAATGAAAAAAACATGAGACTAAGCATGACTTACGGTCAGTATGAGTATCTTTGGTAATCACTTCCTATGGGATAGCCACTAGGACTTTGAGTGTGTGAGTCGGGTTTGGACTGCAGACCTGTCTGTCTAGGAGTCATTGTGTGGAAGTGGTTTGTGGATCTGTGGGGCTGCCACTCGGCAACAGGGGGTGAAGTGAGAAAATAAGGTAAGAGGATGGGTCCCTGGGGCTCATGGAGATTTAAGAGGCAAACAGAAGATGAAGCGTCTTCAGAGTTTCCTGAGAAGAGACGAGAGAGGTTCCGGGAAGACCATGGTAACTTGATGATACAGAGTTAGTGGAAAAATCCCCCACTATACATAATTAACCTCAGATAAGGTCAGAACAAAAAAGTCAACTGGGCAGAACGTGCAGGCCGTGGGAGCCCCGTGCAGCGGTGGACGCGGAAGGACACAGACTGCGAGCTATAGAGAGAGACAAAATTGAGTGTTTTTTTTTAAGACAAAGAAGAGAGGGGAAAAGATGAAAGGCTGTGGAAATATCACATTATCTTTCATAGTAACCAGTTCATTGTTCAACAATCTTCCATACTGGGAAATGTTTTATGCCCAACTTACTGCAGTTTTAATTTTTCTGAAGATGAAAGATTAATGTCCATTTTTTCCTTCTGAACACAATCTGCTAAGTACCATGCTTATTATACAGATTTTATTTTTAAATTATAGTAATCATGGTAAAAAAATTATAAAAATGATTTCAATTCACCAATATTGGGATTATTTACAAGTATTCAGAAACAATCTAACCAAAAGACATTTTTGTTGCCATGTGTTTTGATAACCCAAGGGAAAACTCTAATCCCAAATGTCAATAACATAAGAAGGCATTTAGGCTGTTTCTGAACTGGGATTTTTGAATGTTCAGGTTTAAAGCTATTCCAATAAAACATTCTTCTAGACTATCAGAGAGACTTCTATCATATTAAATAGATTTTCCATATAGATGTGTGTCTATCTTTTTAAATTGTGTTATATTCTTCAATAAGTTCTTAAAGCTTTCTTTATGTAGGTCTTTTACCTTTTTTTAAAAGTTCATCTAAGAATTTTACAGTATTTTTCCCACTGGTAAATGAAAAGTCATTTAAATTTCTAACTTATTGCTAGGAAAGAGAAAACTATTTCAGAATATTGTACTACCTAAATATATCTTGTTATTGTAAATTATTTTCAGTAAAGTTTTTTGATCCTTCTGTTGCTCAAATAATATAACAAGGGGGAACATGGAAAAAAACAGAATTTTCTGCTGGAGGGCAGGCCCCTTGTGGTTCAGGCTTTCCCCACTAGGTGAGTGTTCTCAGAACCCATCTGTAGCAGTGCACCAGCTGGCATTGTTGTGAGAGGCTGCATCAGCTTCAGTGAATGTTTTTTTAAAAGTCTTTCAGCATATTTGTTTCTTTAATGATGGGTGATTTACAAGAGCACCTGCCCACACCACACTGGGTGTTCAGCAATTTTTGACCAAAAACAGCCTAATCCCCATATGCCACCCTCCTTATTTTCCTGGTCTCACCCCAAGTGACTTTTTTTGTTTGTTTCTCGGATGAAAAAAGTTTTCAAAGGAAGATGTTTTGCTGATGTAGAAGAAGTTAAAAATAAAAAAACAGCAGAAACACTAAAAGGCATCAAAATTAACAAGTTCAAAAACTGTTTTGAGCAGTGGAAAAAAGTCTTGGTAGGTGTATTGCATCAAACAAAGAGTACTTTCAAGGTGACTGGAGTTTAAAGATGTAAGAATAAATACAGAAAATTTTATAAATAAATTCTGGGGTTTTTGGATTCCCTCTCCCCTTGTATTCACAAATAAAGATGTTTACCTTAACTCACACACACACAATGTGTTTTCTACCAAAGCAAGGAACCAAGAAGAATATAGTTCAAGGCACATGTCATCTAGGACACCTACAGTACATGTTTGACATTTTAGCAACATCTGCTCTAACAGCAGAACAGTGAGAACCTAACATCTCTTTGGAAGAGAAGACTCCCACTCATTTAGGCAACATCTGGCATGAATTACTTTATTAATTTTCCTTTATTTGCTAGGCTTCATTTGACAGCTGGGATACTTTTTTCCAAAGCAGGAATCAGTGAAGCCATGTGTCTTTTTTGCATCTGGGGTTCATTTTCCTCTTAGAAGAGACACAAATGGTTTCAAGGAAAGTTGCTATATGTTCTGCTGTATTTGCAATTCTTGTTTTGTTTCAGGGGCCTCCAGGACCAGAAGGAAAGGCAGGGAGTCAAGGCCATTTGGGAAGCCAAGGAAATAAAGTAGGTCACATTCTTTGTACCCACCAAAGTTAAGGCCTCTTCCTCCAGGGAAATGTGTCTGGTTGGATTAGCCAGAGCCCTTTCAACAGAGAGAACATATCCCATTGCCCCTATACCTTGGCTTGATTCTTAGAGAGACTGCAGTAAGTGAGTGAGTACACGGGTGTGGACCAGGATGAGATCAGGGATTCCAGGTCAAAGAATTTCGCCAGGGGCTACTCCTTATCTGAGCTGTGGAACCTCAGGGAAGGGGGCCTCTTCTGGGGGCACGTTCTCCTCCCTCCCTCCTTCCCTCCTACCACCCGCCCCTCCTTTCCTTTTTTCCTCCCTTCTCTTCTCCATACATGCAAACCTTTATTTCTCCCATTATTTTTTTCTCCATTCATAGAAATGTTTGCTGAACACCTTTTAAGACAAAAGGCCCTGGCCTGGCACTCAGCTAACCTGGAAAGTCAACTCCAGGAGAGCAGAGATCTTTGTTTTGCTCACCGATGCATCCCTCGTGCCCAGAACTATACCTGGCACATAATAAGTGCTTATTAAATAGGTGTTTCCTGGAAGAGTTTCTGGGTTGTATAATTACAAATACGATGTGGAGCCAAGTCCACAGAATTTGGGATATTTTCAGGACAACAATCTATATTACAGAGTCGGGAACAGGGAACTGAAGTGGAGGTATTAATATTAGTGCTAATAGCGATATTCCGGACTCGGGAAGGAGGCAACTGAGGGGCTACAGACTCTGAGTGGGCCTTAGAAGATAAGCAGGACTTTGGCGAGTGGAGAGGGAGCGGGGAAATTTCACAGAGAAGAAATAGGGTGAAGAGAGTATAGGGCTGCAAAATCCTGCAAACGGGTAGTTGGGTTGAACAATGGCACGTAAAGAACAAGAAAGTCTGTGGTGACTGACTTTATTAAGTAGCCACTACAGTGCTATTTACAATTTTTTATTAAAGTGTATGAAAACAGCCAGACTTTGGAAGACTTTTAAATAGGCAACTCAGCGCAGAAATATTTTGAAGGCTGAGACTGGAAGCCAGGAGACTAGTTGGTACGTGCTCACAGTTACGTGACCGAACAATGACTGGGTGACTTAACAGTGGGGGACTCTTCCAGGAGGAAACGGAATCCAGGGGAGATGGCTGGTTGGGGACTCACCGACTTCCATCGTGAGTGGTGACACCATCGCGGGAGTCAAAGTCATGAGGGAGAGCGGGTACAGGAGTGAGGAAGCTCATGCGGTTTGGGGGACAGAGGAGAGGCTTCAGAGCTAGTTGGAGATGCAGATTTCAGAGTCATTTAGACTCTGGGGAAATGTCTTTTTGTAAGACAGGGAAGAGAAGACACACAATGACTTATTAGAAAGGAGGGGAAGAAACCAAAAAGCATACTGGGTGCTGAGAAGAAGCATCCAAGGAGAAAAGGTCAAGAGCATCCGCTGATGCACGCTTTGAGAGCCACTGCCCAGCAAGAGGCCCGGAGGCAGATGGTCTGCTTCCCTTCCGTAAAGGCCTCTTTGGTGTCTCCCCGAGCTCAGTGCTGGCAGACATGCATCCGTGTGCACTTCTCACATGCACTCTGTTGCCTTTCCAGCCCTAAAATGAGTTAACCACTCCACTCAGTGGGGGCTACACCACTCCCATGTGGTTTCTTCCAAAGGCTGCACGGTGCAAAGGGCAGGGGGAGGGGGGAGGGGGGATGATGAGACAGTGGGAAAGGCCCAGCACGGCCTCAGCCGATGATTATGGTTAGCATCAGCAGTGAGAGCCACGTCGCTGGGATATACCCTTGACATGATGAGATGAGAATGGCACTTGACCGCTATGGTCTTTATCCTCCAAACCATAAAAATCAATGTAATTATGAGGAAAAACATCACAGAAACCCAAACTTAAGGACATTCTACCAAATACCCGACCAGTACTCCTCAAAGCTGTCTGCACCATCAAAAACTAGGAAGAGTTAATACACTGTCACAGCCTAGAGGAGCTTAAGTAGCCGTGACATGGGATCCTGGAACAAAAATAAAAAAGCACATTTGGTAAAAACTAGGAACATCTGTACAAAGTGTGGACTTTTGTTAATAATGAATCAATATTCATTTATTTTGAAAAATGTGCCCTATTGATGTAACTAGCGTAATGGTCGATAGGAGCATATCGGAACGCTAGGTACTGTCTTCACATTTCTGTAAAAAAAGGGGTTTGTTTGTTTTTTAAGAAAAGGAGGTAACCTTTTGTCAACCTGGGCCAACTCTCCCAAGTAGCTGGAATTCCCTCAACACAGTCCTGAGGTTGGCTTAGAACCCACACTGGATGTTCCAGCCATCAGAGGTCATTGCCAGGGATACTTTGTTGTATTGATGGGCACTTCTAGATTAATAAGTCTGTCGTCTTTGCAGCTGCCAGATGATTTGCGTGGATCATCATGGAAAATAGTTCTGTTCATTGTCTTAAACAGTACAGAGCTTCCTCTTCAACTTGTGGCAAGGGCCTCCCACGGGTGCAGTTCCTGGCACTGAGTGGCTGGGATGGCAGCTTGCACTAAACACGTCAGACTTGTTGAAGCCTCGTTTGTCACTAGAGGAGGCCTCAGTAGGCAGCGGCAGCAGTTGCACAATTCTCAGTCCTGGCCACACACCCAGTGTCACTGTGTGCTACACACAGATGCAGTTGAAAGTATTGTCTCTGTGCCATCACTTTTAATTTTGTTTACAAAAACAACCTAACGAGGATACATTTCAATGTTCTGTGTAACAGGGAGAACCTGGAGATCCGGGAGAAAAAGGAGCCATGGGCCTCGCCGGCCCCCGGGGCTTGCCGGTTTGTGTTTCGTCATTACTTTTCGCTTTGAGAGGAAAGCATTGCCCTCGCAATCTTTTCGTTCAGTGGATGTCAGGTGCGGTTCTCTGAAAAGGGGGTTAAAGATACCATCCTAATCCAGCCTGATAACTTTCTAGAAATTGAAATGTTATCCTCATTTTGGATGAGTTCCTTGGCCAGCTTTTCCAAGGTGGCATCTTCCCAGGTATTGATCATCCTGGCCAGGAGCTCTTGAAGCCAAAGGATAAAATGGACCGAACTTGCCTTTTGCATCCCTAGAGCCCTTCTTCCATCCTTGCCCACCCTGACCCCACCTTGAGAACCCAGTCATCAGAAACCCAGCCCACACTCCCCGCCCCCCCCCCCCCCAGCACAGGACAGCTCACTAAGGCCTTCTACAAGGGTCCAAGAGTAGCCAGTGCTCAGGCATTCAGAAGGTCTTATTTTTATCTGGCAAAGGGAGAATGGATTAGTGTTAAGGGATTAAAATGCCTGCGTTATCTGGAAGACAAAACACCACTACTGCCTTTTATTGAAAGTGCTACGTGCCTGAGATTTTCTCATTTAATCCTCATAATAACGCCAGGAGTAGGTATAATTATTATTCCCACTTCATTAGATGCTGCAGGTGAGGCTAAGGGACAGCGCTGTATGTGTTATTGAGAGATGTCTTTAGTGCCGCTGTCACCAAATGTCAGTGGCCTGCCATTGGAGAATCCTGCTTCCTAATTTCTCAGTCACACCCCAGAGCTGGCTGTTTTGTTTTCTTGTAAATAAGCCTGCCTCTGTCTGTAGTCTGGGCATTTGTAATTAACTGCTTGGTTTACAGGGTGATGATGGCAGCCCAGGTTATGGTAGCGTTGGAAGTAAAGGAGCAAAGGTAAGACTCGGCAGCAGCAAGCTGGACATTTTCCACTACTTCTTTGTTGCTTGGGGGTTTGTTTGTTTGTTTGTTTGTTTTCCACACTAAAGAGAGAAAAGAAAGTGAGCAGGGCAGTTTTGGACTTTTTAGAGATAGATTTTGGTAGTTTATTTGCTGATATCCTGTGGGGAATATGATAGAAGAAAAAAACCATTTGGTGGTTTACGGTGCAGGCAACAGCTGAAACTTGAAAGCTGATGTCCTGGTCTTTGCAGAGCCGTGCAGCCAGGGCCTGACATGATCCCGCCCTGTGCTTGAGTGTATTTAGGGTTACAATCCCAAAGGTGTCCTCGTTTTATTATGTTTACTTTAGCCATTAGTGAGAGGTTTGGCAGAGCCTTTGTAAATGCACTGGGCCAAGCAGTAACTCACAAAACTTTTAACTATATCAGAAGGATAGTTTTATATGTAAGTGTCTGGAAGTAAGCTAGAAAAGTTTATCAAAACCAGTGATTTATATATACATTAATAGTGACTGCCTAGAAAGTATAATAACAGCCACGGAAACAATAAAGTTAATGTCCTTTGTGTAAAGTGGTTGAGACCTATGAGAAAGAATTACTGAGATGACATAAAAGAGAAACTGATGATTAAAAAGACATGCCAAGTTCATGTCAAGAAGTCTAAAACATTATAAAGAATCAGTGTAATTCCAAATGAAATACCACTGGGAATGATGCAAGAGGCTCTCTGGGAAAACAGACAAACAAAAACAAAAGCTAAAAGTTCTTTGGAAAGAAAGAACTTGGAATGAGAGATTTCCAGTGAAGTGTGCTTTACAATAGAAAATAATTGAAAACAACTTTACTGTCTCAAAAAAGGGAAGTATTAAGTAGCCTACAGTGTTGGAATATTACCATTATTTATAGTGTATGGATGTGATGTGTATAATTATGTGAAGACATCATTATGTAACATATCAAGTAAAATATCAGAATGGAATCAGGAAAATCCATTTATCCCAATTGTACTCAAATAGTTTCCAAAAAGCTACAAGAAAATATAACAAAGTATTCATAAATGGGTAATGAAATTCTGGGTAATGAGATTTGGGTGACTTTTCTTGTTTCTATTTTTTTTTTTGTATTTTATATATGTTTGAAGAGATACTCTGCTTAATAATCAGGAAGTAAACTATATTTTAAATCAAATATTTTTTCACCAAATGGGGCTTATCACACTTCTTCCACTATAGTCTGTGATCAAAGTAAAATAAGCAGAGAACTGAAAAAGCAGAGAACGGAGTCAGGTTGAGACTCCAGGCTTCCCAAATTTCCCCACTGAAATCCATTGAAAAGGACGATTTCAGGAACACATGGCCCAGCAGTGACTGGCTTCCCCCGGCTACACCAACAGTGGAAGGAGAGCTGAACTGTAATTCCTCAGCAGCATGCAGTTTTCCATTTATCTTAGCTTGCCATGATATTCTGGTGACATCAGTTAGTAGTTCAATTTAGAAGTCAAAGTCAGTTTCTCAAATGGTGCTTTACAGTTTCATCGTCAGTTGTTTTGGTCCTTCCTTGGTTCATAGGCACTAAAAACAAGGTAAGTCAGCAGGTAAAATTAAAGTCAGCATAAACCTACCTTGGTGATCTATGCACATATTAATTTTCTGTACTGTCAATTACAGGGACAAGAAGGATTCCCTGGAGAAAGCGGGTCTAAGGTACTGTGCACTTCACACTAACTGCAGACCAGGCAGAGACGCTTCAGGTTATGGAATGTGCCAGGGGGCAATGGGGCAATTCATTATAAATGAATTTCTAAAGTCATTAGGGGGGAAAGGAGGGGAGACAGCAGGCTTTTTTAAAATAAAAAAATTTAGCTGTGGCTAATGTAACTCTGGATTTAGCACAGGTTGAAAACCGAAGGGTCACCGGTGTGATTCCCAGTCAGGGCACATGCCTGGGTTTCGGGCCAGGTCCCCAGTGGGGGTCACGTGAGAGTCAACCACACACTGGTATTTCTCTCCCTCTCTTTCTCCCTCCGTTCCCCTCTCTCTAAAAAGAAATAAATAAAATCTTTGAAAAAAATAAATTTATTTTTAGATGTTGAATTCATAGGTAAAGGAAGAAATTATCCTTGTTTTCCCGAGCACTTGTGCTGCTGCTCCTCTACCGTATCTATGTTCTTATTTGTTCATAGCAAAGTGAAATGTAAGGAACGCCAAACTTACCTGACCCCACCCGGCCCCTTCTTCCCAGTATGTTTCTAAATCGCCTTCGGGTACTAAGTGAGCCATGCTGTCACTTTTGCTAGAAGCACTGACTGAGCTCAGTAAACGCCAGCTCCTCTACAGGATCAGGGGACAAAATAAGGACAGAGTTCCTGTCTCCAAAGAGGCTGTGTTCTGACTGGGGAGGCAGAAGTGAAACAGTGAGCTATTAAATTGTGGGGCTTGGGGGTGTACCTCAGAGAAGACTGTTAAAAGATACAAATGTACATGAAAATGTCTTCAAAATACTGTATGATCTCACTTATAAGAGGAATCTAATGAAAAAAACAAACTAATGCACAAAATAGAACCACAGGCATGGGAACGTGGAATAGACTGAAAGTGACAGGAGGGGAAGAAGCGGTGGATGATGGTGGAAAGAAGGGGCAGGGACGAGTCAAAGAACATGTATGCATGACCCACAGACGTGGGCAATGGAGCGGGGACTGACTGCGGGAGGGGGTGTGGGCTGGGAAGGGGAGGGCAAATGGGGGAAATTGGGATGAGTGTAATAAAATAACAGGAAAAATATTTGGAAAGGAGTTTTATAACTCTGATTTGGAATTTAAAAAAGGAAAGGAAACATCTCTATGTTGGAATTAGTTTAAAAGCACACTGAGGTATCTCTTTGATTTTAACAACTGTTTATTTTTCCAAACTTATTTAGGGTGAGGTTGGCGACCCTGGTGGCCCAGGAGAAGTTGGACCCAAGGGAGCGAGAGGCCTGACGGTAAGTTTGTTCGATGCTCACAACATCAGCTACTTTGGGAAGTCCTTTTCAATGTTTTTCCAATCATCTGACGTGGCACTTGTTCCCAAAGACTTGTAAAATGTATGTATTTTTTATTATATTTGATTGATTGTGCTATTACAGTTGTCCTGATTTTTCCCCCTTTGCCCCCCTGTACCCAGCACCAGCCCCCACCCCCTCAGGCAATCCTCCCACCATCGTTCGTGTCCATGGGTCATGTTCTTTGGCTACTTCCTTTCCTATACTGTACATCCCCATGACTACTCTGTAACTACCTGTTTATACTTAATCTCCTTCCCTCTCATCCATTCTCCCACAATCTCTTTAACCTTTGACATTTTAATCTTGAAGTGTCTTGGTGCCTCTTTGCACCCATCTTGTTTGGGACTCTGTGCTTTTTCCTGGACTTACATGTTTATTTCCTTCACCAAATTAGGAAAATTTTCTTTTATTATTTTTTCAAATAGATTTCCAATCTCTTGCTCTTTCTCGTATCTTTCTGGCACCCTTATGAAGCTAACGTTGGATTGATTCAAGTTGTCCCACAGACTGCTTATATTATCCTCACTTAAAAAAAAATTTTTTTCTTCTTCTGGTTCTGATTGGTTGTTTTTTGCTTCCTTATGTTCCAAATCACTGATTTGATTCTCAGCTTTGTCCATTCTACTGTTGTTTTACTGTAAATTGTTCTTTATTTCAATTAACACTAATTGTACTTCTCATCCTGCACTTCTCACCAGGTCTTTTTTATGCTGCTGAGGTCCTCAGTAAGTTCCTTGAGCATCCTTATAACCGATTTTTCTTCTGTATTTCATTTAGGTCTTCTGGATTTTTGATTTGTCTTTTCATTTGGGACATCTTTCTTTGTCTCCTCATTGTGGCAGCCTCCCTGTGTTTGTTTCTATGTATTAGGCAGAGCTGCTTTAGCTCCGTGTCTTGGTAGCATATCCTCATGTAGTAGGTGTCCTGTAGGGTCCAGTAGCACTGCCTCCCCTATCACCCAAGGTGGGTACTCGAGGCGCCCTCTGGGTGGGCTGAGTACACCCTCTTCTTTAGTTGAGTGTTGATTGCTGTAGGCAGGTCAATGGGAGGGATTTGCCCAGGCCAGTCAGCTGCAAGGACTGGCAGTGACCACTGACCACAAACCTCCACCCTCAGTGGAGGATCAGTTGTGCAGGGGCAGGATGGTGGTGCTCCATTGTGGTCTGTAGCTGTCCACTGGGTGTGCTGGCTCTGGGGTTTCCCTGGGAGGTGCAGGCCAAGGTCAGCCCCCACCTGTCTCACCCAGGGTACCCTGCCTGAGCCATAAAGCAATCTGAGATGGCTGCTGCTTGTGCTGGGCTTGGAAATTCCCAGGTGAAGCCAAGCTGTGAATCTAGGCTGCTAGTTCTGGGCCTGGGGCTCACTGAGGCCAGCCGCTGCTTGTTTGTTCACATGGAAAAGCAGCTTGGGTGGGCTCTTAAGTCTGGTGGGGCGGAGTCTGCCGGAATCTCCAAGGCAGGTCAAACAGTGTTAGGTCAGGTTGATGGAATCTTAGATAAGGTACCAGTCTGCCAGCTCCGTTTGTGGAAGGCCCAGAAAAGGGACAAGGCCTCTGCTCACTTTGATGCCAGGTGCTTCAGTTCCTCCCTGTCTGCCAGTGGTGCCTTCCAAGCTGCTAACCAGTGATGGATCACAAAGGGAGTGAGTTTGAGTAAGTTCATGTGAGAGTTCTTTAAGAGGAAGTGCTTGGGGCTCCAGCAGTTTCTCCACCAACCAGTCCCTGCTAGTTCTCACAGCCAGGAACTGTGGGAACTTGTCTTCCTGGCATTGGAACCCTAGGCTGGGGGACCTAGTGTGCGTCCGGGACTCCTTGCTCCTGAGATATCCCTCCTAAATTTTTATCTACCATGCGTAATTGTAGGACCAGTCCCTCTTACCAGTCTTAGTGGATGTGGGTTCTTTAATATCTGTAACTGTCAGACTTTCATTCACCTTGGTTTCTGTTGGTTCTGAATGATGGTTCTGTATTTTAGTTCTGTAATTTTGTTGTAGTTGTGTGAAGAGGCCAAATGTGTGTATTTTTTTTAAAGCAAACTTGGGTAAGGAAGTGGATATGTTGCTCGTCCTCAAGGCCAGGAACAGGGCAATGACCGTTTGCTTTTAGTGACCAAGTTTACCTCTTCTGGCTGCCAACGTACTATAATTCCTGGTTTTTAAAAAATTTTTAAGGAATTCCAGTGGCCCAAAATGTGTTTTTAATAGAATTTATTGGGGTGACATTGGTTAATGAAACTTCCAAAATATGGTCCATGTAATCACGTCTCCCTGGCAGCGTTAGTGCAACCTAACACCCTCTGGGAACTCGTCCTCACTGCCCAGGCTTTGTTCACGGTTGTATCTTAGTGAGGTATGTGCCCTGAAAGACCCTCTCTTTACTGAGCTCAAGAGGGTATCTCTTGGGCTTTGAGAGCCAATTTCCGTGTATTATGTAACTGAATATGCCTTTATTATTCCTGGAAGGGGGTTAGATGTTGCCTAATGCTGTGACTCACTCAGACCGAACACAAGTCTCCATTACATTTTGCAGGCAGCAGGGGCCTTGGGTTCCAGGGGCTTCATTCAGAATGGATTTTTGTTTGCTGACTCTTTCTACATCTTATACTTAGTGTGAGACAGCTGTTTTACAACGAGAGACAAGGGTAGTATAATTGTCTCCAGATGTGTTCTTTGTCTCATTGGGACCTGCACTGATCAGGTGGGCTGACCCGAACACCAGGTCAAGCAGGAAAAGAAAAATACAGAATGTGACTGAACTTGATACTTGAGGTGGTTTCTCGTTCTTGTCATCAGAGTTGATTTTATTCTGTATATGTGTGTGTGTGTGTGTGTGTGTGTGTGTGTGTGTGTGTGTGTATATATTTACATTATATAGCAAGCACTTTAGGGATTATTTATGTGGGTTTTAGGGCTGCAAAATAGAGAAACTGCTCTTTTCTCCCTTCATCCTGCCTTTCCCAAGAGAACTGCCTCCCAGCTGTAATTCTTTCCCTCATCATATTTTTGGATCACTGTCCTTTAACATTAGGCTCTTTAAAAGAAATTGAAGGCTGATGTAATTAGATAATTGGAAAAGACTTTCGAGTTAATCTAGATGTCATCTGCATTGAAATATCTCTGTATCCTCTTTCCCTCTGCTTGTTAATGAGGCCTTTACCCTTGAACATTGGGAACCTTCTAACGAGTTCAGCTGCTTGTTGGTTTCCCTCTCTCCCAATGGCACATTAATCATTTTTGAAATAACAATAAACTAGTGGGTAATACATTAACTTTTCCTCTTGGCCTTTGGTTCCTTGAATTTTCTTTTTTTCCTCCCACATTGGGCAATTTGTCACTGTTTGTAACTTGCTAATTTCATCTGCCAAGCTGCATTTCCATCTACATGAGTACTGTTGAATTGGAAGTGTAGGCACTGAAAACTTCCAGGTTTTCCTTCTCAAAGAGTTGATGTCTCTACTGGAGGATCGTGGTACAGTGGTGCCTTACATGTGCAGTGCCTCTTTAGTTCCCTCGGAATGCTTACATTCCTAGTGTAAGTCTTCTGAATCTTCACCTTGGGTTTTTTTTTCTTTCACTAACTAAAGAGTTTTATTTTTAATTTGCCTCAATATTTAATCTGTCTTATTTTGTGTATTCTTGTGTGTTTGTAGGTACTTATATTTTTATTAACTTTAAAAAATGCACGTACTTCAGGGCAGGGACTCTCAAACTCAAGAGTGATGTGTTGGGCCTGGATAACTCCTTGTGAGCGGGCTGTCCTGTGCACTCCAGGAGATTTAGCAGCATCCTATTCTGCTGATCTATCCACTAGATCAGCAGTTTTCAACCCTTTTCATCTCATGGCACATATAAACTAATTACCAAAATTCTGTGACATACCGAAAAGATATATAATATTCTTTGCCAATCTGACATAGATAGGTATAATTTTGATTTGTTCACACTGGATGGCTATTGTTATGTTGGCTGTTGTCATTTTTTTAACTTGACAATCTAAGGAAAAAGAGGTCAGTGCCCCTGACTAAGTGGTCAGGTATTGCCTGTTTTAAAACTTCTCGCAGCACCACACTGGGTCGTGGCACACTGGTTGAAAATCGCTGCCCTAGATGCCAGCAACAGCCACCACTGTCTCCGTCCCCCTTATGACAGCAAAAATGTCTCCAGAGATTGCCAAGTGGCTCCTCCAAGGGATGGGGGGAGGTTCAGAATTCTCCCCAGTTCAGAACCACTGATTGAAAGAATCAAGTAATTTCACAAGATTTGTTAGGAAAAAGTGGCAATTCCTCTGCCCCCCATCTCTCTGCTCTCTTAATTTTTTAGGTTGTCTTTTTGCTCTATTTCCTGGGAGAGTTCATTGACTTTACCTCACGATGTTCTATTTTAATTTAAAAGAGCATTTATTCATTTTATTCTGTCTGAATATTACTTTTTTATACTATTTCTTCTTGTTTCATGGCTAGAATGTCTTCTCTTACCTCTCTTAAGGATCTAAATTAGCAGTTTTTAGTCTTCTCTGCCACGATAGTCTGTTTCCTGAAGTTTGGGGGTTTTCCCTCTTTTTCTCTATATTTCTCACATGTCTGGAGAATACAGTATTTCTCCCTATTTCAGAATTGAGGACAAAAAGGCTGATCAGAAGCCTCAAGGACAATGGGATTGGTCAACCACAAGTTCACTGCCGAGTGGTCTGGCTGAGTTCTTAGCAGACCTCTGATACCAGCGTCTGAGGTCGTCTTTGTCTAATCTGAGTTTCCTGAGAAGATTCTTTTCCATTTTCTGCCTGGGGCGGAGGTCAGACTGCCAGCTTTCTAGGGACCACATGGAAAAGAAGAACTGAAGGACCTTATATCTACTTCACATAACTTCATTCCATCTCTCTGTTTTCAGAGTGGTACCAGGGGCCTTCAACTCTTCCCCGAGATCCCTAGAATAGACACCTCGGTTTTCCTTCTGTCTGGTGTTGAGGTGGAAGAAGGAACAGTCATACAGCTGTAGAGAATGGAGAGGAGATGGTGGATTCCTCAGATGATTTTCAGCCAGTCCTCCTTAGTTAGCGTCTCCCCCTCTGCTCCGACAATGCTTCTAGTGGTACCTGGGCAGACACTTCCTGAGCCTCCTGGGAATGCGCTATAAAACACATGAATTCTTGGCTTTCCCTGCTGCTGACTTAGGATTCAGCTCTTTCAGATCTGCTAGGGCATTTAACACACTTATACATCTGCCTTCTAGGTCCCAAAGGCTACGGCTCTTATCTCCTTTCTCATTCTTTCCATACTTGGATTTTTTTTTCCTGTTTAAAGGTCCACTTACTATTATTTCAGTAAGGCACCAGGAGGGCTCAGAAGTACATGCATGTGCTCAATCTACCATTCTTTCCAGAGGTTAGGCTGTATCTTCTAAATAAAAAATGATAGGTGAGTTTTTTTCTACTCAACCCAGCATGCTGTGAATATTATCGGAATACCCAAAGGACATCAATAATTATTTGCTGTTCCTTGGGAAATGCTTCTACAAATTATGTTGGTTTTAGACAAGTTTGTGTTTATTCCTATAAAGGTTATAAATCCTGCAGCATTTTGGCTGAACAAAGGAATATGGTTCTAATTTTTAAACTGAATTCTAGCTTTCCTTTGTTAAATTATATTGTTAAATGAACACGGAAAAATTCCTGGCATAAAGTAAATGTCGACAGTGGTTGTTTTTATGATCACTGCTGTTCCCCATTTCACTAGAGATTTCTGACCAACTGTTAATGTTTTGTTTTTGTTGTTTTAAGGATTTTTTTTTCGTTTGTTTTTCAGGGGTTTTTTGTTCATTTGTTTTTCATTTTAGTCACTAATTTAGATAAAAGTTCATTGAGATAAAATTTTCCTTTACCCATCAGTTCCTGTTCTAGCAGGCTTCTCCAAGGAAGTAACCAGAATTGCATGTGCAGCTTTGCAGTGGCATTGCTTATTACCGCAGCAGCAAACTTAAGTGCCGATAGTAAGGGATTGATTAAACGGACCATGGTATATCTAGGTATGGGGATACTACGCAGCCAGGAAGAGTGATTTTGTAAAAGAGTACTGAGTAACATGGAACTGTCCAGAGATACCATAGATGTTTAGTTTAAAGGGCAACATAGAAAAAGTGTAAAATTATATTAAGGAAAAGCATATAGATTAATACTAAGAGAATAAATAAAGGACTAGAAAAAGACACCAAAATGTTAGCATTATCAGGGGGAGGAGTGGTTCCTGAGGACTTGTTTTTCTTCTGTGTGCTTTTTATAAATGTCTCAATTTTCTTAAATGAAAGTAACTTTGCAACTTAAATCACTGAAACCCCTCACATATATTTGTATATGTGTGTGTGTGTGTGTGTGTGTGTGTGTATACATACAATTTTAAAGTAAATAAATTCTGCTTCAAGATGTCCGCTGGGCTTCCAGGAGAACCAGGACCCCCTGGGGAGCTGGGACCCCCTGGACGCAAGGTAAGTTGAAAAGCCATAAATCACACCAGATCCTTTTCCAAGTAAAAAGTCAGTGCACAGGATCTTCATTGTCCAAATGAACATGCTTTCTGTCTCTGCAGCTTGGCAACTATTTTCCACCCTGATGGGCTTGGAAATAGGAAACAAAAATTGCCAGTTAAATACCAGTTGCCGTTTCTTGGGAAGTGGGGGGAATTGAAGAAGGAAATGAAGAGTATTCAGACTAAAATGAGACTGAAATTATCAGTAAATTTTATTTGTCTATTCAGTCCTTGTCCTCTTCCTATGTTCAGTGACCAACAGATGAAGGCAAGAGAATATTAATAACTAGTGAATAAGTGATTGAAGTTGCATTCACATTAAACTTTCTTTAGGAATTTAGGTGGGCTCCACTGCATTTTTTTTAAAGACTTTGTTTATTTTTAGAGGGGGGGGAGAAAGAGACAGAGAGAAACATCAATGTGTGGTTGCCTTTTACATGCCCCCTACTGAGGACTTGGCCTGCAACCCAAGCATGTGCCCTGACTGGGAATCAAACCAATAACCCTTTGGTTCTCAGTCTGGTGCTCAATCCACTGAGCCACAGCAGCCATTGCATTTTTCTTTGGGTGTCTCTCTTAGCCAGACTCTTTCTGCTCCAAAGATGGGATTGAACACATGGATTTCAAACCAGTTCCACTTCGTTCTTTTTATCCTCACCCAGACAGACACACATTTGCATATACATATGTTATACGAATGTATATTCATTTTGGAGTACAAGTGGGATTACCTTTCAGATGTTCGAATTGAGTCTGGTCCCTTTGTCATCCTAACCGATGATGGGGACAGATTAAGAATCAGCTCAGCTGCTGCTCAGTGGCCAAGGCGTAATAAGGAATTGAGGAACTTCAATATCTCTCTTAAAGAGGAGTAGTCACATGGCTGGTTCAGCCTTACCTAGTGCTACCAGGGTGTCCAGACTTGTGGCGTCTCTGCGCCACACCGGAAGAAAAGTTGTCTTGGGTCATGTGTTAAATACATTGTGATACTTAACCACAAAAAAAATCTCATGCTGTTTTAAGTATATTCATGATTTTGGGTCAGGCTGCATCCACAGCCGTCCCAGGGTGTAGCCCGTGGGTGCAGGTTGGACACCCCCATGAGCCACAGGCCTCCTCCAAAGCTTTTCATGCCAGCATCAGCTGGTCAGCTTCATCCTAGATTCTGGGCAGCCCTCACCCAGACACGGGGCTAGAGGAAATCGGTCTTCGGAGGTTTGTGCTGCTGCTTATAGGTTATAATTAATTAGGGGATGGATGTCTACATGTATTCTTTCTTTTCCTCTAACTTAAGAAGAATAAAAATCTTTACAAAGTTATCACTTTCTCAGAGTAAGTTGGTACGCATTCTGGCCTCTGAGGTGTGTGTCTAGAGCAGTGAAACCACGTTTTTTGTTTGTTTGTTTGTTTCTCTAGGGTGTGAAGGGGGCCAAAGGATTGGCTTCATTTTCCGTATGTATCTCCTGGCTCCCACGGGATGTCCCAAGCCCTCCATTAAGTTTGTTTTCTTTAACTTCAGGGCCTGGCAGTCTGTTGGTTAATTCTCTCCGTTTTATTTTTGAATCGTAGATGTGCGAGCTCATTCAGTATGTGCGGGACCACAGTCGTAAGTACCCTGCTGAAAACGATCACTCGAGTTGTCAGCAGTCATAGCAGAAACGCAGCAATTTCTGCACTTGAAATTGAGATAATTTACCAGCCAATCTTTTAAAATTAGAGATGTCACTGCATATATTTTGAGTCAGCACAGACTGGTGACGATGAACTAACTCCCTCTCTCAGTGCCGGTGTGTCTAATGGAACCTGTTCTAAGCACTAGGTAATAGTATATCTAGGGATTTGAATCTGGGGGACACTGAGATAAGAGGTCAGAACTCTCCTGAGGGTGAGCTCTTTAAAATGATGTTAACCCCTGACCCTAAGTGGCAAGATTGCATTCACCTGGTGAGAGAAACGCCCTCACAGGTATCCTGGTGGGCAGGCGGGAGTCCAGAGTCTGGCTCATAGATTGGAAATACCCGGAAAGGTATGCTTGATTCCTGTGACATTTTTCCTCTTGAAATTCTGTAAGCAAGCAGGCATTTTGATTTGGAAAATGCTCTTTGGAATTTGCTGTAAGGCCCGGGTGGCAGCTTATTCTGTCAAAACACATGCTACCACCATCGAAGGAATTCCTTCCATGTACAAGATCAGGAGGGAGTTGACTATTTAACATTCATCTACAAATGCTCATTCACTTCTAAAATAAATGCTATGAATGATGGGAAAAGTCAAAATCCCTCATGACATTTTGGAGAAGATAAATAGACAAATTAGAGCCCCTTTCTGCAGACAGCACTGGTCTCAAAGACACAGACTGAAAAGCTCTGAATGCAGGGCCGATCTCAGCCCCGCCTGTGTGCAGCGGAATGGACTCACCTGTGGCGGGAATCAACATACACATTAGGGCCTGAAGACCCGTGCTTTGGGGCTGCATGAGCACAGCAGGCTTTCTGACATGCAAGCCTTGTGAACTATAATGACCCAAGGGCACATCCAAGTATGATGAGGCCTGATTTTTTTAAATTGGAGGGGCTCGATACAAAATTACAGATCCAAAGGTGGGTCCAAAGTTATTTCAAAAGCAAGTGTTCTTTGGAACAAGAAAGGAAGTCACACACAATGGTTTCTGCATTTCACAAAAGCGCGTGTTCACGTGAGCACGCGGCTGCGCACCCTCCCAGGGCCTCCTCGCAAGGGGCCCTGGCAGGTGAAAGTCAAAAGCAATGCCACCCAGTCTCCTTTCTGCAATAACTGAGGTGCTCCGACGCACTGTCCAGTGTAGTAGCCATGGGCTGCATGGCTCTGAGGACTGGAAAACTAAATTTTTTATTTCCTTTCATTTTAATTAATTAAAATTTAAAGTCACATGCAGCTCATGGCTTCCATATTGAACAGTGCAGACCTAAAACTTAAGCTTCATTATCCTCAGAATAAATCTGTCTCTGATGTTAATTCACACACACGTGTGTGTTTGTGTGTATATATAATTAATAGCTATAAAAATCTGCATGGGGAAAATTCAGGGTGAAAAGAGGGTAGGACCTTTTAGCTTTCCAAATTCAGTGTGCCTCTCTGCAACCTAATACTCCCTCACAAGCAAAAGTTCTTTTCTTCTGACAGCAGGCTGCAGGCTGTTGATTTATGGCTGTAGATTGCCCCACCTCTCCCTTGCTATTCCCTGCGGAAGGAGCAGTGTTTGAACCAAGACGCTGGGCTGCATCTGCATTTTCTCTGAACCCTATCTGTTGCTTTGAGAGTTGAGTCATCTACAAAAAGCACACACTGCAGAATCTCAGCTGCCCTGATTTTCCTACACAGAGTTCTGTTCTACCAAATAATAACCTAGTCTCCTTTGTTCTTCTCCCCAGCTGGCGGATACGGTGAGTAACCTTTATTTATCGCACATTCTAATCAAGCCCAAAATGTCATACATCTGGAAAGATGAGTTAGAATAATATATTGCCTGCCAAGCGATGCAAGTTTTACCTGGGCCGTCTTTGCTGTTTCATTCTGGTAGCACAGACAAAGAAATCACTCAGCTGTAGCTGAGTCTCATGGCTGTTTCCCCAACCAACTGGTTTGATTTTTTTATTATTAATATTTTAATGAGTAACATTACCATATCTTACTGGTGGGTTTTTTGTAATAATATCCCTTTCCCTTCATTTTCTCTCTCTCTCACTATTTATCATATTGTGTCTGTATTTTGGAAGTTAGGAATTAAGATCCAGAGGGGGAAATGTGCAAAATAAAAGTGGAGATAATCAGATAGCAAGCCAGCTGAATGTGGAAGCTCAGCTAATGCTACAATCCGTGAAGTTCATGCCTCATGGTAATTACCAAGTTGGCTTTTTTAAAAAGATTTTTGTTTATTTATCTTTAGAGGGAAAGGGAAGGAGAAAGGGCGAGAAACATAAATGTATGGTTGCCTCTCATGTGTCCCCTGCTGGGAACTGGCCTGCAACCCAGGCATGTGCCCCGACTGGGAATTGAACTTCAATCCTTTGGTTCACAGGCCCGCCCTCAATCCACTGAGCTACACCAGCCAGGGCCCAAGTTGGTTTAATATCTTTCAGTGCTAGTTTTTTAAGTCTTTTTAGAAATGCTTGTTACCTAATTTTGTACAAATTCATCATCCCCCTCTTACACCTTTATATTCTTATGCCTTTTATGTAAACCCACCAATCTCTGCCCTCAGATTGCTTGTTCACCCATTCAGCAAACACTTTTTGAAAGCATAGGATGTGCCAGTCTGTCCCAGGAACTCAGGACATGAGGCTGAATAAGATAGACATGGTTCCTGTCTCTAGAAGTTTCCATTCAGTAGGGGCTCCAGAGAGTAAACAAATGAAGGAATCACAGACTCACGGGTGTGGGAAAGAGGTAAAGAACAGGAGGCTGTGTCACGCACAGAATAATGTTAGGGGAGGTGCGAACCCCTTTCAGAGGGAGGACTCCTCTGTGAGGCAGTGACATTGAAGTCACTGAAGAGTAAAAAGAAGCCAGCTCCCTAAGAGCCAGGCAGAGAGAAGTGCAAGTACAGAGGCCATGAGCCAAAACAGACCTAGGCATTTCCTAGCAACTGATGGAAGCCCCATGGGACTGAGACATAGGGAGGCGGCAGGGGCCAGCATTTGAAAAAATGGAGCCGCAAGCAAAAGCAGGTCAAGCTGAGCTTTGCAGGTTCTAGTAAGGACTGTACTTGAATTGTCCTGGGAGAGCGTTAAAGGTTTATTGAAGGTATGAAGGGAGGAGCACAAGCTGGTGAACAATATTTTGAAGCATCCTTGGGCTGCTATGGGATAAGTGTAAAAGCCAGAGGACTAGTTAGGAGGTGTTGCGGTGTTTCCGGCAAAGATGACTGTTCTGCACGAGGGCCACCACTGTTACGTGTCAGTTCCATGTTGGTGGTGTGGTTTGCCTCTTTCTGTCCCCGTGATTACCTGCTCAGTGTCCAGCAGCAACTGTCAGTATATGGTGCGTGACCACAGAGCCAAGTTGGGCTCAGTGCGGCAGTCCCTGCCTGGAGGAGGGCCCCTCGGTGTCCCCACAGTGCAGCCCAGCATCCTCGGCGGCCTCCGCTCCCTGGCAGCTGGATGGATTTCAGACGATGTGTTTGGCAAGTTGCATTAGCCCTTTGGTGTTTTTCCAGAAAAGCTGAATTTGTTTATATCTTCAGCTGTGAATCTTTTTCCCCTTTATCTCTAAATTACATCTGAAGCTGAGTTGTTGTCATTCCCATATGCAAGGAACAGCCCAAACACAAAGCTGGTGGAATCACTTCTATGTTTGGTCATTTCCACTCAGTTTTATTGTAGAATTGACATGACCTCAATTGTTAAAAATCAGCTACCCCACTAAATGAGACTCAGGGACCACTAAATTTTGTCCTGTCTCCATTGAGATACACAGTTTAATTTGGGGTCGAATGTTTATTCTTACTGGACCTTTTGCCTGTGAAGGTCACGAAGTCTAGGACCAGGAAAAGAGGACAGTCTGGCACTAGGGGCTGGGGCGGTGAGGCCCAGCTGGCCACCCGAGAGGGACTCCCTCCTCTGCCAGCCCAGGCGGGAGCCGGCAGGTCTGAGTTCCGGAGCTCTGTGTGAAGACCTGGTGGCCCTCATGGTGTTCTTACTGTCTTTGAACATGACTAGATGGCATATGAAGAAGCACACCATCGAGATTTCTTTTTACCAACCCACATCTCAACACCAGGCATCTCCCCCATTATTGAAGTTTGCTGTTCTTTTTTTGTTTTTGTTTTTGTTTTTAAATATATTTTATTATGCTGTTACAGTTGTCCCATTTCCCCCGCCCTTGACTCACCTCTGCCCTGCACACTGCCTCCTACCCACATTGCCCCCCTTTAGTTCATGTCCATGGGTTGTACATGTAAGTTATTTCCTATACATTTCCTATACTATTCTTAACCTTCCCCTATTTTCTACCTACCATCTATGCTACTGATTCTCTGTACCTTTTCCCCCTCTCTCCCTGCCCCACTCTCCTGTTGCTAACCCTCCATGTGATCTCCATTTCTGTGGTTCTGTTCCTGTTCTAGTTGTTTGCTTAGTTTGCTTTTTTGTTTGTTTGTTTTAGGTGTGGTTGTTAATGATTGTGAGTTTGCTGCCATTTTACTGTTCATATTTTTTATCTTCTTTTTCTAAGTTCCTTTAACATTTTATATAATAAGGGCTTGGTGACAATGAACTCCCTTGAACTTGACCTTATCTGAGAAGCACCTTATCTGCCCTTCCATTCTAAATGATAGCTTTGCTGAATAGAGCATCGTGGATGTAGGTCCTTGCCTTTCATGACTTGGAATACTTCTTTCCAGCCCCTTCTTGCCTGTAAGGTCTCTTTTGAGAAATCAGCTGACAGTCTTATGGGCACTCCTCTGTAGGTGACTGTCCCCTTATCTCTTGTTGCTTCTAGGATTCTCTCCTTCATTTTAATTTTGGCTAATGTAATGATGATGTGCCTTGGTGTGTTTCTTCTTGGGTCCAACTTCTTTAGGACTCTCCGAGCTTCCTGGACTTCCTGGAAATCTATTTCCTTTGCCAGATTGGGGAAGTTCTCTTTTATTATTTGCTCAAATAACTTTTCCACTTGTTGCTGTTCCTCTTCCCCTTCTGGCACCCCTTTAATTCGGATGTTGGAGCGTTTAAAGATGTCCTGGAGGTTCCTAAGCCTCTCCTCATTTTTTTGAATTCTTATTTCTTCATTCTTTTCTAATTAGATGTTTCTTTCTTCCTTCTGGTCAACACCATTGATGTGAGTCCCAGTTTTCTTCCCATCACTATTGGTTCCCTGTATATTTTCTTTTATTTCACTTAGTGTAGCCTTCATTTTTTTTCCCTCTAATCTGCAAACAAATTCAACCAGTTCTGTGAGCATCCTGATTACCAGTGTTTTGAACTATGTATCTGATAGGTTGGCTATCTCTTCATCACTTAGTTGTATTTTTTCTGGAGCTTTCATCTGTTCTTTAATTTGGGCCATTTTTTTCGTCTTGCTGTACCTATTATGTAGTGAGGGACAGAGCCATAGGTATTCACCTGGGCAGGGTAACCCACTTTGCTGTGTTGTGACACTGTGTGTGGGGCAGGGGTCTGAGAGGGAACAGTGGCACTTGCTCTGCTCTCTGCTGGATTTCAGTCACCTCCCCTACTTCCCACAAGCAAACTGGGCCCTTCTGGTGCTGGTTCCTCGATGGGTGGGCTTGTGTACATTCTAGAACCCTGTAGGTCTCTCCAGCGAACTCTCCTTTGAGGCTGGGAGTCTCTCCCAGCACCTCAGCCCCCACAGATTCTTTCAGTCAGAAGTCTGAGGCTTTATTTCCCCACACTGGAACCCTGGGTTGTGCAGTCTGTCCTGCTCCCCAGTTGTTCCTCCCAGTTTATCTACTCGCAAATGTGGAAAACCCAGTCCTCAATCCACAGCCTTGCTGGGTCCACCTGCTGCCGCCTTGCCAGCCAGCTGCAGCCTTGAGAGCCCTGCTCCACAATCTGCTGCCTCACTGGGTCCTCCACCGCCGCTTTGCCTACACCAGTCTTCCAGGTGTTGCCTTGCACTAGTCCTCTCTGCCCCACTGCCTGTCTCCGCCCCTCCTACCGTTCTATATGAATGTGTCTTCTTTAACTCCTTTGTTGTTGGGCTGCCATACAGTTAGATTTTCTGTCAGTTCTGACTGTCTTTTGTTTTTAAATTGTTGTTGCCCTTCTTTTGGTTGTGCAAGGAGGCACAGTGTGTCTACCTATGCCTCCATCTTGGCCAGCAGTTCCCGTTGTTCTTTTTTTTTTTTTTTTAAGAGTTGGATGCTTTACTTTTTTTAAATGCTTTTTGAAAGGCAGGAGCAGTTTATTTTTATTTATTTATCTATTTTTAGAGAGTGGAGAAGGGAGGGAGAAAGAGGGAGAAAAACATCAATGTTTGAGAGAAATGATTTCCAAGAGAAACCTGGATTGGTTGCCTGTCTCATGCCCCCCAACCGGGCACTTGGCCCACAACCCAGGCATGTGTCTTGACTGGGAATCCAACTGATGACCTCTCAGATTGCAGGCCGCCTCTCGGTCCACTGAGCCACATCAGCCAGGGCAGGTTGTTCTTCTTCCCATCCCTGTGACAAAGAGCTGTCCTGTGGTTCTTTTTTATTCAGTCAACATTTATTAGGCCCCTGATATATGACAGGGACTTAATAACTTGGCAGATCGAGACACAGTTCCTGTCCCCACACTTCCTAAATTAGTGGAAGAGGCAAACATTAATCAAATAATCAGACAAGTAGAAAATGCCAACCACGATAAGTACAGGGAACTGGGATTAGAATGAAGGAATTAGGATCATTGAATGAATCTGAAGGTAATGCTTACATTTGAGTTTTAACCATCGTAATTCAGAGTTTCTCTAAGTGATGAGCTATTTATTGATTAAACTTGCATTTTAGCTGCTACATAAATCAGCTAAAGTGTTTCTTCTTCTTTAAAGTGATAGAGTTCTCCATCACAGTGAGAAAGTCTATAATACTAATTATTACAGTTAGTAATAGCTAACATTCATTGAGTGCCTACTATGTGCCAAGCACTGTTATCCTATGTGCTTTACCTGTGTTGATTCATTTAATCCTCAGCACAGGCCTATACAGTGGGCAGTATTAGCACTGACATTTCACAGATAAGCAGACTGAAGCTCAGAGAAGACGGAGACACCTGGACAAGGTCACATGGCAGGAGTTGGGCCAGGGCTCCACACCCTCCCCTGTAGTGCCCGCTGTCTCTGCATCTACTGTCTGTTCTGCATAGAGCAGGGGTGTCAAACTCACTCTCACCAGGGGCCGTATCAGCCTCATGGTGCCTTCAAAGGGCTGAATGTAATTTTAGGACCATATACATGTAACTACTCCTTAACTGGGGGGCCCTAGTTACCTAGTTACTGTTGGCACTGGCGCCAGATAAAACAAGATAGAGGGCCAGATTCGGGCCTTGTGTTTGCCACCTGGGGGCTTAGTCACTTCTCGTCAGAGCTATCGCACCCATTTCTTCTCATCCCCTGTTACATTTCCTCATGGAGTAATAAAAATATGTTTCAGTTCATTTAACTGGTGAAGTTCCAGCAACAAACATGATGCCATTAATCCAATCTCTGTCAGTAAAAGGAAGGGCATATCCAATATCCATGAGCTCTTTATCATTTACAAGGAAATTGGTAATAAATTTACAAATGTCATTAAAACTCACATTGAATGATAGACTTTTCCTTGTGCTTTATTTAAAAGAGCAATTTCAGATTTTAGAGTAACATTTTTAAGTATTCAAAATCTAAATATTTAGTATTTTGAATGTTTTTATATTTGAATTATTACTATTTACTATTTAAATTTGAATATTTAACACTTAAAATTACTTTGCTTTCTATGTATCTTAAAGAAGAAAAAAACGCTGCACGGTCAGAGACGTGTGCTTGCCTTTTAGGAAAGCCAGAGTGCCCCGTGCACCCGACCGAGCTGGTCTTTGCCTTAGACCAGTCGCAGGATGTGACCAAGCAGGAGTTCGAGCAGATGAAGGAGGTGATGTCCTCGCTGGTGAGCAGCGTTCGCGTCCGGGACAGCGGCTGTCCCGTGGGAGCGCGCATCGCGGTCCTGTCCTACAACTCCCGCGTCCGACACCTCATCCGCTTCTCAGACACCTACCAGAAGAACCGCCTCCTCCGGGAAATCGAAGCCATCCCCTACGAGAGGTCCTCAGACGGCAGGGAGATCGGCAAAGCGATGAGGTTTATCTCCAGGAACGTCTTCAAGCGAACCCTCCCAGGCACTCACACGAGAAGAATCGCCACGTTTTTCAGCAGCGGCCAGTCTGCCGATGGCCAGTCCGTCACCACGGCCACCATGGAATTCAGCGCCCTTGACATCGTTCCTGTCGTGATTGCTTTCAGTAACGTGCCCTCCATCAAGCGTGCGTTTTCGGTAAGAGGATTATGCCTTTTACGTGACTTGTTCTTCTTTTCCGGGGCGGAGGAGGGACTCTAATCAGAAGCCTCTATAAGAAAGGATTGAATTATACTATGTATTACTGTTACCAGGCCCATGCCAAGCCCTGGTATGCATTACCCTGTTTATTCTAAAAGGTACTGTGTGTCTGTCACACAGCAAAACTGAGTCTGGAGAAGTTTACTGAAACACCCTGGGTCGCACAGCAAAGAAGTGGCAATGTCAGGACTGGAGCTCAGGCTTGCTCTTCTGCTGCTAATGCAGGGTGTAAAGAGACTCAGTCGGAAGGGCCAGTAAACCTTCCTGCATGTCACTCTATGGCCAGAGTAGTAATTGTTACTCTACCTTGCAAACCAATTGACTTATTTTATAACTTCCTTGGTCGTGTAATTACCCAAATGTTACAGAGGAAAAGCCATTCCAGTTATAGCTTCTCAGGTTGAGGATTAAATTCTTACTGTATAACATTCTGAAGTAAACCTGGGATCAAGATGACTTTTTTTTTAAAGTTGTGGTACAATTGATGTATAACATTATATTAGTTTCAGGTGTAGAACATAATGATTCAGTATTTGTATATATTACAAGATAGTTACCACAAGAAGTCTAGTTAACATCTGTCACCATAAGTGGTTATGGAATTTGTTTTCTTTTGTCATGAGAACTTTTAAGACTTACTCTCTTGGCAACTTTCAAATGTACAATGTAGTATTAACTATCATCATGTCGTACATTGCATTCCAATGATGTATTCTTCTTCTTTTAAAGGTTTTATTTATCTTTAGAGGGGAAGGGAAGGAGAGAGGGAGAGAAATATCAATGTGTGGTTGCCTCTCATGCGTCCCCTGCTGGGTGATGTATTCTTTTTAATCCTCATTCAAGGATATGCTTATTGATTTTAGAAGAAGGAAGGGAGGGGGAGAGGGGTGGGGCAGAGAGAGAGAGAGAAACACTGATATGAGAGATATTGATCAGTCGCCTCCCACACACGCGCCCAACTGGGGACTGAACCCACAGCCTAGGTATGTGCCGGCCCTGACTGGGGATCAAACACACAGTCTTTTGGTGTACAGGGTGATGCTCCAATCGACTAAGCCACACTCAGGGCATATTTATGTAATAACTGGATAAATGTACCTTTTGATTCCCTTTACCCACTGTACCCATCTTCCTACCCCACACCTCTGGCAACTATCAGTCTGTTCTCTGTATGGGTTTGGATTTTGTTTTTGTGTTTAGATTCCACACATAAGTGAGATCATATGACATTTGTCTTTGCCTGATCTGCTTCACATAATGCCCTCAAGTTCTGTCTATGTTATCACAAATGGCAAGATTTTATACTTTTTTATGGCTGAATAGCAATCGCTCATCCATTTCTCATGGGCGCACACACTTGTTCCATCTCTTGGCTATTGTAAACAGTGGCCCATGAACATAAAGTGCATCTATGTTCCAAACTGGTGTTTTGGGTTTTGTGTTGTTTCTGATAAATACGCAGAGGTGGAATTGCGGGATCACGTGGTAGCTCTATATTTTACTTCTTTTTGAGGACCCTCCATTCTGTTTACCATGGTGGCCGAACCCATTTGTGTTGCCATCTATTCTCCACGCCCTCACCCAGTCCTTGCTACTTCTTGTCTGTGTTGATAATAGCCATTCTAGCCTTCGAAGCACCCTGCCAATGGTGGCTCAGTTACAGAAGACCTGCCGGACCCAGTGAGTGTCCTTCCAGTCACGTGTGCTGGCCCAACATGGTATTTTGTTCTCTGCTCACGTGGCAGCCGTGAACAGGGGCCCCACACAGCAGCAAAAGGGTCCTGGAGGATGCCACCTGAACAAAAGGCCAAGCATTTGAAAGTTATTTCATTTGGAGGAAGGAAAGTAAGAAGCACCCAAATCACTGTCTTTGGGTATGAGAAAAATTCTTACTGGAGAAAATTTGCCAGCTGAACTCTAATTTAGCAAAATTCCATAGTAAAAAAAACTGGGATTAAGAGCAGTAGGAGACTCCAGCTTAGAGTTCAGAAAGAATTTTCTGAAGGCAGGGCTTTCTGTCAGCACGGACGAAATGGCTCAATGTAGGAGGTTGAGACGTCACCTCTTTCCGAAGGCATTTTGTGGGGGCAGTCACTCACCTGTCAGTGACGTCTGTCTGTCTTCCCTGAAGGCCGGTGGCTAGTATTAAGTAGGCTTTTGACCTTTCTTGCTTCATAATTTTCTGTGAAGACATTCAAATAAGCAGAAGGGAGTTGAAACAGAGTACTTGTCTACAGAAGGGAGAAAGCAGTGCCCTTGGTCTGGAGCTGCTGTGCAGATGAGTTGATGGAATGCTGTGCGTCTGTGCTTAGCACATAGTATACACAAGAGGAGGTAGCTTCTGCTTTATTGTCGTTCATTTGCTTGATACTGAACTGAAGTCTGGAACAGTATTGAAGTCTGGGTTGTAAAGGAACTGAAAGGGCTGTTAGCATCACTGACTCAGAATTATGCAAATGAACAGGCTGGCACTGCTGCCTCAGAAACGAAAATGCACATAAACTAGGAAAGATTGGGGCCAGCCGTGCAAACGAAGCTGCTGGGAGATGCTGGAGCTCCAAATTCTGTAAGTGGATGTGCTCACTCCCAGAGTCCTCATAATTCTCTGTTTATTGAGGGTCCCTATTCTCCCTTGGCTTTATTTAGTCAAAGAATAAGAGATAAGTTAATATCCTAATGCAAATAAATAATCGAGCATACTTAAACTGACATGATTCCACCATTCGTTCACACAAAGGTATATTCACAGCATATAATGTCAAGGAAACACATTCTTGTTGCTTTATTTTAAACCTTCTTTGTGTTAATAATCTCCCTTAAAGACTCTGCCCAAATACCAAGAGACTCTTTGCTTCTTTCTTGAAGGAGTTCATCTCAAAAGGGTACCAACGAAGGTTCAAATTCTTGACAAAGACTCTCATAAATCTGAACAGAATTGGCTCCAAACACCCCTGGGACTGGAGAAAAGTGAGAGATGTAGATAGAAGTCAGCATTGGTCCCAAAGTTCATTCATCCAACAAATGCGTGGTGAACAGGTCATAATACCAGGTGCTGTCCTGGGCTCTGTGGATACAGGAGTGAGGTAAAAAATCAAGGGTCCCAGTTCCTGGAGGACAGAGTGAGGAGGTTACGCAGGAAGGCTGAAAACAGAGGCACGTGCCCAGGTCAGTGGGAGCCCAACAGCTGACACTGCAGAAGAGGCATCATGTTACTACCTCTCCCCCTGCCCTGTTTTTCTTTCTTCTCCTATTCGTTCTCTTCCGTTGTGCTTACCTGCACTCAAACTGCACTGTATTATTATTTTAAGAATAGCCCTCCAAACTTTCATGACAACACATCTTTATTTGAGGGCTGTATTTTTAAAACCTGAGGTTATTTCATAGCTATGGTGGCTTTTCTAAGTCTCCGCTGACCTGAGCGTTCAGCAGTCCTGTGTGACACCTGGGGCCAGAGCAGACGTGTGTGGCCAGGCTCAGAAGCAGCTGCCCCAACAGCGTGGTCCAGTGTCCCTGTGGTCCTCAGCAAATGGATGTGGCATCAGCATCTTGGAAATTTTCCACGCTGGGTCAGAACTGAGTGACCAGCTGCTCATCCCACTGAAATAGACGGCCATTTTCACCTAGAAAAACTTCAATCTCAGCTTTGTTTTGCCATTAAGGCTTTCCCTCTAAATTTTCTTGGCAGTTAACCTGTGGTAAAATGATACTTGCTCTACATTAAGAATTCTAATAGAGGATGGTCTCCCTGCCTAATAAGCTTATAAGAAATGTCTCTTTTTTTAGCTGGCCTATTTTTTCTTTACTCTGCTGTTTGGTGTTGCAGGCGGGGAAGGACTAAGAGTAATATTTGACATTACAGATGATCTTGGCGATTGAAGACAGACCATGAGTGCGGCAGGACTTTTCATGGGAAGCGTTAGCACTCTGAGCACCCGACTTTTTACTGTATAAGGATTTCCTTTATTAATATAGAATTATCTGAAGAAAGAATATTACTCATACTATTAATTGTATTTTTTTCCTGCATGCCCCTATTTACAGAGCCCCATAATGTTTAGGAAAGAGAGAATGGAGTGTCCCCCACAGCCACTTGCTGAATGCCTCATTGTGCCCGTCTGTGGGCTGCATCGCTGCACTGTTATCCAAGCCGGTGCTTCTTGGAATCCTTAGAAAAGCAGGAAGAAATGTGGACCCTTTTATTTTAAATAATTTTACATAGGACGCTTTTATTTTAAATTCCCAACCCACATTCAGTTCAAGGAGCTTTCTGTAACATATGCTAACTGCAGTCGCTCCAGTGACTCACAGTAGGATGGGTGATCTCCAACACCACCTCTGGAAAGCCTTACTGATTAGGAGATTACTCGATCAGGGAGGGTGAGGAGCATGGACTCCCCGTGGACTCTCCCCGTGAAGCCGAGCAGTGGAGTCGATGAGAACAGTGATGTTTCAGGTCAACCCTGACATGTCGGTACACGATTAACTATGAAGCCTCAATTATCAATGAGTGCCAGTGCCATAAGCATGACACTGTCGCATTGCAGACGTGCAGGATGCAAACTAGTTCAATGGTGGCAGTCCCTGCATGACATCGTGGGAGCGCAGCTCTGAATTAAGGCAGAAGCCCTGACACAACACTGTGGTCATCAAGGTAGCACGTGCAGAGGTTGGGAGGCAGCCTGGTGTGGGAGAGAGCAAAGCTTAACCTGCAGCTTCCCTACCCCGCCCTGTCCGGCCCATTTCCTCATCTGTCAGAGGTGGGTTTGGGTCACATGGTTTCTAAGATTTCTTCTAGCTCAAACATTATGTGATTTTTTTCCCCTGGATCCTGATGGTTGGCAATAAGACAGCATTCTTCCCCCACCACGTGCTCTATCCACTCTCTCTGGGTTTGGTTTCCCCATCACTCCTCAAGATCGAGATGCAGCAAAGACACGATTCACTCACGACATTGCCCAGAGACGTTAAAACCATTAACAGTACAGACTAGTTGTTTCTGCTGGTGTGTTTGCCAAGACTCTGCTTACAGGTCACCAAAAACAACTGAAGCCAGCTCGAGTACACACAGGTACACACCCCGAGAGAGAATGTGTCATGAGGATCCAGATATAACCCAGGTGTCCTCTGCCTCTGAGCCAAGTGGGCAGCCTCTGTTTTTCTGTTTTCACCCTGTGCCCCCCTGGACACACAGCTCAGCATTTCCTCAAAGGCAGCCCTTGCACAAAGCACCGGGAGCAATGCAGAGCACTGCCCTCCCCTGCAAACGTCCCCTTTTTGTCATCACCACTGCGTCCTTTCCCCACCGCCCTACCGTCACAGGGTCTTGTCTTCCTTTCTCTTCTCTCATTCCGCACAGTGCTCCCCTTTGCTGCTCTGGCTGCTCTCCCGGTCTTTCCAGGGCCCTGCACGTTCTGTCCACCACACATCTGTGCCTAGGAATTTAGCGAGAAGCTCCCTCCTCTGGCCCAGATGGCAAGCACAGTGGTCTCTCAGGGAGCAGTTCCGGGAGCAGAGATTTCTCTGTCTCTTACACACCAAGTAAAAATAGACAGAAACAGAAAATCCTCAGAGAAATCCTCCACCTCAACCCTCCTTCCCATTTCCCTTGCTCCTCGGTCCACAAGATAAAAGATGGTGAGCCCGCAGCTCTCTTAGCACTTACCTTGAGCACAGAGAGACCTCAGGATGCCAAGTCCAAACACCTGAGAGAATGGATCTGATGGGCTCAGATGTCCATCCTGGTGCAGCCTGCTTGGAGAGATGGAGTCACCCCTTGTAAACTTGGCTGCCAGAGTCTGCCCTCCACAGATAATATTCGAGTGGGAAGCTTCCCTGAGAAACGTGGGAAGAAGCCAGTAGGATTCACAGGGAAAACTAAGTGCCGCCTGCCCCATCTCTTGGGCGTTAGGATCACACCCATCATTTTCCTTCAGCTGTCCACGATCCCTGAGTCGGTTAACCGACGAGCTCATGGTTCTTCATTGCGTGGAGCCGTCTTATTTTCTCCCTGCTCCCCAGCCTCGAACTCCCCAAGTGGGTCACTAATACTGGGGCCACATCAGAAGAGGTCAGGAGCTGTTCAGAGGAGAGCTGCCTGGACATGGATGAGGGCTCACATTGCAAAGCCAGCTCCAACGTCTGGTTCATAGTGCAGATCCAAGACCGCTGCAAAGCGCATCGTGTGATTTTTCTTGGTTCTCTGGGGTGCGGGGCAGTGGGGGGTGGGTTGGGGAGGGACTCTGATCCTGCTCCTCAAAGGCTTCTGTGTCCAGTGTCCATAGATCAGTCCTTTTCTTATGAAATGAAGGACTTTGCTGCTCCGGGTGTTCTATTAAAAAATAAGACAAGGTCATGGTTGTCCTGAGGTGGTTTTATTTACTGTCAGCAAGTAACAGAGACTGGGGTTCACTTCACAAGCTCTGCCCCCCTCCAAGGGAGGCTTAGCCATTGCTTATATACACTGTTTGGTTAATTATACATTGATTTCTTCTTTGCAGTTGGCTACACCTAGCCAGTTAGGTTCCAGTCGAGCTCATCCTGTTTAACTTGGGTCTGCAAAATACTCTGCTACATTGTAACATTTAGCAAGAACAGCATTTAGTAGGAACTGCCCAGACCTTGAGGCCATCCTAACACCTAAACTTTCTTTGAGCTTCAATTTCCTCATGTGTAAAACGGGAATGATGAACATGAGAAAAAGCTCACGGGTTGTCGAGGGAATGGATAGGAAAGTGATTTGTGGTCTCTAATGACCCACGTGGCACCCACCCTGTGCCAGTAAGTGCTTTGCAATTATGAACGCATTCGGTAGCCCGGTTAGCTAACGGGTGTGATTGTTTCATTTTACAGAGGAGGAAGCGGCCAAAGCCAGCGCCGAGGTTCACACCCAGGCGGTGCTCTGACTCGCTGCTCCCTGCCCTCCAGCCCTGTGACCTCAGAAGCAGCCCCGTAGCTCCCCTGGGAAGGTCTGGCAGCCCCACCCACTAAGCTGTTCTTTCTCTGGCTTCTGCTTCTTGCAGATCGACGACACTGGCACATTCCAGGTAATAATGGTTCCATCCAGGGCTGACTACACGCCAACGCTGGAGAGACTGCAGAGGTGCACGTTCTGCTACGGTAAAGACCCCCGGAGAGAACATAATTTGCCCAGGTCTGTTGAGCACATTGAGTCACCCTTGGCAGGAGCGGCTGGGACTTGGCGGCAAGGACACGTGTGGCCGTGGGAGAAACTCCCCAGGGGCTCTGGGCTCACCTCATCACACTGCCTCATCCACAGATGGAACCTTTCAGCCATGACCAGGGCCCGCTCCTAAGTATCACAGCCGGGGGATCACATTCCAGGCACTGATTTTTAGAAAAATGTAGCCTGTCTCACTGCCAAGTTGTTCATGCTATAAAGTGTATTTATGCGTTTCCTAAATCTCAAATGTTCACAATCCCAAAGAAATGTTTTACAAGTGGCAATTAGCAGAAAGTCATGCATTTCTCTTTGGAAAGTCGCTTCCTGGACTCCCAAAAGTTAGGCATCAGCAAGATTTGAAGAGCTGGTTTGTGCGATGGTGTGTTTCGTACCGTCTGCAGGTCTAGCTGGAGCATTGGCTCGATCTGTATCTGAGTATTCTAATAATGTGAGCATTCTGGTAACTAGGAAATGAGAGACAGCCACTGAGATCACTGGAGGGTGTGAGAGCTCAGTTATCAAGCATTTATTAGAATAAATAAATTACTGTTCTCATGGTTTTATAGGACACTGATGCTGGTGGTGATGACAGTGAGTACTTACACTGTTGTGTTTATGGTATTCCAAGCACTTTTCTCATTGCCTCCATTCAGTCACTGTAATCCAGACACTTGAACTATTAATAGCTCCATTTCGCAGATGAGGAAAATGAGGCTTAGAGAGATGAAATCATTTGCTCAGGGCCTCACAGCCAGATCAAACCCAAGAAACTAGCTTTGAAAATCCTGCCATTGAAGAGTAACCCAGATCCCATTATTCTGCTTCTTGAAACTGTACTTGGCCCTAAAGACATGCTTGATTCCTCTCCTGCTCCTCCACGTGTATCGATGAGGTTCTAATGTTTGCCATGGAACTGACCTCACAGGGAGATGGGAGCTCTGGGGGGGAAGCAGGATTCCTTCTACTAACCCTCTCGTCTTCCTCTCCTCCCCCTGTTTCCGTCTCTCTCTCCTCCCATCCCCACCTTGATACCGCCTTCTCTCTCTCCCTCCTGACCCCTCTCAATCGCACAGAGCTCTAGGGGCTGGCGTTCTTCCTCAAAGCACTTAAAGTGCCAACCACACTGTAGCACTTCACGCCACAGCCCGGCCTCTAGGTTCTCAGCTGGCTCCCACCCTTGTCCGTCACAGCAGGGCGCTGGTATGTTGCACAGTCAGAAGTTGCACATGTGTGGCTGGGGATAGATTTTGGCTTCATTTCTTGGCTCAAGCCCTTGTTTTGTCTCAGAGGCATATAAGGGAGGGTATTTTGGCTGCTGTTCCCTACAATTAAAAAACTCCACAAAATTGAGCAAATGGGGCAGCCTGCTGTCCCTGATTTCAGAAACTGCCTTGCACACAGGTGACTGTTCTGTCATCTGACCATTAAATGTGGTCGTAAAATTTTACTGGGTTTTAGTTAGGGAACTATAACTTGTCTAGAGCCATATCGAGTCCATGAACCAGAATGAAGTTGGGAGGCTGGCTGCATCCCCTCGGATCTGCATTCCGGGCATTACCCTTCCCTCTAATAGCCTTTATCTGCAGCCCAGGCCCCTGTCTAAGTACCAGCTGTCCACACACATGTTATTGCGTCTCTGTCTTCTCTTAGAGTCAGGGAGGCCGTTCTCATCCTTAACCACTGTTACTGAACACCCAGGGTCACGGAGTGGCAGTCCCAGAGGGCTCCCCTGGTGAATCTGATCCAGCCACCTAGCTGTGTACGGGAATTGGGCAGAGCCGAGGCCCAGGGGTCACTTGGATAAATGTACAGAGCATGTTACTGGGCACAGTGAGGCCAAAGCCCAGGTATCTTGGTCCTCAAGCCCAGGGACCTCCCCACCACTGTACCACATGGCATGGTCTCTTGCCACAGAACATGCACTTCATAGGCAGAAACTTCTGGAAATACTGCTGTATCCTTGGACAAAATTGTTTTATTGTCCTGCCCTCGGTGTCATCTGTAAAATTAGAAGATTAGGTGACCTTTAAGATCTTTTTAGTTTTTTATTTCTCTGAATATTCATGTGGTCGGAGTCAATACAATTTACTGTTTTTATGACTATGCATTTTTTGCCAAATGAGATATGCATATTTATTAAAATGACCTCATGCTCCAAAAGCCCTTTAATATGCATTCTTTATATTCATTTATTTAATAAACAAATATTGAGCTTTCAACTACTAATCACTGTGGAGACAACAAACATAAACAGTAGCCTTGTCCTTCATGTGTAGACACAGAGAAACATTGAATTGTAACCCTTTATTCAAACTGAAGTAAGACTCATGCTTTCTTCACTCTGACTTCTTAAGCAGAATACTTCCCACAGAACAGTGTGGACATAATAATAAAGTTCATTGCTTTAACCTGTATATTGTCAACTAGAGAGAAGATCAGCTTTAATATCATGAGACAGTACACCCTTTCAAGCATGCGATAAAGTGTCCACTTCGATTTTTATAAACTTGGAAATAAGAAACTTCTGTTGAACACAGCTGAGGTTTCAAAAGTCCGGGAGTGTCAGTGAGGGGAACTGCAGACCCAGGCTGGGTATAAAATTTGCAGCAGGTGCAAACCATGGACTGGGGAGTCTTCCTGGTGCTGCTGTCAGTCATTTAGGGACTATTTTAGGATCAAAGACTGCAGTTTCCAAATGTTGAAATATCTGGGATGCTGCTTCTCCTCTTCCGTCTCCTTCCATTTAGTAACCCAGAATGACTCTTGGTCTACAGATGTGTGCAGGCCAGACGCTTCCTGCGATGAAGCCAGACCGCCCCCGGTGCAGTCTTACATGGATGCGGCTTTCCTTCTGGACGGCTCCCGGCATGTGGGAAGTGCCGAGTTCGAAGGCATAAGAGACTTCCTGGGAGCACTGTTAGATCACTTTGAAGTGACCCCAGAGCCTGAGACCTCTGTCACTGGAGACAGGGTGGCCCTGTTAAGCCATGCTCCCCCCAGCTTCCTACCCAACACACAGAAGAGTCCCGTGAGAACCGAGTTCAACCTCACCACCTATGGCAGCAGGCGCCGCATGAAGAGGCATGTGGAAGAATCTGTCCAACAGCTGAATGGAGACGCTTTTATCGGTCATGCCTTACAGTGGACCCTGGACAATATCTTTCTGAGTGCCCCAAATCTGAGAAAAAACAAAGTCATATTTGTGATATCAGCTGGGGAAACCAGTCACTTGGACAGAGAAACCTTGAAGAAAGAATCTTTGAAAGCCAAATGTCAAGGGTATGCCCTGTTTGTATTTTCCTTTGGCCCTACTTGGAATGACAAGGAACTGGAAGATCTAGCCAGCCACCCCCTGGATCACCACCTGGTCCAGCTCGGTCGAGTTCATAGACCTGACCACGGATACGGTGTGAAGTTCGTGAAGTCTTTTATAAACTCAATCAGGCGTAAGTCGTAAAAACTGTTTTTTTCTTGCACATTTAGAGCATGCTCAGTATTCCCAAATGAAGGGTTGACATGGATGCTTGGAAGCCACTTGAGTGCCTTCCAGGGCACTTCAGGGTCAGAAAGGAAAACACGTGGTGATGAATGGTGCAGGGAGGAAGCCTCTGATTCCTAAGCACTTCGTTTTCTGGCTTATCTTTTTTTAATGTCTCTGGTTGCTAGGGAGAAGCGATCAAAACAAAACAAGCAGCTGCTCACATGTCTGAGTGCATGCGACAGCTAGTCTCAGCCCGTACTTGAGATACTAAGTAGAAACCCGCGCCATGTCACATTACAATGCCGCCCTTTGATGGAACGTGTTATCGGTTAACACATCCAAAAAGAGAGCCAGAGAAAAAGCAACAGTTCTGGGCTTTGCTTTTACAAGATCAAAAGGCAGAGGTTGAAGTGTTAGGAGATGCCATTTTACCTGTCAGAAAGTTTTACGAGTAGGAAGATACCTACTCGCGAAACTTTCTCAGCCTTGTTAGTGACCTTCTTCTGATGCCAGTAATTAGTGTAATTAGTGATGCCCGTGTTAAAAAAAATTTTAAAGCATGGCTATATTTATTGAAATGACCTTGCCATGAAAGAATGCAATTCATTTTGAATGCAACGCGATGCATAGCAAGAAGCCCGGGCCTGACACCGGGCGATTCTGGAGGCTGTAAAGCTCTCGTTTGAATTTCTGCGTGCGTTCCTGATAAATGAACCTTGGAGTTGAGATAAATACAAGTGAACGCCCAGGCATCAGATCATCTCAAACTTGTCAGACTTGAGAGCAGCTAAGGCTGCAAAGATACCGACTAGTCAGGGCAGGTGAGGTCTGAGGGAAAGGGCTGGCGGGCTCTGCTGCTCTGAGCGTGAGTCCAGGACCAGCGGGACCAATGGCACTAGCATCCCCCAGGAGCTTGTGGAAAATGGAGAACCGCAGGCCCCACCCCACACATGCTGAACCAGAATCTGCATTTTATCAAGATCCTCAGGGGATTCCCATGCACATTTGGGGTGACAAACACTGATACGGAGCAGCAAGCTCCCAGAATGAAATGTATGCGGATGTGTTCTCGAACCCGAACCAAAAAGAGGAGCTAGGAAAAAATGGCAGCTAGGGGCTGTTCTGAAGGAAGCAACCAGCGGCACTTGTGAGGGTAGAACAAAAGAACATCTTGAAAGACTGAGAAACTTGTAAAGAAACAGTCCTTAGGAGGTAAAAACCTGAAAGTTTAAGATGGAATTCCCTTCTCGGCCCCACCCCCCCAAATTTCTTAGTTGTGTTTCACGGTAATCAGTCACACTTGCAGGCACAGCTTGGAGATATTGCCGGCTTGGCTCCAGACGACTGCAGTAAAGGTATATTTATATTTATTGCAATAAAGCAGACCATAATCCTATTGCCCGAGGAAGGTCTTGCCTTCAGTTTGTAAAATACACAATGTCTATGAAGCACAATAAGGGAGGTGTGCCTGTTCATGATCAGAGAAAAGGTGCCCCGCCACCACCCAGAGAAAGGGGGAGAGATGTTTTAAGAGTGACTTGAGGCAGGCGAGAGAGATAGAAAGTGCTTTTTGGAAAACGGTAACCATGACAGAGCCATATGCCACTTTCCCAGAAATTCAGTACCTAGAAATCCTCAGTCTTGAAACTGTGGCCATAGAAGTACAAGGAGCTGAGAGGAGCATTGACAAAGTCGTGTGCGAGCCTGCCTGCCTGACTCACCGCCGACCCCCAGACTCACACCCACCCACTCAACACGAACACGCAGTTGTCAGGTGTAAACGCCCTCCCGGGTCCCAGGCCACCTCCCTAAGCTGTGGCTCTTCTGTCATGCACTGCTATGAGTGACAGAGTTGGCTGTTGAGCACAGTCTGCATCAGCACCAACATATTTTCTAAGAAAAGCAAAATGACTGCCCTACAACCTGATGCTTGGAGTTAAGACAGGTAAAAAGTTAAAATTCGGACGCACGGCCAGGGAAGCGTCGCAGCCGTGGGCCATTCCGTCTGGAAGCACACCCCGCAGTCTGCGGCAGGGCTGCCGACCGCCCCGGTCGCCAGGAAGCAAGTCGGTTCAGTTTAATGCTGCAAGGAAATAAATAATACATTTTTTAAAGTTTCCCATCAAAAAATGGCTTTTAAATGTCTCACTGGTGTGGTTAGAGGCACACTTTATTGTCATGAAAAAGTAATAAGCTTCCAGATTAGATGAGCCACTAATGAATTAAACCCAAGATGGTGCTATTGTTTCTGTTGTTGGTAATGAAAGAGACCATCAAGGTAATACTGTTTCCCCTTCACATTTTGATATTTCAAAGGAACAAATAAAAGTAACTATTCCGATTAATTCATGTTAGTCAGAGGCCAGACTCAGGACTGGCTCATGATAACTCCTCTAATTTTGACCAACTTTGGAAGCTAAGGGGCATCTTATTGAAGAGCAGGTTGAATTTTCCACCTATAAATTTGGCAGAGATGTGTTTTTAAGATGCAGTTTTAGAGATTCCTCTGAGAAATCTCTCATCTCATATGGCCACCTAGTGGGTCTCTTCCTTTGATGGCTGTTGAAAATGGTGAAGTGACACTTGGCGTACAGAGCGTTTTGCTGGGATGTTAATAGCCGTGAATAAGGGACTGACTCATCTCAAATTTTTCTCTTCCTAGGTGCGATCAACAAATACCCGCCAGTGAACTTCAAAACAAAGTGCAACAGACTCAGCTCTGCAAATCTGCGGCAGCACCCCCAGCAGCAGCTGCGAAGGTACTACCTGCTTGGCAGTATTTGATAAATGAATGCATCCCCTTCTTCCTCCTGCTTGTCCATCATTTGCTCCCCCTCCCCCTCTTCCTCTTCCTCCATCCTATTTGGACAAAAATCTATTGATAAACCATATGAAAATAGCATTTGAGGGAATAAGAGGTAATCAAAAGTGACCAGTTGATTTGAAAAACAAGAAGTAGAGGTTTTTAAAGTGGAAAGTCTAATTGTTGAAGTAAAACAATTGATGGGACTGCCCCGTAGCAATGACCATCCCGAAGGACCAGACCTCGGTTTCTAAGTATCATTCCCCAGTAAAAGGAACCAGGGGTTCGTAGAGAAAGAACTATTTCTAGGCTGTAGCACGGACAGTACAGTGTGAGCCTGGAATATTTATTAAGCCAGGAAGTCGTCAAAAACACAATCATATCAAAATGACAGAGGACTGTCTTGAAAGGATTCTCACAGGCCCAAATTTGGGACAATTCAAACATCAAATAGAATAACATTAATGGACTGAAACACACAGATTTTTTTTAAAAGTTCACAAGTCTATCGAGAGACCCAAAAAGGGAAGACAGGGGAAAAGCTCTTTTTTAATATAGAAGTATGCTCGCTAATAAATGTAGAAGAAATGGTAGAATTAGAAAACCACCTATTTGTAATCCCAGATATAATAACTGAGTCGGCAGGGATCCAGGAATGCTGAACCCACGGGGCGACAGGCTGCTGCGGAGCAGGCTGTTTGCACAGAACCACAGAACCACTCACATTACCTACTTACTCATTACGAAGAGGGAGACGCGCCTGCATGTGGTGAGGTCTGGCGGTGGGATCAGTCAGCACCCTTTAACCAAGATCTGGTGTGATGTACCCCCTGAGTGAGATTCCTGCTGGAAACGTTTGGCCCCAGTCTAATAATGAGGACACTCTCAGGCAGTTCCAGAATGTGGGGTAGTCTTCAGAACAGCTGGCCTATGTGCTTCATGGCTTTCAATGTCATGAACTGCAGAGCGATGTGGGGCTCTGTTCCAAGGTGGGTGAGACTGAAGTGCTGTGATAGCCAAATGTGACAGTGTTGTAAATCTTGCCTTGATCCTAGTTCAGAAAGAAGAGCTTATATAAATGACACTTGGGGGACACCTGGGGAAGTTTGGGCGTGAACAGTATGCTGGATGATGATACTGATTCATGGGGATTTCACTGGATGCATGTGATCATGGTATCACAGTGCAGGGATGCCTTTGTTCTTCAGAGAGGGGTGCTAAAGTGTTTGAGGGTTCACGTGCGTGGTGGTGCAGCTTGCTGTCGGGCGGTCATCCTAAAGGGAAGCAGGATAGTGTGTGTATGCATGTGTGTGCATGTGTGCGTGCACATGTGTGTGCACGCACATGTGTGCAGATGAGTGTGTGCCTGTATACATTTACAAGTGTGTGCATGTATGTGTACAGACACATGTGTGTGCATACACACAGCAAGATGGGAACAGTTGGAGAATCCTGTAGGTGAAAGGTATACAGGTATTTATTCATGGTTCTGTTCTTTATAATGTTCTGGGAACTTGAACATTTTCAAAATAAAAAAAACTTGTAAAAGTCAACGAATGGGTTAAAGAGAGTATTAGGCACATCTGAAGAAAAACAGTCAACTGAAAAGTGAAGAAATTACTCCGAATTCAGACAAGATAAATATAAGAATTTTACAGACAAACAGTGAAAAGATTTACCAGGGGTGTCCAACCTTTTGGCGTCTCTGAGCCACCCTGGAAGAAGAGCTGTCTTGGGCCACACATTAAATACTTTGCAACATGTAATCACCAAAAATAATCTCATCATGTTTTAAGTAAATGTACAGTTTTGTGTTGGGCCGCATTCACATCCATCCTTACTGCATGCGGCCCATAGGCCACAGGCTGGACAGCCCTGAACCTACCTAATTGGAATTCTAGAAAGATAAAATACAGTACTAAACAAGGGAATATTGAAAGGCAAAGAGATGATCACACTCAAGACCTTATGAAAGATATAAATTAAAAGTTGAAGAAGAGACAAGATAAAGAAAATGAGGACAACAGGCACGGTGTAGGGAATGCAGGACCCCATGACGGAGAGAACTTAGGGCCCCTGGGAGGATCAGGTGCAGAGAGACTGTAATCGGGCTGACAGCTGAGTGAGCAGGGCACTGGTGGAAGGCACAGTCCTGAGAACCTCTCAAGCAGTGGGAGAAAACTGTTGCCAACTCAGAGAAACTGGTAAAGCAAAGACAACTTGGGTAAACCCAAAACAATAGCTTGTCACAAGAAGACGTTTGCTAAAGGAACTTCTAAAATATGTTACTTGAAGGAAAATAAAAATGACCACAGAAGGAACGACTTGAGATGCAAGAAGAATGAGTGATAAAAATTTGTCGCTATTTAAATAAATCTAAATAACTGTATTTTTAAGTAACTGCAATATCTAACGTGGGGTTATGAAATGGCTGTGCTTGTTTAAGGAATGGAAATAAAGCATTTGGCACCTGGTGATTTTAACAGGAAAAAACAATTGTACTAAGACTACATATGTTAGTAAATACTCATTGATGTCAATTACTTGAACAATAAGATCATCTTTTGTTATTAAAAACAAACAACACAATAAATATTTTTAACAAAAAGGCAGGGAAGGGTCCTGGTCTGGTTCTCAGTTGGTTAGAGCACCACCCCAATACGGTTGTGGGTTCAGTCTCTGACCAGGGCACATGGAAGAGTCCACCAATAAATACGTAATTAAGTGGAACAACAAATCATTTTTTCTCTCTCTCTTCTCCCATCCCTCCCTTCCCTTCTCTCTCACATAAAATTTTTTAAAGGCAGGAAAGGGGAAAAAGGATAAGTAGAGGGCAAAAAGAAGACAGCAGGAGAAAAATGCATAAACCAAATATGCCAGTTACAATCAGAGACTGATGGATTTTAAGAAGCAAAATAAAATCCAGCTATAACTGCTTTCAAGAGACACAGCTACAGAGTAAGAAATGTGAAAGTTCAAAGTAACAATCACAGGAAAAAATATTACAGGCAAACATTTTAGAAAGAAAGCTGGGATAGCTCTATTAACATCGGATAAAATGTACTTCTAAACAAAACCATTTTGTGGGAATAAAGAGGATTACTACACGATGACAGTGTTCAATCATGAAGAGAATACAACAATTCTAAATTTATAAGAGGGCAATAAAATCTAAAAATACACAAAATGGAAATTGAAACACTACATGGAGAACTTGCCACAGAACTGTCATCAAAGTTGGAGATGTCAGTATACCCGTTGGAATACTGGAAGGTAAAGTAGACAAAAATTAGCAAAGAAGTACAAGATTTAATCAGCAGTGACAAACTTGATTTAATAGGCTCATTTGGAACCCCGCACAGAAAAACGAGACCTTCTTCTGAAGGAGTCGTGGAACACTGACAGCTGTTGAACCGAGGTAAAGAGTTCACAGTTGTTCTCTGGGCAGCGTTTAACTTAGCAAGCAAGCGTCAGCACGCCTGTGCGAACCGGTGCCGTCGCCCAAAATGATCTGATCACACACAGTGCGGTTAAGATAGAAAGTAATAAAAACAATGTTTTTACAGCCCATACACTTTTCAATTTAAATCGCAATGTAAATAATGGGACAAAAAATTGTAATGAAAGTGTAAGCATGCTTAAAACTGTATAATAATCAAAATGTCATATGTCAACACTTATGGGATATGTCAGAATTCATAATTTAGGAAAGTTTATAGTCTTAATCATTATGTTAGGGCAATTTTTTAAGCTCCAAAAGTTAATGAGTTAAACATGGCTCTTAAGATGTTATAGAAGAAAAAATGGATTGTACCCAAAGATAGGAATAAAGTAGAACTTAATAGGTTTAATTAAGGTTAGTTAAAAAGTATCAATAAAGGCAAAAATTAGTTCTTTTAAAACTTAATAATAAACATTTATGTCCTATCTTTTGCCTGTATGAATACTACTTACATTTTTTTTAATTATAAATAATTTAAATCAAGTTAAATCGTGCTGTACTAACACACCCCTGCCCACATGGCCCTGAAATCAAACGTGCACCGGCGGCTGGGAATCACACCTAAGCAGATGCCTTTGACACTGTGCCCACTTTTATTGTGCCGCGTGTGCATTTCTGTGTGGTGATCAGTCCCGAATCCCAATCCCGCAGCCCCTGCTCTGAGAAGCTCCCTGAAGCCTCTGCTGGAGCGGAGCTCCTCACCTTGCTGGGAGGCAGGGAACTGTCCAGCAGCAAAGGCCGCCTGAAGTCAGGCCTAAAACGTTTCCCTGCGGTCAGTCCACCGAGAGCGGGGCTCCCCCTGCTGCAGGTGCCTGGAAGTGTGGACGAGGGCTTCCGAGCGCCTTTGCGTTGGGCCCCGCGTTGGGCCTGGAAGTGCGGGGGAGGACTCGGTAGTCAGTTTATACAAATTAAAAGGCACTTGGGAAATGACTCCCTCCTTGCACTGTTTGAAGAGTAAGGAGTCAGGGAGGGCATTGGATGGGAAGTTCCTTTCCCCTTCTCCACATTGCCGTACACCTGGAGGCTCAGCTTCCCCTGTGTATCCAAAATGGTGAATGTTAGGAACTGACCGGGGTATCAGAAATTGACATGAAGCCCAAACCTCTGTCAGTGAACTCCCTGATGCTGTGTTAGGCTGGGACACCCCAGGCCTTCTCTAAGTGACCAAAGACTACAATGAAAGGTAACAAGCCACACAGCTGCTTCTGAAACTCCCTGCAGGAGCCTTCCCAGGAAAGTGAGGCAGCACTGAGCACGCAGAATTGTGGGAGATGGCGACGACTTGCCGAGTCCTGAGAATGACCTGCATGAGAATTGGATCATTCTGCTGTGAGATTTTAAGAAATACAGATAGAAGCTGGTTCTTATCAGATGGAAAAAGAAAGAAACTGGACCAAAGCACAGTCCACCAAGGACACAGATGGCCAGTGAGGGTGAGATTGCGGGGCAGCATCTTTGTAGGCACTTAGATCTGCTCAGAGGCAATAAAAAGGCAGAGAGCCACCTGCTTATTGCTTCATTCAGTCAGGCACTCGTGCCAGACTTGAAAGTGCCAGACTTTTAAAGCGCTGACAGACCAGAGCCAAAAAAACTAAATTGTAAAAAATGGACACAGTCATCAATGCCATGTGAATAATACATCTGTTGTAATTCTGCTTTCCAAGGGATGTTTTTTGGAGACACAAAATGTATGTTAAAGTAAAAAGTAAGAATTCTTGAAATAGAAGCCATCTTGTCTGCGTTTTCTGCGGCAGGGCGTGCCGTGTGGCTGAGCCCCCAATTGTCTGCATAGAGGGAGGAATCTGGGGTCACAGAGGACCGAAGTCTGCCACGAGTCCCATCCACCCGCCTCATTTTATGTAGCTGCCACAGAGTTTGCCGGAGGTTGCAGAATGAATTGGCTATTTCATTCCTGTGCCTTTAACTTGACTATCTGTTGTCGAAGTTACCGATCAGTAAAGTAGCTGAACAATGTAGAGTAGGAGAAAGAAGTATAGAAAGTAAATATGATTTCCAAACAAGGTAATCAAATGATTCATATCGAATGTTTATCCAATACAAGCTCCTATACCCAACAGAGCGACAAATGGGAATTCAGAGATATGGCATTTATCATGTTCAACCCTTTTGAGAACATAAATATTTGAGTGAAGAGAAAGATAGCAATGCTATGCTAAAGAAGCAGTTACCAGTGTAACACCCTTTTTTCTTAACAAAGAGGGAAGAATATAACAGAGATAACTAAACTTTCCATTGGCATAAAAAGTGTGCAGTGAGAAGAGGGGGGCTGGGGGACAGAGGCGAGAGACCAGTACAGATAAGATAAACTCAAGCCATGAAAACAGTGTGTTCCAGGCTCAAAAGAACGTAATCTCCACAATCAGTGGAGCCATGTTTGGTGCAGGTGGACAATTACAGCTTTGGGGAATTTGAGTCCATAGTATTGAGTCTGGAATTTAATAAGAAATAGAGAAGAGCAAAAACGTGGGGGGTGTGAGGACATTGTGTTGTGTTTGCACTGACATTCAGGCACGACAGCTGTTCTTGGCGACCGGGAGAAGCTTGTTGATTGACTTGGTCCATTCCTGATGGTGTTGACGGAGGCGACCTGGGGCCTGGGGCACAGGCTGGGGTTTGAGTTTCAGAAGCCCAGACGTACAAAGTGCAGAGGCTTCCGGGTTTGTGTAGCCTCTACGTAGCCCTGCCACAGGCCATCTGCCTTCATGTGGTTCTGCACCCGTATCCAGGTGCTTCAGAAAGTATCACATTTATCATTTCAGTGTCTTATTCATTCTCTTGATGGTTCTTTATAGCGTCCCAAATGAAAACCTAGTTCACTGGCAGTCACATTGGACTCAGTGTCAGAAGAGTCGGGTTATAGTCTCAACTCTGTCATTGACCTTCGACCCCTATTTACCCTCTGTTTCCTCACCCGTAACCGACAAGGCGCCATGGTAACTAGTCTGGGGACTTTCGCTGTTGCTCACAAAAACAAAGGTTGTTTTTATCCCCATTTTACACCTGAAGAAACAAGGATCACTCTAAATGATTTGTTTTCTCGAAAGTTCCCAACTAATAAGAACTCAGAAAAGGAAATAGAAAATAAGAGGAAACTGAATATAAAAATGTCTTCGGAACCCAAATTCTTCGTACCATTTCCCTGTAAAACAGTGTCACCTGAGACGGCTCCTTTCCTGTGCTGTCTAGTGCAGGAGCCACTACCTTTCAATTCGTTGAAATCAAAAATTCACATTCTTGGTCACATTAACACATTTCAAATGCTCAATAACCACGTGGCTATTGTCTGCTGTACAGGCCAGTGAAGATTATGGACATTTCCTGCAGCACAGAGTTCCCTGGATAGGGGAGAACTAGTCTGCACTTGGCTTCTGTGGTTCCTTGATTTCTCAGGGCTGGTGTTCAAGGCACTTCAGAGCTCGAGGCCCTGTCTCTCTTCACTATTGGGTTCCTCTTGACTTTCAATCACACTGTTTATGTGCCTGTCAGATGGGCTCTGTTTCTGTTGCCGGCTGTGCCTAACACAGTGCCTTCCGTAGAGCAGCAAGTAAACATTTGGGTGGGTGGATGGATGGATGGATAGGTGGGTGAAAGGGAGGGAGGGATGAAAGAAGGGGATGACATTCAGTTATGCTTTCATTAGACAAATACTTAGTGTTTACTATGTGCTTCTTGGTTCCTGGGATTACTATGGTGACCAGACATGGTCTTGTGAAATTAAATTTCTGCCTGGGAGTGTGGAAGAGTGGAGAACAGATCATGAAGAAGTTTACAAGCAAATAATTCAGATAGTAATAAGTTATGAAAAAATAGAAGAGTGTGTTGTGTGGATTGACTGGAAGTGGGAGTGGGACTGGGAAACGATGGGTGTGGTGGACTCTAATGAGATACCATTTGGGCCCAAATGTGAATAAGCAGGAGCCAAGCATGTGAAGTTCTGGGTGGAACATGTTCCACGAAGAAGAAATTTTGCTGTTGAAGTTATAGTTGTGCACACTTTGACAAGATGTCTTATCAGCTTCTGGTATCTCTGCCCAGTTTAGTCATCTTAATAAAATTACCTTGAAAGAAGGCTGCAACAAGAAGTGGGTGCAATAATTAATTTAGGGAGGAAGACTAACGTAGGGCCTGTTAAAGTGGAAGGGGCCTTTATCTTCTATGATGTTTTTCTTCTGTTGTACAGCTTTGTCCCTGGACCACATAAAACTGCCCTTAAAGAAGACGCATTACGAAAGGCAAAATTCTTTCAAGATAAAAAATATGTTTCAAGAACAGCAAGAGAGAGCAGAGGTAATTCTGTTCGAAATGTTACGAGGAACACATCTCGTGCCTTTAAAAACTGGAAAGTGGTAAAAACTATTCCCAAAGGGCATGATGAAGGAGGTGCTCAAAGAATTTAACCTGAGGAAGCATGGTAAGACCCTGGACTCACTGCCAGACTGTGGGTGACTTGTACTCAGATGTCCGCCTGTACCTGGAGGTCCACTCCAGAGGGCTGGACAAACCACAGGGCGTGGGGTGTGAGGCAATGTGCTGTGTGCGCTCACTGGTGTTAAGATATATCTGGTCCATTTATGTGACCACTCTGGGTAATCCCAGTCTACTAAGACTGATATATTACAGAACTGTTATCATTAAGAGATGGAAGAATGAAGAAATATTTTGAAGTCTAATGGCCATGATAATTTGAAGGTAAATTTTATATAGTTATACACGTGCGTACGTGGGCCGGTGCTAATTATTCTGATCGTCAATGTCCGTCCAGCCCATTGTCCGCACACCAAGCTTTCTTTCTCAGTTTCGTTCTGTTTAATGCTCACCTGCTTAAGCAGAGGTTGTTTTGGGAGACCCCAAAGTTTACCTTAGAGATTGATGCTGTTGGCATGCCATCATTTTGAAACCGCGGCCTCCCACGACGAGTCTGCTTAGACACGTCACCATCCCTGTACGGATGGAGTATCTTCCCACCGGGCTGTGCTGGAAGGTTCCCCCCCCCCCCAACCACCACCACCACCATCTTCCGTGGTTGTTGGCTTGGACCGGTGAGCAGCAGAGGGTCATTTTCCCCCAGCTCCAAGTCCTCCCTCACTGATAAACTCATTAAAGCCCCCAGAATATAAATTACTTTCTTTGAGCTGGAAGTTCCCTTTTCATTAGAGCTTCCTGCCTGGCCATTTTTGTGGACTTTCGTTCTTTCTGTACCATTATTGTCTTTTATTATTTACTCATCCATATACTCTTTAGGCAAGGAGAGTAGAGACTCAGCCTGTCGTGCGTGGGTGAAGCTCTGAGTTACTCTTGCCCATCAGGTAGCTACTTCATAGTGAACAGCACCAAACGGGACTGGCAGAACTCTAAAAAGAGCCTCAAATGCACACTGACTGGAAAAGGTAAGGGAGTTGTTCATGTTTTAATCTTCAAACATACAATATACAGGGTTGCAGAGATGCAAAAGAGGTCAGGAAAAGTCTTCAAAGTGCCTGGCCTCAGCCAGCATGGCCTGTCGGCTCTCTCCTTACGCCCAGCCAGACCATGTAACTAACTAGTAATCTTATTTTGGTGCTGATATAACTGCATTTAATTTGGCACAATGTTCAGACCTCACCTCACATGGTAAGAGCTGGCTCCGCAGCGGGCAGCAGTGGCCCTGCCAGGCAGAGTACAGCTTTCCTGGGGAAGGGAGCCAGGCCCTGCTTGGACGGATGGGGCAGGTGGTTACGGACACCTCACACCAGTAGGCGTGGTCTGATTTTCTTTTCTATACCTCTGTTCATAAAATCCTGGGGAAGAGGGGCTGTCCGCAATGTGTTTTTAAACCACTTCTGCCGTCCTTACTCAGGCAAAACCACAGTGATTGCTCCCAGTATTGCTTCGGCAGAGAGGCAAGGAGTTCAAATGTCATATTCGTACTCAGGTAATAGAGAAAAATAGAGCACATCAGGTTTCTTCATATTTTATGTGGTCTCAGAGGTTTGGGGAAAATATCTTCTAAGTACAGGATATCGATGAACAATATTTAAAAGGTATTTTAATAGAGGGCATTTTTCTGTTTAACTTTGGATTAAGCACAAACTACTTTCTTCCGCTTATTGCTGGAAATACTTCAAAAGTGTACTTGCCCTCTCTCTGTATTGATAAGTAGAGTGTACCAAACAAATATTCCCTTGGTAATTGCGGTTATTTTAGCATTTGGGGGTCATCCTTATAATGATTTATAGGTGAAGGAACTGAAACATACTACAAATATTAAATTCTTTTTAAAATAAATCCCTGGTGTTAACTGACTGTAAACAAGATGCCTCCTATTTTCTCTGCACTGAGTTACGAGTCAAATGTGTTGGAAAAAAATGTAGAAATCGAAAGCAGATATAAGTCAACACAGCATCAGATTGTAATACTTAGTAACGACTCGCCCAAATGACGCCCTTTCAAAACCCGGGAGAGTATAAAGGGGAGAAGAGTGGATGGCAGGAAGGTAAGGTGAGAAAAGAATTCTCTCCATCAGCCCGATCGATCCCTCACCTTCCCCAGCGTTTCCCACGTTATTGGTCCTGCTTTACCCAATGGCTTCAGGCTGGCAGCCCATTCTCCGCATAACAGTTTAGTTCTCAAAATTCCCCCAAACTCTGCAGACTCAGTAGCTAGAAACTGTGAGTATGGCCTTAGCAGACTGTAAGGGACACAGAGGTAATGCAACGTAACAACGTTAAAAGCCCTTCTGTTTGACGTAGTCCCATCTGTTTATGCGTGATTTTGATGCTCTTGTGCAGGGAGACATATCCCAAAAAATGTTGCTAAGATTTTGACCGATGTCAAAGAGTTTACTGCCTGTTTTCTTCTAGTTGTATGGTTTCAGGTCTTACTTACATTTAAGTCTCATCCATTTTGAGTTGATTTTTGCATATCATGTAAAAAAAGTGGTCCAGATTCTTTTGTTGCTGCGCTGCTGTTTTGCATGTGTGTATACAGTTTTCCTTACACCATTTATTGAGAGACTGTTATTTCCCTATAGAATATTCTTGCTTCCCTTGTCATAGATGAATTGATCACGTATGCATGTTCCTATTTCTGGGTTCTCTATTCTGTTCCATTGATCCATGTGTCTGTTTTTGTGCCAACACCAGACTGTTTTTATGAATAAAGCTTGTAGTAGCATAGTTTGAAATCAGGGGGCATGACACCTCCAACATCATCTTTCTTTCTCAAGATCGCTTTGGCAATTCAGAGTCTTTTGTGGTTTCATATACATTTTGGGATTGTTCTAATTCTGTGGGAAATGTCACTGGCATTTCCATTGGGATTGCATTGAATCTGTAGACTGCTTTGGATAGTATGGGCCGTTTTACACTGTCAGTCCTTCTGACCCGTCAGCATAACATATCCTCCCATTTGTTTGCATTGTCTTCTATTTCTTGCATCAATGTCATAGTTTTTCAGAGTACAGGTCTTTTAGGTCCTCAGTTAAATTTATTCCTAGGTGTTTCATTCTTTTTGATGCAATTGTATCAAATTGCATCAGACTTGATGTTTCCTTAATCTCTCTTTCTGAGAGCCTGTTACTAGTGTACAGAAACACACAGATTTCAGAATATTAATTCTGTACCCTGCATATTTATGTGCAGGTATGTTCCCTCTATAGCCACTCAGTTAAGAATTTTTGTCATGAGTGGATATCGAATTTTGTCAAATACTTTTTCTCTCTTGAGATGATCATATAGTTTTCATCTTTCATTTTGTTACTCTTGGTTTTGTTGATGTGTACCATGTTTACTGATTTAGAATGCAGAACCGTCCTTGAATCCCTAGAATAAATCGCACTTGATCATGGTGTATGATCCTTTTAATGTAGAGTTGTTTGCTACTATTTTTTAATCCTCACCCAAGGATATGTTTATTGATTTTAGATAAGAAAGGGCAGACAGACAGATATCAATGTGAGAGAGGAGTATCGACCAGTTGCCCCTGGTACGGGCCCTGACCAGGGATCAGACCTTCAACCTAGGTGTGCGCCCTCACGGGGGATCAAACCAGCGATGTTTTGGTGCACAGGATGGCATCCCAAGCAACTGAGCCACCCAGCCGTGGCCTGTGTGCTAGTGTTTTTGAATTTTTACATCTGTGTCCATCAGGGATATTGGCTTATAATTTCTTCTTCTCTCTCTCTCACACACACACACACACCACCACCACCACCACCACCCCCCCTTCGTCTGGTTTGGTATCAGGGTAATGCTGGCTTCACAGAAACAGTTTGGAAGTGTCCCTTCCTCTTGAATTTTTCAGAATAGCTTGAAAAATATAGGTTTTCTTTTTTCTATTCATGCTCAATAGAATTTACCTATGAAGCTACTCCGTCCTAAACTTTTGTTGGTTCAATTTCCTTACTAATATAGTCTGTTCAGAGTTGATTTTGTTACTGATTCAATTTTGTTACTGATTCAATTTCATTACTAATAGTCTGTTCAAATTTTCTATTTTTTCCCTTGTCCAGTCTGAGAAGGTTGTATTTTTCTAGGAGTTTGTCTGTTTCTTCTAGATTGTCCAATTTGTTGGCACAGTATTTTTTTTTAGCTGTTTTAAAAAAATTTTATTTATCTTCAGAGGGGAAGGGGAGAGGGAGAGAGAGATCAGTGTATGGTTGCCTCTTGTGTGTCCCCTGCTGGGAACTGGCCTGCAACCTAGGCATGTGCCCTGACTGGGAATCAAACCGTGGTTGCTTGATTCCCAGGCCTGCGCTCAATCCACTGAGCTACACCAGCCAGGGCCTGGCACAGTATTTTTATGACCCTTTGTGTTTCTGTGGCATCAGTTGTAACTTCTCTTTCATTTCTGATTTTATTTGGGTTATTTTCTTGATAACTCTGGCTAAAGGTTTGTTAATTTTCTCTTTTCAAAGAACCAGCTCTTAGTTTCATTGATCTTGTTTTTTAAGTCTCCTTTTTATTTATTTCCACTCCACTCTATTTTTTATTGTTGTTACTTTTCACCTACTTTGGGCTTTGTTCTTTTTCTAGTTCCTTCAGTTGTAAAGCTAGCTTGTTTATTTGGGATTTCCATTGTTGTATAAGGTAAGCCTGTACTGCTGTAAGTTTCCTTCTTGTAACTACTTGTGCTGAATCCCAGATTTTAGAAAGTTTTGTTTCCATTTTGTCTCAATATTTTTTTCTATTTCTTCTTTGATCCATTGGTCTAATAGCACTTTGTATGTTTCCTTCTTATAATTGATTTCTACTTCAGTATGTTGTGGTCATAAAATATAGTTGATTTGTCTTCGTGAGTTTATTGAGACTTATTCTGTGGCCCAATATGGTCTATCCTGGAAAATGTCCCATGTCCACTCGTATTCTGCAGTCTGGGGATGAAATGTTCTATAAATAGCTATTAAGTTCATTTGGTCTAACATGTCATTTAAGGCCACTGTTTCCTTGATTTTCTGTCTGAATGATCCATTGATGTGAGTGGGGTATTACAGTCCCCTACTATTATGTTCCTGTCAATTTGCATTGAGTCAATGACCTTTATGGTTGGTAATATTTATCGAATTTAGGTGCTCCTGTACTGAATGTATGTATACTTGTTACATCCTCTTCCCTTTATAATGATAAAAGGGACTGACCCCTTTATCATTATATAGTACCCTTCTTGATCTTTTACAGTATGTTTTAAAGTCTATTTTATCTGTTGCAAGTATTAGATTATTTGTAATACTGCTGTGGGAAATGTCATTGGCATTTCACTATCCCAGCCCTCTTTTCATTTCTATTTGCATAGAATATCTTTTGCCAACCCTTCATTTTCAGTCTTGTGTGCCTTTCGATCTGAAATTAGTCTCTTGTTGGCAGCATATAAATGGGTCTTATCTTATTACCCATTCAGCTACCCCATGTCTTTTTATTGGAGCAGTTAGTCCATTTACACTTAATTATTGATATTTACTTATAGCCATTTTGTGCATTGTCTTTAGTGGTTTTTGTAGTTCTCTGTTCCTTCTTGTCGTGATTTCTTTCCCTGTGGTTTGCTAGGGTTTTTTTAGTATTGTTTGGGTCCCCTTCTCTTTATGTTCTGTGTAGACCTCTTGTAGGTTTTTGGTTTGTCATTACCATGAGGTTCATATACATCACTCTGTATCCAGTGGTGTGTTTTAAGCTGACGGGCACTTACGTTTGAATGCACTCTAAACACTTCATTTTGACTGCCCCCGCCCAGTTTTTGTCGTCACAGTTTGTATCTTTTTACAGTTTTGTGTCCCCTAACTACATTTGTAGTTAGACTTGACTCTTCATTTTTCTGCTTAAAAAAAAAAAAAAAAAACCCTTTAATATTTACCATAAAGCCAGCGTGGAACTCCTTTAGTTTTGCTGTCTTGGAAATGCTCTCTTCTTCAATCCTGAACAATAACCTCCCCAGGTCGAGTATTCTAGGTTGTCGTTTCCTTCCTTTCAGCACTTGAAATGTCTGTATGTCATGCCACTCCTTTCTGGCCTATGGTTTCTGGGAAATCAGCTGAGAGCCTTATGGCACAGGTGGCAAAGACAAGGCCTGCGGGCCAAATCCGGCCTTCCACCCAGCCCAGCACCTTGTCTCCCCCCGGCAGCAGTGCCGAGCTCCTCGCCCCTCGTTAAGGAGTAGTTACGTTTATACAGTCCTGCGATGACATCTGGCCCTTTGAAGGCACCCGTGAGGCTGATGTGGCCCCTGGTGAAGACGAGTCTGACACCCCCGCCCTACGGGATTCCCGCTGTACGAGACAGTGCCTCGCTGTGACTCTCTGGGTTCATTCTGCTTGGAACTCGCTGAGCACTTTGCACCTGGAAATCTGTTTGCTTCCCCAGGTTAGTAAAGTTTTCAGTCATTATTTCCTCAAATAAGGATTGTGCCCCTTCTCTTCTCTTTCTGGGACACTTCAAATACAAATGTGACTGTGCTCAATGTTATCCCAGGTGTCCCTTCAACTATCCTCATTTTTTAAGATTATTTTTTCTTTGGCCGTTTTGATTGGGTGATTTCCACTATTGTGTCCTCCAAGTTACTAATCTGTTTAACTGTGTTACCTGCTTTTGATTTCCTCTAGTGTTTTTTCAATGCATTTCAGCTGTTACACTCTTCAGATCTGATTCGTTCTTTATTAAAGATTTTTTATTTATTTTTAGTGAGGGGGGAGGGAGTTGTGCACCCCCTAACTGGGGACCTGGCCTGCAACCCAGGCATGTGCCCTGACTAGAAATCAAACCGGCGACCCTTTGGTCGACAGGCTGGTTCTTTATTATATATTCTAACTCTTTTTTGAAGTTCTCCCTAAGTTGCCGTATTCTCCCAAATTCAATGAGCATCCTTATGACTGTAACTTTGAATTCTTTATCATGCAAAGTACTACTCTTTGAGGGTTTTTATGTTTTTCCTTGTTCCTTTTGAAAAATATTGTCTTTTCATTTTACTTAACTTTCTGTGTTTATACTTCGAATCAGAAAAAACAACTCTCTCTCCTGATCTTGAAGGAGTGGCCTTGTGTAGACGCAACCTCTGTGTAAATTGCGTGCTGGGCAATTTTCACAGGCTGGCTAGAGCTATGCGGGCGAGTGAGGTGCCCTCGGTGCCAGAGGTACGGGCCTCCGAGGGCTGGCACAGGTGCCCTGCAGCAGGCATTCTGAGGTGCAAGGCCCTGGGGGGCCGCTGGGCAGCAGCTGCACAGTTGCCGGCCAAGGGGACCAGGGAGGCATCACAGGGCTGCTAGAGTGCGTGGACCTAGCTCCCTCCCGTATTTAGGTGGAGGGGGAAGGTAAACAAAGGCGCCCACTGGTACCTCTGATTCCCAAGTTCCCACAGTTCCACCCCTGTTCAGCAGGCACCTTGGGGTAAGTAAATGCTTTTTGGTTTTTTCCCCCATGTACAATCTTGGTGCCCTTTAAATCGCTGTTTTTATCACTGTCTCCCAGGGCAGGCAAGCCTGCTGCTCACGCAGGCCCCCCATCAAGGTGGGGCTCCTGTATCTAAGTGGTCCCTTGCTCATTTGTTGTGAAGAAGCTAGAACTGCTCTCTGTGTAGAGGATACGGAGGTATTCCTAGGCCACCGTCCTGGACCCTCCCCCTTGCTGACCCTTCTGAATGACAGGATTTTCTGATGGTCTGTTGTTTGCCTGTCTGAACACTAAGTGCACCGACGTGTGAACCCAGACAAATCATTGAAAACTGTCATGTCCCATTACTACGGTATAGATTACAGCAATTCAAATTTTTGGATCATTTCTTAAACCAGTAGTATTTTCCCCAGACTCAACTACTCAACTTTTTAGTTTCACAGACTCATGTAAGTAATTCCAAACTAAAATATTTTGAATGCCACAAACCCTCCTGCAAGTGGATGACAACTAAATGTGGAAAAGAATCAGGTTCGTGCACAAACAATAATCAACCACCTTGAAGGCTACAGCTTATGGGGAAAGACCAATTCCAGTCTTTTAAAAATATACATTTTGGCACGTTAACAGCTTAATGCTTTTATTTTTTGTCTTTCTCATGCATTTAATAAATAATCTACACTGGATAAAAGCAAGCTGTTGGGCCAAGTTTTAGAAGTTACAACAGAGCCTGTAAGAAAACAGTAATGAGGGCTGAGGAGGCTCATTTCGGACGCTGACACTCACGTCTATGGGGTGAAGTAACTTACAAGGCGGACCATGAACACCCAGGAAGAGCACGATGCGGACAGTTCGCAGATTTGAGGGGAAGGCCTAGTCTTGTCACTGATTCTTTGTGACATCGAGTCCATTTCTTCAAAACAAATGCTGCCAGAGGGTTTAGACTTCTGCCAAAATTTTCTGTTAAAATCACCACCAGAAACAAATTAGAACCCCCAAGATGCTTGAATGCAGTTTATTGGCTGCTTTGAAATAGCATTTTAATAGCAAAAATGTGTTAACGTAGACAATAGATTATAACCCAATAGATTATAACCATCTTTTTTCAATACAAAGTAAACTGAGATCATATAAGTCTTAGCATTTTAAATTCACCTCTGTGATATATACAATGAAAAGTCCAAGAAATCTGGCTGAATCTCACAGAGTTATGCATAAGTGTACTAATGAATGCAACTTCTATAAGTACCTTGAGTGGGATTTATTTTACTGTGAAACATTAATATAGAGACAGGATTTTGAAAACTAAGCCAAGGGATCAATTCTCACTTCTTTTCTCTAAATATACCTTTTCTCTAGAGTTACAGTTTATACAAATTATATAAGTTGCTGGGTTCTCATTTCCACACCTTAACAATCCCATCCCTAGAAGCAGTTACAATGAAGCCCTGGGTTGTCTGGAATGTGGCGACGTCTGTGATGATGTCGTGATGTCTCACAGGCAGAGACTCGGGGCCCCTCCGCGGGGTGTCATCACTCGGTCCCACCTTCCGCTTATTCTGAATTTCCTGTTTCATGGTTAAAAGTCAAGGGGAAAGCCAGACATTAAAGGCCTATACCACATTCTACCTCTCGTAAGTATTCTTGCTCTTGGGGTATCCTGTATGTTGTTGGAGCTGACAGCTCTTGGTGAAGCAGCCATTCTTTCACAGACACACTGAGCAAAAGGACTACAAAGAGTCCAACGTGACACTCTAGGCTTCCGGTCATTAGATTCCATGAAGAGCCACTTAGAAACAGGCTAATCTATGCACAATACCTTTGTCGAAAGCACGTATTAAGAGGTATAAATGAACAGAATGTGGACATGAATACAGATCGGACGGTTAGCATTTCTGAAGCTCATCCTCATCTGTCGTGAGGAAGCACGCTCTCCTGTACTGATTGGGCACTTACTCAGACCCAGGCCCTTTCAGATAGGTTAACCTCATTTGAAGTGTTTGTCTGACTCAAGTTTTAGAGTGCCAAGAGCCAGATTTGAATTTCAGCTTTGCTGTTTACTAGCTGGATGAGTTTAAGGAAAATAATAACTTTACAAGGAAGCAGCTTTAGGGACTGAGCAAGGTATAAAGTGCTTACTTCAAGTAGTATACTTACATGTGCACTTTTTTAATTTTAAAAAATTTACTCTTTAAATTGAGTGATTTATAGTATAATAATTACTCTTTAAATTGAGTGATTTATAGTATAATAAAGAAGTCAAGAGAAAATAAACATTCCTTAAACCTGAAGAAATAGTGCTACTCAGTTTAATCAACTCAGTGTTTACGAAAGTCGAGCTACAAGAAAAAAGACTGCATGTACCTGGACGACCTCGGTGCCTTCGATGATTTTCCTGTAGTAGGACACAGACGGAGAACTAGTACTTCCTGCGACAACGTACGACCTCTCTGGGTACACCAAGTCCCAGAACCTGGGGAACAGAAAACAAACAGTGAGACTCTGAGGGAGAAGGGAAGGAACCAGTGATCACTGGCTTCCATTTACCAATGTGCAGCTTATTTTCTCTCGCATTAGGAAAAGAGGTTTTACCAGAACAGCATACAATTAATTACAAATGAAGTACGAACAGCTGTCCTGGCAAGATGTGGATGACTTTAAACATTATTGCTAATGTGAAAAATAAGTAACACCAGTGTCAGTATCGATCCACATTTTACCACCCTGCTTTTAGCTGCCGCATAAAGTATTCTTTACCAGACACCATACCTTATTTTCATGTCTGAGCCAGCTGTGAGCAGGATAGGGTTCCCATCTGCAGGACTACAGTAGATACCATGAACACTGTGAGGAGAAGGCTTAAAAGGAAGAAATGAGTCAAATAAAAGGCACCAGTGTATTCCACGGTGCCATTTCTAGATATAAATCGATTGTCAGTGGCTTTATAGGCACCTGGTTAACAAAAGAAATGAGAGACTGATCATATATGTCTTAAAAATGTCTTTCCTTGGGACTTTAAAATGCATTTGCTTTGTATTGTTCTGAATAAAGAGGCAAAGACGATTCAGCTTCCTAAAAGTTTCTACTTTGGATGAAGAGGACCCCACCCCAACAAGAGGAGACAAAAAAAAATCTTTCCTACTTTTCTTGGCAATATGACAATTACCGTATTTTCCAGACTATAAGATGCACTCCCCACCCCCCCAAATTTGGGAGGAATAATGGTGGTTAATGCTGCTGTTGAGTTTACATTTACATTGGTGAAATATTATGTTATGAAATATTTTACCACATTTTTTGCTTCAAAAAATTTTTTTCCTATATTCTTCCTCTAAAACCTAAGTGCATCTGACAGTCCAAAAACTGCGGTAAAAACAAAAGTGTATGCAAGAGTATCACATTCCTTTTTTTAAATGATCTAAACATCAGCCTGGAGCTCTAAAGAGACATGACGAATGTGACAGAGGGAGCGACCGAACCTGCCACGGGCAGACACCGGTCGGCCTAAGGAACCGGCAAGCTCCCCGCTGCCACCTCAAACTTACTGAGAACATAACCAAAAAGCCCAGCAGACATCACATTTGGTAAATATCTGAAGGGAGGTGGGAAATTTATTGGCTTTTATAATAAAAAATGAGTCAAACCTGTAACTCAGAAAGTGGCGGCGCGCTGCTGGCCCAGAGGGTGAATCTTCTGTCGCCGGTCTCCATGTCCCACATCGACACCTCGTTGTTGCCCTGAACAGCTGCGGGGGACAAAGGCCGGAGCCCACGCTCAGGTGAGAACTCTGCACTCACATCTTGGCAGATAATCCAGGTCAGTTTATACCCACTTCTATTTTCTCCAACCCTGCAAGAAATGCTCACTGGTACTTTCAAATAACATGTGACCCTGTCGCACCACACTGGAGTGCAAAAAAAAAAGAGGTGTTTTTAATAGCCTACCAGTCTCCACTGGTGTCTAAGTGGAAAGAATTGTGGAGTGGAAAGTGAAATCATAAACGGTCTTCCCTCAAGAAATCTACAGTCCAGAAGTAGAGAAAACATATAAAGTGTAAGACAGTGAAAGCAAAAAGGGAGAACGACAAAGGTCCACCTGAACTCAGGAAAGGAAAAGATCACATCCAGTGGGTAAGGGCTGCCTCATGGAGAGGTCTGCACCGGGGCTGAGGGGACGAGTCACGCTGGACAGGTACGGGGGGGCAGACAGAATGAGCAAAACCCCAAAATCTCTGCATGTTTTGGGGGAAGCACAGGTGGTAGCCGGTCTGACTGAAGCACATCTTGAGGAGGAGGAGTGGGAGATGAAGGCACAAAGAGAAAAGATGGGAGAAGGCAGATTACACAACAGGAAGCTGCAGGCCTGACAGAGACGGATGTTACCCCTGTTTTTGAGCATCAGGAGTGACAATACCCCAGGCTTCATTCATATTAATCAAACCACCAATATTTTCTAGGAGAGAGTCACTGTCCTAGGCACTGAAGGAAAAAAGGCAAACAATTTCCCAATAATTTTGTTTCATGGCATTTACATACCAGTGGGGACAACAAACCAAGAATATGCAAAGGCTGTGAAGGAGAAACATGCTTTTTGTCCAAGGAAAGAGCCAGGCCAGCCTCCCTGGGGCAGACTGAGTGGGGAGGCAGCAGAAAAGGGGCAGCGGTGCCGTCACACCCACTGGCCACTCTCAGGCTGACCCACGTGAACCACATCAATAGGCTCCTAGCTTCTAGATGACTCTGGCCTGTAGTAAGCTAACTGACCCCCAGCCCAAATAACCAAGTCTTCGTCTCTAGAGCCTGTGGATGTGACTTTTCAGATGTGATCAAGGACCTTAAGACGGAAAAGGGGGGTTTATCCTGGATGGTCCAAGTGAGCCCTACATGCAAACAAAAGTGTCCTCACAAGAGGGAGGCGATCTGCCGACGAAGCACGATGCTGTGGTGCTAGTTCAGAGGACAGCAGGAGGGGTCATGAGCCCCGGCTCACAGCTTTAGGAGGAGGAAAGGGCAAAGGAATGGATCCTCCCCTAGGCCCTACCACCACCTGGATTTCGGTTCAGCCAAACTCATTCCAAACTTCTGGCCTCCAGTACTGTTAGAGAATAAACTTGTGTTAGGCTACCAAATATGTGGTCATTTGCTACAGCAGTCACAGGAAACTAACATAGTCCTATGGCGGCCCCAGTGAGAGATGAGGGAATGGATGGAAGTCAAGTCAGTGACTGTCCCCTCACAGAATCACTGCTCCTCCCACGGCAGGCTTCTCTACTCAACTTCCACATTCCAGTCGCCACCCCTCCTGCCTTTCTACTGCTGGCTGATCTGCCGGTACTAGCCTGTTTTACTGCACAATCCTTTATGATGCCCGGCACCCACACCTTTGGAAACAAATCCTCCTCAAACGATCCTACCTTGGGTATACCATCTGTTCCCTGCTGGAACCCTGACTTTATCAAGGTCTCAAAGGGGCAAATCTCAAAGCCTCTGGGCCACAGGGAGGAGTTTGCCTGTTACTTAGAATGAGAAGCCACTGGCAGGCCTGAGCAGAAGAAAGAACAGTCTTAAGAGGTAAGGATGCCACACGAATAGGAATGAAAGATTATGGTGGTTTGGACTAGGCAGAGAGCGATGGAGACAGTAAAAAGTGGTCAGATTCTGAACATATTTTAAGATAAGATACATATGACTGGCTGCTGGGTTAAGAAAGAAAGAAGAATCAAGCATGACACAAGCATGCCCTCTGAGCACCGAGCATTAAAGAGCTGCCACTTCCTGAGATGGGCTGTGTGGGTGAGGAGGGACCTAGATTCGAGAGGACCATGGAGGAAACCTAAGACTAACTCGACCTGTATTTAGCAAGCACTAATTCTGCCCGAGGCTATGTGCTTACTATGTGTTATCTCAAATTCTTACAACTCCGCTAGGTAAATATTTTTAACTACATTTGGAAGATAATAAAAGTGAGTTTCAAAGACCTACCTAAGAATCTGTACAAGAAAATTCTAATGCCCAGTGAGGAGAGGGGAGAGAAAGGTAAGGAAGCTTGCCAGAAACAGATCAAAAAGAAATGGCAACTGACAGGGATGTATCAAGGTCTCTAAGATTTATAGGAAGGTGGTGGCAGCTTTAAAAAGATATGGATATAAGAGAAAAAAACAAATGAAGGGGAAAGGGCGGCAGACAGAACAGAACATGATGTGGTGACTGATTTGATCACTTTGAAATACAGTAACTATGAATTGACAGAGAGATATCAATGGCAGAAACTTCCATAATCAAAACAGAACAAAATCAAACACTCTGTTCATATGTAAAGTAAAAATGCTAATAAGGACATGATTCTTGGCAGCAGGGTATTATGCACTAAGAAAATCTCCCCACAGCTGAAAGCCAGCCAGGGTGAATTTACCTGCAATCACCCAGGACTGATACAGTGGGTGCATTGAGAGGCGCCTGATTCGAGCCCTGGAAGGATGACAGTGACTGGAGATTGGCAACTGGAACCTCATATCCCAACACGCCATGGTACCACTGCTTGTACCTTGAAGGGGAACAAAAAAAATTACCATCTAATAGTTAAAGCATATTAAGCTACATTGATACAAATAGTAAAAAGCATCAGCTTTGTATGAAGCTAAAAGACTTGGTTCTCAAAAAGGTGTCTCCCAGTTTCAAGTAGCACCTTTAATTATTAAATAACAAAGAGATAAAGTACTTATCACAATACTACTACAGAAGTGTCTAACAAAAGTAAAATTGAAAATGAATAATTACTGACACTGTCATAGACTGCCAAAGGCACTCACAAACCGCCCCCCGCCCAAAATCTAGAGAAAATAAATTGAATTTGATGCTCGAGATGTTTTACTGGCATTCGACGATCATTTTACCAATCCCAAAGTGGCAAACAGCTTTGCAGCTATCCCCAGATTCAATCATTTCCATGGGCCCTTTTCTATACCACATTCTGGGGACAGGTACAGGTGTCCAATCGCAGCAGAAACTGGAGTGAGTCCCTGCACATCTGCCCACAACTCGAATCCCACAGCAGAATGCCCCCACCCCAAAGGAGCGATGTCCACCCTACTGCTCGGCAGCGAGTCCTGACAGAGGCCCAGATCGTGTTCCTGTGTTGGCCTCCAGCGCCAGTGGAGAGACTGGGGGTGGGAAAAGACAAAAGCGGCAGTAGGGTCCCTGTTTGTCACCCTGGCCCATTCTAGGACAATGGCTCAAATAGCCACAGGTGCTTTGGCTGCCCTCCTCACAGCTGGTCAGGGTGCCTGAGAACCATCACTGCTGTTTGCTAATATGCTAAGTGGTTAACATCCACTCTTCTAGGCCTGGCATTACACCTCCTTGTACCTGTGCAGTTGATTCACACAAAAGGCAAAAAGCAATGCCTTCCATATAAGCTCTATAAAAATGAAAGGCAGATATTCACAATCATAAATGCAAGTTAGGGAACCTAAAAACCAAAATTTAGGCACTCTTCTGAAAAAGAGTGCCATGTGGGGAAAAAATAAGAAGTACCTCCTCAGGAAGCAGGTTCAAAGCCCTGAGGGGGAGAAACTGTAAAACTGAAACAGAGGAAAGAAGCAATCGAGACCAATCATGTGGTAAATCTCCAGCCTCTGAGGAAAAGGAGGGAGGAAGGAATAACAAGGCAAGAAAACCACCCTTTTGGCTCGCCTCCTGTTCTAGGCCCAGGGATAGACGCTTTCGCTCATTAAATCCTCACAGCAGCCCTTGAAAGGACCAACCCCTTTTGAAGATGAGGACGCTGAAACTCAGGAGGTGAGCAGTGCCTGAGGTCACCGGAATGGAAAGTGAGTCAGCCTACACTGAAACGCTCCCATTCATAAACCGAGCCTGCTGCTTCCCTGGCAGAATGAGAGAATGCCAGCAAATTGATCACTATCACGAGCATAAAGAGGCTCTTTTAAGAACAAAGAGAAAGGAAATTGTTTTATGCATTGGGATACTAATTTCACTCTTCCAAATCTGTCTTATAATGAATAAAACCTAAATTGCAAGTGAGTATAATAGTTACGAAGAAAAAGGAAGAAAACTTTCACAAAGAGGCAAGCCAGACATTAATGGCATTCAAACCTTGGCCAACGGTTTGAGAATAAGCGTACCAATGCAGAGCCAGCACTGGTAGATGTCCACCGCGAAGGAGGTTATGAGGCCCGACTTCAGATCGTGCTTCAATGTCCACGCGTTGCTTGAAGACCTGAGGTCCCAGCCGACCAGAGAGCCATTCACGGTAGCATAGGCCAGGACAGACTGCGCCCCTGAGTTGAAGTGGTGCATATCCACGACACAGCCGTCCTCCTTCTGGTCCAGAATTCTAAACAATACACAAAAGGCACACACTTTTCCAGTTACAGAAAACATGCCACTGGTCTCCATTAAGATGAATTTATAATCTAATCATGGTCAAGAAATAAAAACTCTGTGGTCTATCAGGACAATGATAGAGAAGGCATTTTTTAAAAATTATTTTAATCCTGGCTGGTGTGGCTCTGTGGTTTGAGTGTGGGCCTGCAAAACAAAAGGTTGCAGGTTTGATTCCCAGTCAGGACACATGCCTGGGTTGCAGGCCAGGTCCCCAGTGCAGGGCAAGCCACCATACATCGATGTTTCTATCCCTCTCTTTCTCCTTCCTCTAAAAAATATTTTAAAAATCTTTTTAAAAATTATTTTAAACTTACAGAAGAGATGCAAAATAGCACGCTAAGTAACTCTATACCCTTCACCCAGCCGCCCCCCTATTGGAATACCTTACAAAACCACAGACCTTTTACTGAAACTAAGAAATGAACACTGGTATAACACTAATACAACAGATATTGGAATTTCCTCGGCTTTGCACTTGTGTCCTTTAGCGGTGCCAGGATCCAAACCAAAATACCACGTGGGATTCAGTTGTCATATCTGCTTAGTCCACTCCAGTCTGACAGCTTCTCTGTCCTTCACTTTATCTCATGACCTTGTAGAAGACTACTAATGGGTTATTTTACAGAACGTCCCTCAGTTTGGGTTTGCCTCCCATGTTCTCACAGACAGACAGAGTTTATGCCTTATGGGGAAGGAGACCACAGAACCACAGGGGACAACTTCACGCCCCCAAATTACCCTGTGCAGCCCCTTTGGAGTCGACCCTACCCCAGCCTGTGGCAACATGATGATCTGTTTTCCTCTTTATAAGTTTATGTTTCCCAGAATTCCATATAATTGGAAATATACAATATATAGCATTGTAGGCCTGACTTCTTGCATTAAAACAAAAAGGATTTTAAGATTCATTGATGTTGTTGCTTGCGTCAATAGTTTACTCCTTTTTATCACTGATATAAAAGTAACAAAATAATGATTCCTTTTTATGTATTAGTCCATTATATGGGTATAAGTGTTTTTAAGCTTAGGCATTATTACACTAAAAAGAATATCAGACTTACTGGCCAGCCTCCTCTATCAATATATATCATGCTTTTGCACACACTGATTTAGTTTTATCTCTGCAAACACTAATTTAGTTTTATCTCTTAGATTAAGAGTCAGCAAATATTTACTGTAAAGAGTCAGACAATTTATATTTTAGGCTTTGCAACTCACACACATCTCAATTACATGTTCTTTATTTTTTTTAACAACCTTTGAAAATTCTTAGTTTATAGGCCATACTGCAAGCTTAGTTTGCTGATCCATCTTAGATAATTATATCCACAATATTCTAATATGCACATTCATATGAATTCTAATATTCCTATTCTACTATGAACTATATCCCCCTAAAGCAATTATGAAAGTCCGAATGCCAAATACAGTGTGAAATGGTGTCATCAGCTGTAATCGCTGAAAGCCATGACCGCAGCCTACCGGACTGGATGAGGCAAACAGAAAAGGAGCCTTGGTTGGTTGTGGGGCACATGCCATGGCCGGGCCCGATGCCACCCACACCTGCTGGCACGACCTCCCGACCAAGATGGCCGGCGTGCATCTGCAGAGCAGACTAGGCTGAGAGGCACCCAACACGGACACTGAGCGTGTCCGTGTGCATGTCCTGCCAGCACCCAACATGTTTTGCCAATAGCTCTTTGTTAATTTACACAGAACTCAATACATAGCCCGCTGTATATTGCTGTCACCCTCGGCTGAAACAATTTTAAAGAAAACTGGCAGATAATGCTTTTAGTTAAAGGCCATTTACAATATGTCCTGGATAAAAGCTACCCAAATCTCTTTAGTGAATGTGTCAAAAGTAACACATATTTTTAATTGAAAAGGCAAAACAAGTAAAACATACAAACAAATAATGAAAACCTTGGTGATCCAACAAACATCTCTTTCTGCCTCAGTTATGCCAATGGCCTTGACTTATCATCCACTTAGTGATACGCATCTGCTCATTCTGCCTTCCTCCCATGGGGTCCACCGCCTCTGCCCGCTACGCCCGACTTGGCTGGCTAGCTTACATCTGGCCTCCTCTCCGCCAGGCCTTCTTTCCTATTCCCCAAAGCTGTCTCCACCTCCCTGTGACAGGGCACATGATCACACTGCACCGAAATCATCTGTTCACTGGTCCGCTTCTCCCACTAGACTGTGGTTCCTTAGAGAGCAGAACATATTAATTGTCTCGGGAATCCTGTGTGTAGCAGCATATTGGTCAGCTGAAAAATCATTCTGCTTTATCTTTGAATGTCCTACCTCATCAGTGTTTAATCTGTAGGCAATAGCGATATGTAAGTGATAAAGGAGATTCTCAAGTGCAACTAGCCAGTATTTTGTTTTTAAAGGATAAGCTAATCATCTGAAGAAAGTATATTCCATGTTCCCATAAACTTCAAAGGTTTTAATGCCAAGTGACAAACTGCTGAAAACATTTGAGTTTTCTTTAATGAAAAACATTCATATTCTCAAAATCAGCCAGCCAGAGTTCTGCTTTTACTTGAGACAGAAACTGTAACTGATAATTAGATTATTCAGACACATTCCAGACTGGGACGAGCCCCAAGTTCAAAGTTGTTCTTCTGATCTTTTGACAAACTGGCAGAAAATAAAACAAGCAGACACAGTTTTCTGAAACTAACTACATGTGGTAGATTTGAGTTGGAAACACAGCTTATTTCATGTGCTTAAAAAAAGAAATGTAATGCAATAAGCCCTAAAATGATTCGAACTACGTTGGAGAGGGAGGATTAAATTAGCTAGTACACTAAATGCAGTTTAAAAAACACAAGACAGATACCTGCTTTGTAGAGGATGAATTTTAGGAGACTTGGGAAGCTTAGAAGCCTCAATTCCAAGAAGCTGGACAGCACCGTTGTCAGACGCTACAGCCAAGTAGTGAGAACCCTGGCAGAATGTGAGGGTCTTGACACGTCCTCCAATTCGGCTATATGTAAGAATAGATCTGCACAAAAGGAAAATAAGATTGCACTTCTGAAAGGCCACAAGAGTATTATTATTGCTGTTTAAAATAAATGTCCACAGGAGATTAACAAAAACATTACTACTTTGAGGTCCATTACATCTCCCTGACCTCATTAACAAAAACAAAAACTCCCCCCAAGAGCACTGCCACAAAATTGCCTGTTCTTCTGGTATTTTCGATCTGCCATCTTCACACACGTCTCTCCCATCACAGGAAGGCTGGCCCTCCTCCTTTCCAACGGGATCTCCCATACTTGTGGTCCTGATCCAGTTCTCCCTCCACTCCTGCAGTACCTTACATCTACTCACACACCCTTCATGACTCTCTGATCCCTCAGATGCAGCCTGGGCACAGCAGGGAAACCACTGGCATGGAAGCAAGGAAGCAGAGCTGAGTCCACTACTGCCGACCTATATGATCTTGGTCAAGCCACCTAACCTCCTCTGTGTATCTCAGTTCACTCAACTACAAAATAAGGACTACCCAGACCTAACTGGGACACAGTGAAACTCAAACTATCAAACATTCATAAATGCTAAATATCATTGTAATAGTCAGTCTCTGCCACAGACATGCTGACCTCTCAAGCTGTCCTCCTTCCTTATTTCACGTCCAAAGTTGTGAACATCTGACTCACACAGGGCCGCTCCCATTACTACCAACTCCCTCCTTCACTACCAGGCACTGAGGCTGCACACTCGCCCTTCCAAGGAGCTGCACTCTAAAAGGTCACAAGCCCCTAATCACCAAATTTATTAATCTCTATATTTTGTAATTTTGTTTTACTATACAAGTTAATACATATTAAATGTATAAAGATTACTGAAATACAGAAAATAACATAGAAAAGTAAAAACAATTACAATTCTACCACCCAGAGAAAAACAATATTTTGTTATACATCCTTTCCATTATAACTCTGCATATTTGCTTTTCAAATACAAAACTGCATTTTATATTTTTAATTAATCACGTCTCTCTAGTTTACTTTTTCTTAACATCAGCTTGGCTGAGATACAATTCACATACCATAAAGTACAACTTTTAAAGTGTGCAATTCAGTAATTTTTTAGTATATTAAGAGAATTCTGCATATATCATTAGTATCTAATTCCAGAATATTTTCGTCATTCCTAAGAAACCCCAAAGAAAGCCACCTCACACCCACTAGCAGTCACTCCCTTTCCCCCCTTAAATTTTCTATGAATTTGCCTATTTTTAATATTTCACATAAATACAATCATGCATTATGTGGCCTTTTATGGTTTTTGTTTTATTTTTTAAGATTTTATTTCTTTTTAGAGAGAGGGGAGGGGGAAAGAAAGGGAAAGTAACACTGATGCGAGAGAGAAAAATCGATCAGCTGCCTCTCGCACGTGCCCAGACAGGGGCCAAACGTGCAATCCAGGCACGTGCCCTGGTGGGGAATTGAACCTTCAACCTCTGCTTTGCAGGATGGTGTCCAACCAACTGACCCACACTGGCCAGGGCCATTATGTGGCCATTTATACCTGGCTGCTTTCATTTAGACTGTTTTCAAAGGTTCATCCATTTTTTATGGCCAAATTATTATTCCTTTGTATATATCACATTTTGTTTATCCATTCATCAGCTGATGAACATTTGTGTAGCTTCCACTTTTAGCTACTATGAATAATGCTACCATAAACATTTATGTGTAAATCTTCCTGTGGATATATGTCTCAAACCAGTACCTACAAGGGCTCACCAGTTTGGCAGACAAATAGAGAGAGCCAGGGATAGGTAATGGGAGAGACAAATGCCAGTGTGCTCAGTCCCTCTCATTTGTTCTCATTCTCTCTCCCCCTCTTCCCTAACCCCTTCTCTCTTCAGTATGTCTGTTCCCTGCTCCCTCCTCTGTACTATTTTGTCATATAAATTACATATTTACATAAGCTCATGAAGGCTTATAATTTTTCTTTATAGGCCACCTTTTAAATTAGCAGGTAAAAAGAGTTGCAAAAAATAATTTATACTGCATTTGTTATACCTATAGCAATGCTGTTTATTTCTTCACGTGGATTCAAGGTGCCGTCTTGTGTCCTGTCCTTACGGCACAAGCTCCTTTTAGAAAAAACCTGCTAGCAGTAAATTCTGTTTTATTTACCTTGGAATGTCTTCACTTCTTTCTCTCTTTTTCCAGATTAAAAAAAAGTTGACAGTTTTTTTCTTTCAATACTTTGAATATACAATCCCACTAACATCCAGTTTCCATCATTACTGATGAAATGTCAGCTGTTAACCTTATTGAAGATCTCTTGTATATGATGAATCACTTTTCTCTCATTGTTTTCAAGATTCTTTCTTTGTCTTTAAATGGTTTGCTTATCATGTGTCTGGTGTGTTTCTCTTCGATTTTTATCCTACCTGGATTTCACTGAGCTTCTTAGATATGCATGTTAATATTTCCCATCAATCCTGGGGAGTTGTAAGCCGTATTTCTTCAAATAGTCTTTCTGTTCCTTTTTCTCTTTCTTTGCCTTTTGGGACTCCTATTATATGTATGTTGGTACACTTGATAGTATTCCACAGGTCTTTGAGGCAGTGTTCATCTTTCTTAACTCTTTTTTAGTTTTTGTGCCTCTGACTAGATAATGTCAACTAATCTATCTTGAAATTTCTCACCAGTAGAAATCTGCTATGAAGCCTCTTGAGTGAATTTTTCATTTCAGTTATACTTTTCAAATACAGATTTTCTATTTCTCATTTCTATCTCCTCATGGATATTATCTATATGGTGAGACATTTTTCTCACACTTTCAATTCCTAATACAAAGTTTCTTCTACTTCTTTGAACATATTTTAATAGCTAACTTAAATTCTTTATGTAGTAAACCCAATGTCTGGAATGATAAGGTACAGTTTCTACTGACTGCCTTTTTCCCCCTGTGTATAGGCCATACTTTCCTCTTTCTTTGCTTCACTTGTAAATTTTTTGTTCAAAATTGGACATTCTAATTAACATGTATCAAGTTTGGAAATAAAATTCCAATGCTGTTGCAATTTACTTTGTGCCTTCCCTGTACTAAGTATATATAATGCCTGTATTCTTTCTAATGTGTGCACTCTGAAGTCTTTGTTCAGACAGCTCAGTTGTCAGCTACTGACTGGACAACTTTTCTTTGCATGCCTTGAACTGAGGGTTCCTTTGTGGAGGCTGTGTCTGTGTTGTGGCACAACTTGAACAACGCCGTTCACAACTCTGCCTTAACCCTCATTTCTCGCTTGCACAGAGTCTCAAGATCAACCTGAAGTGAGAATTCAGGGTCTTCTCGGTTCTTTCTCAGGCATGTGCACAACTTTGCATGTGCAAGTGGCCTTTCAGACAACCATGAATAACATCAATATTTCAAAGGCCCCTATGCATCTCATCCCTCGTTCTTCCCTTTAGATTTTTTGTGAGCCTCTTGTTAGCTACAACTGGTAATGCCACCTCAAGCAGATACAACGTTAAATGAAAAGCACTGATAATTTCAACAAATGTCCTGTGTATGGAGTTTTTCTCAAAAAACAAGGCACAGGTCAGATTAAAAAAAAAAAAGATATACCCAGAAAATGGAGGTTTTCAGCCAGCTGTTGAAAAGGTCAAATAGTGACAATTCCTTGGAAATGGGACTTTCGGGGACTTCCGAGGACTTATAACCCCTTGAGTAGCTACTAAGCTGCTTGTTTTTATGGCTATTATAGTTGTGGAACTGTTAGTTTTCAAAAGCTACTGTAGAGGGGATAAAATTTAGGACCACATGACTCGCTGTTCTGAGAATCAGCTATTTTCCTTAAATAACATTCTGGATTGATGCAGGACTTTAGTTAATTTACAGACTTCTGAAAAAGTTGATTTTGGTTTGTTCTGGAGGAGGAGATTTTTAGAAGTCCTTACTGTAATTCCAAAAACAGAAACCTTACATGCTCTTCTTAAACCTACATTTATTTCCACAATATCAATTTTATACTTGCATAGTAACTTATTTGTCTAATTTCACTGCTAAACCTTTAGTTTGACTCTAATTTTCTACTATTATAAAGAAAGGCAATCTCAACAGCCTTAAAACTAAATCTCTGAGTTTGTTCTTAGTTATTTCCTTAGGATATGGACTCATAAAGGGTTATGATATATACTGGCAAAAAGCCCTCAGGGAAGATGAATGCATTTCAACTATGTTCCACCAAAGGCACTGCATGAGCATGCTCAAAACTTCACTAGGTTTTCATGCTACTTGGCTTTTTGACTGCATTACAGAGCTCCCTGTAAGTCCTTTTCTTACAGCTCTTTGTTGCAGTCTAATGTAACATAAATGGCTGCTTCTCTCTCCTTTTCTAACCCCTCTTTTCCCATTCTCCAAGTTCAATTTCCTAAGACTCAGATCTCAGGCCTTCACAGGTCTTTATAACCCTTTGTATTCCCTTTTTTCCATGGTAGTCGTACAACACAAAAACTTCACCTTTAAGCACTAGCAGTGACTCTAAAATATGTAACCTTAAAACCCATTAACTTTCTTGCACACCTCTCAATTGTTTCAATTCTTCATTGGGCCAAAACTCCAGTTAAATATTTTACCATCAAATTCAGTAAGTACCAAATGCATCAATCTCCCTAAAACTGAGAAGCTAAATGAGTCAAAAAATAAGGCAGAAGAAGCATATATGGAAAATATAATCTAGAATACAATAAACTATTAAGTTAAAAAATCTATGTGAAAGTTAAATAGCAATTTTTCAAGAAGCAGTCTTTACAGGACAAACAGTATAACTCAAAACAAAGAAGAAAATGGCAGAGCCGAGATCCAGGTGACTTAAGTCACCAATCATAATTCAATTAGAATATTATGAGTGGGAACTGGGTAGTCAGTCGGCCAACATAACACATGAGGGAAAAGCCTCAGTAACATTTCCTAAGGAAACACAGTTTTACTGCTCTATCCCAGCCACCTGCTGTTTCCCACTTGGTTCTGGCAATAATAATGGCCTCCTCCCCCCTCATCAGTTCATGAAGGCATGTGATACAAGCAACACATTCTGTTCCCTTCCCCTCTTTCCCACCCTGGACCTGGAACAAAGCACCTTCAAGCCAAGGTCTATCGCACTGAACAGCGAGAACAGGTGTGAATGGCAGATCAAGAGAGCAGATGCATCCAGGGGAAATACAATCTCCTAATCATCATGCAAACTTCAACTGTACAGTCAGCTAAGTCACCACATTTCCTGGGAAAGCACTGTCTGAAATGTGACACTTAGATACCACTGTGTAAAATACGACGCTGGCTCTGTGACAAAAACCCTTTGGGAATTACCAAGTGAGGTTGTGCATAGCTAACAGATGATTCCATGCTCTTACTTGAGAGGTTTACTCATATCAATTAAATTTATCCCCCTAAATAAAAGATACAATGAATGCAAATGGTGATGACAATAACAAAGACCATTTGGGAAGTAATTATCAGAAGAGATGTTTAAAATACTTTTAAAAACGCTCATCATGGTGGGGAAAATACTTTTTTAACAGCTGTAAGGGAGGGAGGAGGCAGGAACTGTCTGTGGAGGAGCACGAGTAGAACATTCTGCTGTGGTGCTTTTGTTCTGCACCTTTAGAGCAGTTTAAGTCACACGGGGGTACTTGTTAAAACCCACGGAGTGCTTCACTTAACACCCTTGTGCTTCCTAACATGACACTGAGCCCCATTTAACGATGCGCATGCTGGGTTTTAGGGAGGTGTACTAATGTCTACACCTTACTTGAAATACATTTTTAAAAGATGAACTGATAGGAAATTACTAATCGTGGAATCTGTGTGACAAGTCTACGGATGTTCACTGTCAGATTCTTTCAACTTTTCGTATAGGTTTGAAAATTTCACAATAAAATGCTCAAAAAATTGCTACACAGAACCAGGATTCTTTTAACATTTTCTGATTTATGTTCTGACCAATGCAATGCCAAAAGAGAATGAATATGGAAACAATAATTAATCATGATAAAATCCAGAGTTCTTAAAAAAAACAAACAAAAAACTGTACCTGACTAGTAAGGAGTAACTTTTAGTTATCAAAGTTATTTGATTATTTTGTGGTAAATTATGGTCAATGACATGATAACAAGAAAAGTGCCAAAGATTTTCCACATCATTTTGGGTACATGAGATTCCATTTTAATTTCTACTGGTTTTCTTTTCAGACCCAGACCAAACTAGGCACAGAATATGAATGTGGCAAAGTTGACGGAAATAGGGGAACTGGGGGAACAGCTGGGGTGGCCAACAGACTATCATGTAAGGACGTAACTATAAAGTAGTAGAAATCTAAAATACTTCTTATAGTCACACTTACCAAAATCACATCATGTAAATGGCAATGGAAAAAATACAGTAAAAAACTAAGCTACTATCAGACAAGCAACAGCCAGCCTCAGTGAGCTACAAGCCCTCATACCTCTTGCTGATTGGCCCCAGGCCTGGCACAAGTAGCAGCCATCTCAGACTGCTTTATAGCCCAGGCAGGGTGGCCCCGGGCAGAACGCATGTGGAAGCCCGGGGCCACCGGGCTGGCCACATTAGCTGACCTTGGCCTACACCACCCAGGAAACCCCAGAACGTGCACACCCAGTGGACAGCTATAGACCATGTTAGAGCACCACCATCCTGGCCCCACACAGCTAATTTTCCATGGAGCGGGGAGGCCGGTGCTCAACGGTCACAATCAGTCCTTGCAACTGACTGGCCTGGGTAAATTTCTCCCACTGGCCTGCCAACAGCAATCAGAGCCCAACTACTAGAAGAGGGTATACTCAGCCAACATTAAGGGCACACCTACTACATTAGGACACACTAACAAAACACAGAGCCAAAGCAGCTCTACCTAATACATAGAAGCAAACACAGAGAGGCTACCAAAATGAGGAGACAAACATGGCCCAAATGAAGGAACAGATCAAAACTCCAGAAAAAGAGCTAAATGAAATGGAGATAAGCAATCTCTCAGAAGCAGAGTTCAAAACACTGGTTATAATGATGCTCAAAGAACTTAGTGAGGACCTCAACAGCATAAAAAAGATCCAGGCAGACATGAAGGATACACTAATTGAAATAAAGAACAATTTACAGGGAAACAATAGGAGAGTGGATAAAGCCAAGAATCAAATCAATGATTTGGAACATAAGGAAGCAAAAAACAACCAATCAGAACAACAGGAAAAAAAAGAATCCAAAAAAATGAGAAGAGTGTAAGCAGTGTGATACAACTTTAGAGGTGCAACATTTGCATGATAGGGGTGTCAGACGGAGAAGAGAAAGACTTAGAAATTGAAAATCTATTTGAAAAAATGAAAGAAAATTTCCCTAATTTGGTGAAGGAGATAGACATGCAAGTCCAGGAAGCACAGAGTCCCAAATGAGATGGATGCAAAGAGGCCCACTCCAAGACACATAATTAAAATGCCAAAAGTTAAAAATAGAGAATCTTAAAAGTAGCAAAAGAAAATAAATTAGTTACCTACAGGGGAGTTTCCATAAGACTGCTAGGTGATTTCTCAAAAGAAACTTTGCAGGCTAGAAGGGATTGGCAAGAAATACTGAAAAGTCATGAGAAGCAGGGACCTACAGCCAAGATTGCTCTACCCAGCAAAACTATCAGTGAGAATCAGAGGGCAGATATAGACCTTCCTGGATTAAGAAAAAACTAAAGCAGTTCATCATCACTAAACCATTATGATATGAAATGTTAAGGGACTTATTTAAGAAAAAATCAAAACTATGAACAATAAAATGGCAATAAATATATATCAATAATTTAATCTAAAAAATAAACTAAGCAAGTATGAAGAACAGAGACAGAACCATGGATACAGAGTATGCATTTTGATGGTTGCCAGATGGAACAAAGTGTTAGGGAATGGGGGAAGAGGCAAGTGGACTAAGAAGTACAAACAGGTAGTTACAGAGTAGTCATGGGGATGTGAAGTACAGTATGTGAAGTACAGGAAGTGGAGTACCCAAAGAACTTATATGCATGACCATGGACATGAACAACAGTGTGGGGATTGCCTGAGGGAGTGGGGGGTCCTAGGTGGTAGGAGGGCAAGGGTGGAAAAATTGGGACAATTGCAATTTTTGACTGTTTTGGCATAATCATTAAAATGTGATTTTTAAAAAAGAAAAAATAAACAATAAATAACAGAAAAAAAGCACATCGTGCATATTTAAAGATTTTGGCATTTCAAGTCATAAATTATCTCTACTTCGACCATAACAGTGAAGTCATGGGAGTATGTGTTTTCCTTGTCTAGCTAGCCATTCCACCATTTTCTGACTTTTTTCTTGTTCATACTCCATCTAATATACTCAACAAATCGAGTTGGCTCTACTATCAAAGGATACCCAGAATCTGATCATTTCCCAATACCCCCAGCCCTTGCTTGAATTATACTGTACAGGCCTAACAGCTTCTGTCCAGTCCCTCCTCAGTCTGTTCTCAACAATCTAATTCAGATCATGCTTCTCCTCTGCTTGGAACCCTCCTCAGACTCCCCACTGCCCTCAGAGTCAAAGCCCAAGTCCTTTACAGCAGCCTGCAAGGCCCTGTATAACCTGGCTCTTCCTGTCCCTCTCGTCACTCTGCTCCAGCCACACAGACCTTCCTGTGGTTCCTCAAACACGCTAAACATCTTCCTGCCTCAGGGCCTTTGAAATCCTGTTTCCTCTGCCTGGAAGGCTTTTTCCCGAGATACCCACGTGGTTCTCTTCTTCACCTGTTTCAGGTCTTTCCTCAAATGACAGTCTCTCTGTAAGGTATTCTCTCACCAACCTACTTAAAATTCTCCCCTACCCCACCCATACTGCATTCCCTCTCTTTCCTGCTGTACTTTTATAACATTTGGCCACCTAACATACTGTATGTTTTACTTATACTGTTTATTTTCCATCACCTGCCACATAAAAGATGTTTTTGTCCAATTATCATTGCTAGATCCCTGGCACCTGAGACAATGTCTATCACACACAATGTGAACAACCAATAATGCGTTAACCCAACGAATGAATGGACTCTCCGAAGCATATTTCACCTGGTAGTAGTTGTCTTCCCCTCCATCTTTTGACTGTTCCAGATTTTCACTGTACCATCATTTGAACATGTTGCAAAGAGTGAGTGTTCATCAGAGACTCGAATTCGATTCACAGCAGATTTGTGCTCATGAAGATGTGCAACCAGTAGCCCTTTAGGACGCCACCCTAAGAAAAAGCAAAGGAGTGTACCTTTATAAATACAATCTTTCCCTCCCCCCTCCTGTAACCAACAACCAGCATGAGAATAATAATAAGAATTAAATGAAAAGTACCAACAGACAGCCAACACAGAGTGGTTTACTAGACCACGAAAGATACTATTATCTACCAGGACAACCAAGACTATCTACCAGGACAACCAAGACAGCAATTAAGTGTTGCTCAAATAGCTTTAGAAAGACCTGAGTCCTTCTCCAGTGTTTGAGAAGACACAACGGTCACTTGCTACCCAGAAAAAAACTGACTACCTGCTCAGTAGCCGGAGGTAACGACTGTCCCGACCTGGAGGAAACTGGATGCTCGGAAGGCAGCCTGGGCCTGAAAGTCTCAAAGACCCAGATCTTCTATTTTACAACAAAATAGAAGGCTATGCTGAAGACCATACCATATTAGGAGTTAGTGCTGTGCCTACTTAAGTAATTGTAATGTCATTTTAGGATGAAATTATTTTTTTACCAAGAAAAATAACTGAAACCAACACTATTTCCAAACCTGGCTTTACTGTAAGATAAAAAATACAATGTTTCCCACTGGATTTCTAGCCCACATGTTTGGGAAGAACAGCTGCACATGATTTTTAGGGAGGATATGCTGGATTTGAAAATGATCAGAAACACTTTGTCATGAAGTCTAGATAATCTCCCAGGCTAGGCCGAACACTTCCCTCTAGAGAAAATCAATTTCACACAACCACTCAAGTGTGGAAAGAAAAAAATTGAGAGCCCCACAGTCGCTGCACAATTCTTGAACCACAAAACTTGACACCTTTTCTGTGATTACTATATAAGATGCGTAGCTCCACTTCCGTAAAATGCCATTTAAAAAAGATTCTATCATAAAAAAGATAGTTCACAGTCAACTTTTTTTTAAAGCAGGATTGGTAAATAATACTGAAGTATATTACAGAAACAACTTAAATATTCGAGGATATTTATTTTGATAAGAAAATTTCTATGACCTGACATGTCACTTACTACTTAACAATGTTTTCTAAATCTTTAAATAGTTTGTCTTCACACGCATGCTCCCTGAGTTCACAACAGAAGCCCATGGAAATTCACATAATTTTTAAATCTCTACACATAAGCACATGATGCATTTCTCCTCAGTTTTCAAGATGAATTTTTATTATTAACATCTGTACATAGGAACTCATTAAAATGTTCTCCACAATCTGCCGATCTAGTATCAAAGACCAGCTCTACCACATCAAACCGGGCAAGTCTGTCGACACAGCTGAGCCACACTTTCATCTGCAATATCTCTAAATTTCTTTTAAATCTTCTCAGAATATAGGAGTGTTTCCCCAAAATCTTAATGTGGATAACTGTTGAATGGTAGGGATACTAGTGATATTGTTCTCTTTTCAAAGTATCCATAATTTTCTAGTTGTTTTTACTATTTTTGAAAAGGAAATTATGTTAACCCCTCCGATGTTAAAAGTTGAGGTTTACGCCAAGAACCCCGATGACGCCCACTGAGAAAGCGGCACGGCACTGACGCTGGCAGGCAGACGCTTACGTGACAGGTGAGGAAAGTGGGCCACAGACAGGGTACCGTCGTAAGTGGTCGAATAAACGAGACACTACCAGTTGCCCCTACAGCTAAGAAGATCCAAACTCCACAAACAATGACGTCCCCCACTAGGCTTCCAAAGCAACGGTTTGTTCTTACCCCCTCTGCCTGGCAGTTAACTATCAGTGCCCAGAATGAGATTCTAGGCTTTGGCGGGGGCTGAAATCCAGCTCCCCAGCCGCGGCACGTTACCGGGTGGTGGTGGTTTACTCTCCCACTCGGCGTTTTCCATCATCTGCTTGGCTATCCGCTCAGCGTTACACTGCTCCCGCTTTTGCTGGATGAGCTGCTGCAGCTCCGTTTTACAAGTTGTGATCCGAATCTGGTAGGTGGATGGTAAGATTGTGCTACTTAAAACCTGTACTGCTGGTTTTCTACTTTGGACATTTGTCACTTCTGGAACCTGTAAAACAAACAGAATTACAGGTATTTATGTCATAAGCAAAGTATATTTGATAACAACCTATATGCCCTTTATTCATTATATCAGCTTTAAAGTCCTTATTAATGTACCAATTTTTAAAATCCACTTAAATCCATGTTTTCCATGAAAACCTAGCTAAGATGAAGTTTAACCACAAATATTACATTTCCAAACTTCTCCGTTAAAAAAAAAAAATCAGCCCTGGCTGGTGTAGCACAGTGGATTGAACGCAGGCCTGCGAACCACAGGATCACAGTTCAATTCCCAGTCAGGGCACATGCCTGGGTTGCAGGCTGGTTCCCTACAGGCCAGTTCCCAGCAGGGGACGCACAAAAGGCAACCACACACTGATGTTTCTCTTCTTCTCTCCTTCCCTTCCCCTCTAAAGATAAATAAATAAAATCTAAAAAAAATCAGTGCAGCAGTAACATTAAACAAAAATCCTCATTAAGTAAAAAGAAGAAATAGAATTTTATCAGTTTGTTCAGTTAATATTTTTATTTAAAATAAGACTGGCTAGGGAAGAGTTACCTTCAATTATAAACTTACTTCACATACATCAAAATCAGCATGACATTTTCATACATGGCTAACTTGGGCCTTTTCTTCCCAGAAGTATTTTTGTTATTTTACAGATATAACTATGTTATATTAGAGGAAGAACACAAGGAGACTTAAAGGGTTCACTGCAGACTAATTATAACCACAGTTCATAACGGTGTCTTCAATTCATAATTTCAGATCACTTTAGTAATGAGGGCTCTAAAACAAGACTTCTCTGGTGCTTTCAATACCTCGATTTCCTCTTGGCTATCAAGTTAAACATACACCTGTCTTAAAAAGAAACATCATCTCCTGGAGGACAAGTCACTATATTGACACAAAGCCTTGAAACATCCCAAATAGAATGGGACAGAAAGACAAAAGGAGGACTATGGCCTGAGGACAGTACCTGCGGAGAAGTTGACAAGGGGACACCAATGCCCGCGGAGGACTCAGAACGAGGAGGCTTCCCAGTCTGAATCGCCTCCTGGTCACTCGCTTTAGGCAGAGCCTGTGGGATGTTCGGTGGTTCCAGTGACCCAAACATGCTTTTCCATTCTTCATTTACATTTGAGTCTTGTTTCACATGTTTTCTAGCTATGAAAACAGATTCAGAATAGATTGGAGGAAGCCTCTAAAACCAGTATGTGCTTTCATTCCTTTTTCTTTTTTATTTTGGTGGGGAGGACAGCAATGGACTTCCCATCCTATTTGTCCTTTATGGTCTCTAATTTATTTATATTTCTGTAACAACCCATTAACTCTCACTTCATCCCTAGGGCAGAGGGAACAGATGCACTTTCAATGGTGTTAATAATTACACTTAATTGCTTCCTAGCTTCCCAAGGCTAGCTCATTTCAAGTAACCACTTCATCTGAAGAACCAATAATAAAAAATTTTCCAGTGCCATTGACCACACTGCTAAATATTACCTATTTCTAGTATCAGTTACTTAGGAAAACAAAGTAAAAACAGAAGAAATTAAAAAATCAGTTGATATACAGCTACCTCCTGACATAAACAGATGAGAAATCCTTTTTTAAATCGTTGTCTGATTACAAAAGGTATATAAAGTAACACAGTTCTAGCATTACCAAAATATTACATGAATTACCCCTGTAAGTTTGTATACCTCATAGCTATATAGTTTAATAATACACTGCCATATTATTCTACAAAAATAACTTGCTTTTTCTCCTATTTAACTAAATATGTTGAATATTTATTTCACCATTCCCCTATGAATGAATACTTCAATTATTTCCTTTTCCCCTGCCCTGAGAACACTATCATACATATTTCTTCACATGCACGTCAGTTTTTCTTAGGAGAAATTTCCAGAAGTGAGAGTCAAAGAGCAGACGTCTCTTCTAACAAGAATACGTTCAATTTATAATCTCACCTACTGTGTGTGAAATGCGTTTCCGCACACCCTGCTGACACTAGACATCATCAGTCTCTGCTCTGGCACAAAGGCAGAGACTGGCACGCCACTGTTTTAATTCACATTTCTTTATTTACCTGTCCAAACACAGGCATTTCTATTCTAGCAATTATATGTTCAAGCCCTTCACTATTTTTCCTGTGGGGGTGCATTTTTCTTATTAATCTGTGAGTGCTTTATGTATTATGGATGCAAACCACTGATAGTCATAAATACTTTATCTCAAATCTGGCAGTTAGAGGTCTACTTTGAACATAATTTATCAGCTGATACTTGAACAGAGGGATTTTTAAAGTCATGTACTCAGAAGTGAGTGCATCCCCAAAAAGGGTTAAGAGAAAAAGACGAGATCTTGAAAACCCTCATACAACCAATGTCACTGTTACCGCTACAAGAGCTGATAGTTCTAAATCTCCAGGCTTCAAACGGTTAAGGCTGCTCTGGTCTCCACTCCCTTGTAGTTATTTCATTAATAACAAGACTATTTCTTTCAGTTCTCTGGGCATGACTTAATAATAACAAACTAGAAAACAAAATCTCATTTTATACAGACTGTTGGCTTCGGGTTAGAGTTCCAAGGATTAAAAATTAGAGCCCTGGCTGGGTAGCTCAGTTGGTTGGAGCGTCATCCAGATTCACTAAGGTTGCAGGTTCGATCCCGGGTCAGGGCACATACAATAAATCAACCAATGAAAGCATAAGTAAGTGTAGCAATAAATCAATGTTTTGGTTTTTTCTCTCTCTCCAAAATCAACGAAATTTTAAAAATCATTAAAAAGGATGAAAAATAGAATTTCATCTTCAACCATACACCTCCACAGAGGCAATACTTTTATTACAAGAGCTTTTATTACAAGGGCTTTGGAGTCAGGCTTTGATTTGAATCCTGATTCTGACACACACACACAGCCATGATTTTGGCAGGTACTTAATTTAACTGTTATTTCACTTCCTCACTTTTCCTCCCCCAAATCTCCCTGCTACATAATGGAGTCACTCACTGTATGAAAGTTCTGTATCTGAGATATGTGACTAAAAGCTAAAAGCAGGTTTATGGAATAACTAACAATACTAATAATATGTGCTGAACACACACACACAAACGCACTGACCCCGCTTGTCATCTGGTTCCTGTTTGGTTCTGACAAGATCGACTTGTCTCCCGGTTATGCCCAGGGCTGCCAGGTCAATGACACCTTTCTGACTGCTGTCATGGAGATGGCTCTGGTCCACTATGTTCGCCTTCGCCTTGTTAGATTTCATCATGAAGTCTTTCAACGCCAACAGTTTGTCTTCCTCTTCCTCCGTCATTCCCTAAGACCACATAAAACCACACGTTACAGACTATTTTTGCAAACAGTGACAATAGCCCTCGGAATGACTCACAACCGAAAGGTCAGACCACCCAATTTAAAATTCTAAGAGTCGGCCCAGTGAAATGAAGCAACAGCAAGAGAAAAGGAAACTGTCGATACAGAGCAACATCCCGCAACTCCTGTCTGCCAGCGCGCACTCTCTCCAGGGGGGCACTTTCTGCACTGTATCATGATTTACATTTTAACTTCTTTTCTAAATTGGAGCCCTGGAGTATAAGTCATCTTTGATATCTCCAAAGAACTGAATGCCTAGTATCTAGCAGACCTTTAATATATAACTAAATAAATAAACATTTCATACTACTTCCACCTTGCTCCTGGAAGTGTTGAGAATATTACATGAGACATTGTGTGGGGAAGCACTTTCAGATACAGAGAACATTCTACACACCTCTGGGATTCAAGACACGGTGGCTGAACTGCAAAGGTGAGCGACACACCCACCAGCATTTCAGACTACATCTATGACTGGAGTCAGACCGTCTAGGTTCAAATCTCAGCTCCATCACTTACTATCCATTACTTGTGACCTTGCACAAGATACTCAATTCCTATGCACCCCTGCTTATCTATAAAATAAAGATAATTGCTAGCACCCATCTAACAAAATTATTATGAATATTTTTACAGATTAATCTACCAAAGACACTTAGAATACTTGAAACTGTCTAACAGCTAATAAATACTAAATAATTAATTCAATGTGCAACTTCAGTATTCAGATAAATGGAACTATTCTGTATGTTCTTGTTAACTTTCCAGCTATACACAGAATCCTCAAGAATGTTTTTATTATGCAAATAAAAAATTAACAAAATGGAAATGGAAATTCCCAAGGTGTCAATCTAGAATCCCAGTAGAGTTTAAGGCAATACTCACAATCCGCAGTCATAATAAGACAAAAAACCCTAGAAAGTTAGAAAGCTAAGAAATAATAAAATTGCATTAAAGTATAATAATCATGGAGAGAACCTTGACTTTTTTAATAACCTGAAATTGTTTATTTTTAACTTCTCCTCAAAAATCTGCCTAAAGTAGACAGTTTTTTCGCTACAGCAAGAGTTCCACTCTTTTTCTTCGTCTCCGGTTTAGTTCACGAGAGAGGGAGCTCTGTTTTAGACCACAGGAGGGCAGGCCATTGTAAGGGCCATTAAAAGGACCGACCCACTGACATGCCACAACATGGAGACGCCTTAAAATTATTTTGCTAAGATGCCCTGGCCAGGTGGCTCAGTTGGTTGGAGCATCGTCCCATACACCAAAAGGTTGTGGGTTTGGTTCCTGGTCAAGGCACATAGCTAGGTTGTGGGTCCGATCCCAGGTCTCAGCATAAATGGATTTCTTTCTCACATCAACATTTCTCTTTCTCTCGCCCCCCACCACTCTTCTTCTCTAAAATCAATAAACATAGCCTTGGGAAAAGATAAAATATATGCGTATGTGTGTGTGTGTATAAATATATTTTTTAAGAGAAAGAAGCCAGACACAAAAGGCCATATATTGTATGATTCCATTCACATGAAATATCCAAAATAGGCAAATTTGTAGAGACAGAAAGTAAATTTAGTGGTTTCTAGGGGGTAGAAGGAGAAGTAAATGGGGAATGATTGCTAACAGGCATGGGGTTTCTTTTGGGGATGATGAAAATGTTCTGAAATTAGATAGTTGTAAGGGTTTCACAACTCTGTAAACACACTAAAAACCACTGAATTGTACCTCAATAAAATATGTTAGGAGTGCACAATTTTTAAAAATTTGACAAGAACACTATCAAAAAGAAAAACTGAAGGACAAACTATTCATGAACCTACCTACATGCAAAAAATTCAATAAAGTATCAATAAATTAGATCCAGACTATTTAAAAATGCACTGTATATAATACTTATATTACTTTATATTATATATTATATATTTATATTTATCATTTTACATTTATACATTTTATAATAAAAATGTACTTAAATATAAATATAGTTGTGTTTAGCCCCAAAATCCAGGAATAAAACATTACTATCACAGGAAAATCAATCAGTGTAATTCACATTATCAGAATGGAAGAGAAAAAACATACAATGATCTCAACAGATAAAGAAAAGACATCTGATAAAAACTAACATTCTTCTGTAATAATCCTCCTGGCAAACCAGAAATGAAAGGATTTCCTTAATATGATAAAAAGATTGTATTTAAAAAAATTAGTAAACGTCACCCAAAATGGTACAATGTTGAGAGTTTTCCCAGTGAGAAAGAAAATAAGACAAGGATGCCCTATTACTAATTCCACTTAACACTATACTGAAGATCCTGGTTATTTAAATAAGGCAAGGAAAATAAAGTATTTAGATTGGAAAAATATATAATACTGTTACGATTCACACACAATATAACTGTGAGTGTACAAATTCAAAAGAAACATACAAGCAAGTTATTAGAAATGATAATTACGTTTTACAAGGTTGCTGGATACAAGATCGGTATAAATATTTTTTCCATATATCAGCTACAAAAATAGTGTTCAAATATATCAATTATAACAGCATTAAAAATCAAACACCCCAAACATTTATAATAAAAGATATATAAAACTCTACAAAGTAAACCATAAAACTTCACTGAGATAAAGAATAGCTAATTAAATGAAGACACACACACACACAGCATGTTCATCAACCAGAAGACTCAATATTGTCAATTTTCTCCCACAGGTTCCAATGCCATTTCAATCAATATACCAACATTTTTTTCTAAAGTGAAGGCAATCTTGAAAAATAATAAACTGGGAGATTTTGCTCTAACCAGAGATCAAGTCTAACATAATGCAATACTATGTAAGTCCCTAAACATACCCAAGATTTCTGCTTCTGGCCATGATGTAGTAAGAGACTAGATTTACTACCCCACTTTAAATGACTTTAAAACTGACAAAAAAAAAAAATATGAAACAATACTTTCCAGGCACTGGAAAATACGCAGCACAGGACTGTGATCTCCAAAATAAAGATGAGTCCTACAATTCCCCCAGCATACTCTCCAGAAGGTTACCAGGCCATGGGACAAGGAGGGAAAACTCAAGCAGAGTTGAGTAGAACAGAGTTCAAGGTGAGGTGCCCAGAACTGGATCAGAGAACGGATCTGGCAGAGCGGAAGGGCTGCAGAGGTGTCTGTCTCCCCGAGGCGTTGACTTAGTGCGGGCGTACCTCGTTCACTGCACTTCGCGGACAGCATTTTTCACAAACTGAAGGGCTGCGGCGATCCTGTGTCAACACGTTTACTGGTGCCATTTTTCCAACAGCGTTTGCTCACTGCATGTCTCTGTGTCACAGTTTGGTAATTCTCACAACATTCCAAACTTTTTCATTACTGTATTTGTTATAATGATCTGTTGTCAATAATTTTTGATGTTACTAATGTAACTGCTTTGGGGTGCCACAAGCCTTGACCACAAAGAATGGCAAACTGAATGGATAAAGGTTGTGTGTTCTGAGTGTTCCACCAACCTGATGTTCCTGTCTCTCTCCCTCTCCTCGGGCCGCCCTATTCCCTGAGGCAAACAATATTGAAATTTGGCCAATTGATAACCCTACAAATGGCCCCTAGGTGTTCAAGTGAAAGGAAGAGACTCATGGCTCTCACTTGAAATCAAAAGCTAAAAATGATTAAGCTTTAGGGAGGAAGACGTGTCCAAAGCTGAGATGGGCGAAAGTCAAGCCTTTTGTGCCAAGCAGCCAGGGTATGAATGCACAGAAAAGTTTTTGAAGGAAATTAAAGTGCTACTCCAGTGAACACACAAATGATAACAAAGTAAAAGAATCTTATTGCTGATATGGAGGAAGTTTCACTGGTCTAGACAGAAGATCAAACCGCCACAACATTACCTTAAACTGAAGTCTAATCCGGAGTAAGGCTCTAACTCTCTTCATTTCTGTGAAGGCTGACAGAAGTGTGGAACCCGCGGGAGGAAGGTTTGAAACTAGCAGAGATTGGTTAATGAGGTTTAAGGAAAGAAGCTGTCACCATAACATAAAAATGCAAGGTGCTAATAATGTAGGAGCTGCAGCAGGTAACCCGGAAAATCTGGCTAAGATAATTAATGAAGGTGGCTACACTAAACAATACATTTTCAATGTAGATGAGACAGCCTTCTATTGGAAGAAGATGCCATCTAGATAGAGCTTTCAGAGCTAGAGAAGAGAAGTCACTATTTCACTTTAAAGCTTCACAGGACAGGCTGACTCTCTCCTTAGGGGCTAATGCCGCTGGTGACTTTAAATTGAAGCCAGTGCTCATTTCCCTTCCGAAAACCCTCAGGCCCTGAAGAATCATGCTAAATCTACTCTGCCTGTGTCTGTGGAAGGAACAGCAAAGCCTAATGACATCTGCCACAGGTAGTGATTCCTCTGGCAGATTTAGGCTAAGTCAATGGAAAACCTTCTGGAAAGATTTCACCATTCTAGACGCCATTAAAAACACATGTCACTCATGGGAAGAGGTCAAAATATCAACAGCAGGAAGTAATGCAGAGGTGGTGGAAACGGCAAGAGAACTAGAAGTAGAGCCTGAAGATGTGACTGAATTACTGAAATTTCATGATAAGACTTTAATGAATCAGAAGTTGCTTCTCATGGATGGATGAGCAAGTAAAGTGGTTTCTTAAGACGAAATCTACTCCTGGTGAAGATGCTGTGAAGATCGTTGAAATGACAACAAAGGATTTGGAATGTTACATAAACTTAGTTGATAAAGCAGCAGCAGGGTATGAAAGGACTGACTCCAATTTTGAAAGAACTTCTACTGTGGGTAAAACACTATCAAACAGCATCACAGGCCACAGAGAAATCATTTGTGAAAGGAAGAGTCAACTGCTGTGACAAACCTCACTGTTGTCTTATTTTAAGAAATGGCCACGGCCAACCCCAACCTTCAGCAACCACTACCCTCATCAGTCAGCAGCCATCAACATCGAGACAAGACCCTCCACCAGCAAAAAAAATGACATCTCACGGAAGGCTCTAATACTAATGCTTAGCATTTTTTAGCAATGAAGCATTTTTTTAATTAAGGTATATACAAGTACATTTTTTAGACATCATGCTATCACACAGTTAATAGATTACAATGTAAACAAATTTTGTATGTACTGGGAAACCAAAAATCTTGTGAGACTAGTTTTATTACAACATTTGCTTTATTGCAATGGCCTGATGGAACCCACAGTGTCTCCAACGGATACGCCTCTGCTAAACAACTTATGTTTGAGAGAAAATGACCTGAGGTCAGGAAGAGCAACGAGAAAGCAGTGAGCCAAACAATCCCTAGATCTCACCGAGGAGTGACAGCCGTTCACGTTCCCACCAGCCAATGAGAAAAGACCTCTTACTACACAAAACAGCATGTCCTCAGAAGTCCTTAGTATTTGGACTAAACTGGCCATTAACTGAAGGTTGCTCTGAATCAGAGCTAACAAAGCTTAAAGGCAAGGCTTAAAAGGATCAAATTGACTCTAAGTAACTCAACTGTGCAACGGAACAAACCTAATTCTATCTGAAGTTCAGCACCCAACGACATAAATTTCCCACCTGCAGGGAAACAAAGAAACTGGGTGGCTAAGGGTCAGAGATTAGAGGAGAACTTACAAATTATGTATCTTCTTATACCTTTCCAATGTTCCGCCTCGTATATATACTATACAGTCAAAATGTATTAGAATAACAATCATTAAAAAGTTTAAAATGTAAAGTATCTGTCACTTTTAAAGTAAGGAGCGAACTCACTCTGTATTCTGTATTAGTGCCCGATCAAACGGACAGGAATAGAACTGGGCGCTCTTGCAGACGCGATCTGCCTGAAACAGCCCGCCATGTGTCATCTCCAGATGCTGAGTCCTACTGAAAATCTGCAGCACAGACGGATTCCAGCTCCCATGTGGGGAATATTCCAAAAGTGTATTTAAGTCTATTATCTGGAACTCTGAACATATTTTCCCATGGAAACAATGGCAGGCTGGTCTAGAAAGACCTATTTTACCCATGCTATAGCTTAAGTATAGTTCTGTAGAGAAGAGCACTGTAGAAAAAAAAAGTTAAAAAAGAATTCTATAGGAGTGTTCAGAATTCCCACTTCTGGAGGCTATAAACATGTCATTTCCCTCCGCAGCCCTGGCATTAGGAAGGACTCAATTCTACTAGTAACCCGGAGAAACTCAGCTGGTACAAGGACCACAAAGACGTGAAGGCAGAGAGAAGACTGGCAGGAGGCTGGAAGAGATGAGCTGCACGAGACGTCTTCCTAAGCCCACACAAAACCCACTCAAGCTTCTCCGCCTCCGCTCCCTGCCCTTTGTTTCCTCTGTGAAGCCAGATGGCGCGGTGGAGGAGCATGGGCTCTGGAGTGAGACAGGTTTACGTTTAAAACTCAGCTTCGAAACTTCGAGTTGTGTGAACATAGTCATCGAGTTGGCCACCTCATTGATTCTTAGCTTCCCTATCAACAAAATGGGGACAACATCTGTTGTTCAAGCTCTTTTTAAGAACACACAGAAACTATAGACAGTGCCAACTACAGTGGGAGACTCACAGGTCCTCAAAAAATGAAAGCTAGAGTTTTTCTGCTGTTACTTCTTCTGAGGATCTCTGAGATTCTGGCTGCTCCTCCTTCTGCTAGCAGCCCCTGTCCCTTGAAACAGAGTACCCACCCTTAGGAGTCTCCTAAAACCATTATTAACAGGGAAAAAAAAAAGGAGATTACATGTTCCTCTTTCCCCACTCATGCAAATGAGGGAATAAATGAATAAATGACAGACGAACACCTCGAGCAAACATGCAGAGGAACAGAAGTCAGTGAGTTTCAGCGATCTCATCGTGGAGGCTGGCACTGAGGGAGCAGCAACGGTGGGAGGGGGAGAACAGCAAGCAGCAGCAAGGCTACGGAAACTGCTCCTTCCCTCGCTGTCCTTTCGCCCACGCCAGCGGCAAAACCTACACCCAGAGCAAGAAGAAAAGCAAGAGCAAGAGGCAACAGTGGCTCCACGAAGGAACTAATGACTTACAATGAAAAGGAAATTTCAGTACAGAGGCTTTTAATATACAGGATTTGCAGGAGAGAAATACAAAGAATCACAGCATCCAAGCCCAAAGAAATATCTAAATTGGGGTGGTTTCCATTGCATGCTAGAATTTTTGTGTTAAGAATTACTTAGGAGAAACAACAGAAAAATATGATTCACTATCCAATTTTCCCTATTTTGCTTTCTAAAATATAGAATACATCTACCACAAGACCCAAGGTTAAAAGAAAACCCAAAGAAAGAGCTCTTTAACAATTCAAGTCATATCAAATTAAGGCTCCTAATATACAGAAAAAAGAACCTCTGGCCTGGGAGAAACACTCAGAGGCAGCCGTAGCCTCCGGCAAAATTTAGACCTACAAGGACCAAAATGGTTACTGACGGGCCTCCCACAGGCCACTGTTCACATGTTCAATCACTCAGACCAACGCCTAGACATCAAACTGTACCGGACATCAGTGACAAGTACAATAAATGAAAAGACTGACATCCCAAAACTAATCAAATTCTCTCTTGCATCTGAAGCATTTTCTTATCATCTTTTCTCATTAGACAAGATATGAGTGACAAGCATTCTCTTAACCAAAACACAGTGCAGACTTAAAGCCAGTCATTAAGATTCTCTCTCAGAATTCGTTTTATGACTCATGGAGCAGTTATTCAAAAATTGTATTCTTTATTTCTAATCATTTTTTTCCTATCTTGAAATCTCTAGGTTCCACCCATCCCTCTTAAAACAGGATGCTGAATCTAGACTTAATATTTGTAAAGAGGCCCTACTAATACCAAGTATAACACACAGATTACTTCATAGTTCTCACAAGATTTGTTAATTGATCCAAATTCAAAGGCATTTAAGACAGAGCAGTAAACTGCCGGTCTGTTCAATTTAAGATGCATTACCAATCCCAGTTACAGCAGGTGTTTGCATGCAGTGAGAACTCTCTGAATTTGAACTGAAATAAACCAGGAATTTGAGGGATTGTATCTGTGCTTTGTAATGTTTCTTCTAATTAAATTTCACTATGTTTTTAGTGAAATATGAAAATGAAACAAGATCATTACTTAAATCTAAGCTTATACCTACTCTGTCCCTCATTTATATAGCCAGTAATCACCAAAGAAACTTATTAGGTCTCCCATGATTCCTTATATTTAGTTCAACTCAATGACTTCTCATCATCCTAGTAGCTCCTAGAATCCAAAGCAAATGCATAAAACAGTTGCCAGACTTATTTACTTCCTTGGTCTGATGCAACCTAAGCAACCAAAAATATCTGTAATAGCTAAATGGATGCTTTAGCGTTTTTATGAAATGCGCATTTAGATGTAAGATTTCAGGAAGGTGATACAACCTGGGAGAGCAACTTCTTCAGAAGCTGTGCAATGGCGGGATCCTCGGGTGGAGGGCAATCAGGAAGAGACCCATTTCGTTTCTTCTGACGCATGTGCAGATGTCTGAACAAGCTAGTAATATCTTTAGACCTCAAAGCATAATCAAATATAGAACGACTTACTGGCTCTTTTAAAACACTGAGTAGAACAAGTTTTTTTTCAATCTGTAGCAGAAAAATAAGAAGAATCAGCCAAAAATACAACACTTTTACAGTTACTTTCACATTCTATACAACCTGTGCAAAGCTAACATAGGTATTTATTTTCTATGAAAATGTAAGATAGGAACATCTGCAATTTTCGCTCAGAAGAAAAAAAGAACACTAGTGACCTTTACAGAGCTAAAGTGTTTCTTCTTTTTATTGTTAGCATCTGAGTACACATCTGTGCCCATGATATTGGAAGACTAGTAATAAATATCTAGACTAGAATGATTGGAAAACGAAAAAGATTCTTCTAGATCCCAAAATGTCAGAAGACTTCCTAGGTCTAAAAAGTGCCTGCAGTTCCCAGGTCTAACACCAAGAAGTACTGATCCTGAAAAGCTGCTCAGTAGTCACGGGGCTTCCCTTCAGCCACCAGGATTTCCCAGTAGCTTCAACTACTTCTAAAAAAACACTGCTCTCTCCACAGAGTTCATAAAACCCTTCTTTTTATTATCCCCAAGAATACTCTCCTTGTCAATGCATTTGTAATAAAAAGGATGAACACTACTAAGAGCAATCAAGAGGACTTTCTTTAGATATATTTAACTATCTGGTGAGTTGGCCAGTGGAAACCGGCACACAAGGGTATCTTTTGTCTAAATCAAACCGTAGAAAGGTATGATTTATGAAACACATGGGTAAACACATGATATTGGCCTTGCAAAATATAAAGCAGTAATAAAAACAAAAGAAATTACAAAGAATTTATGAGAAAACAGAATGGTATAGATTTCTAACATACCACTTACATGTCAGATTTATAATAAATCATAATTAAAAGTTATTACAAAAATGCATGTGATTCTTAAATCCCAGAGACATTTCACATTGTGTCATAAAAACATTTTCTAAACAAACTTCTAAATAGTATAAGTCACAGGTAGCAAACACAAGGCCCTCCACCTTGTTTTATCCGGCCCAGCAGCAGCATTGAGCTCTCACTTAACTGTTAAGGAGCAGTTATGATTATATTGTCCTAAAATTACACTCGGCCGTTTGAAGGCAACTGTGAGGCTGACGTGGTCCCAAGTGAAAATGATTTTGGCACCCTGGAATAAGTGGTCAAAAGTAGCAGGAATTTCTAGACCTCATTCTCAAGGAAACTAATAAACTTCAAAAAAGGGGACATATTTTCTAGTAATATTACCCATCTTTCACGTCTAAATAGTTCTTCGAATAAAAATAAAAAATTCTACAAACTATAAAGAATGATGATCCCCAAAAATGGATGACTCCATGGGGACAAGTAAGAGCTGAAGGGACAGGCAAATCCTCCTCATTTCCAGAGAAGAACCAAGGTCGCTTTCTCCAAGAAAAGGGACGCTACACGGGATATGTAAGTAGCAGAAAGCCAGAAACATGAATTTGCAAAAGATAAACACAGTTTTAGTAAAAAATAGTATACTTCAGGATGTTTTAACAGCCAGAACTATCTATCAACAGTGCACTCAATTTAAATACCTATTTTGATAGTCAGCTGTCTAGCAAGATAAAAGGTATAAACACTGACAAACCAGGTAACTGCCTTGTGCAAAGCAAAGACCCAGAGTTCCTCATCAAATGCTATTCTGCTAGGTGGGAGAGGGGTTGTCATCATTAGATTGAAAAAGAAAACCAGAACCAAATAGTGGCCCCCAAAACAAGCATTTGAAAAAGGCTTTTTATAATTTATTATAAACACTCACTTGGACTGAAATGTTATACTTTAAAAAATAAAAGCAGAGGTCCATTAATAATCATTTCTGCTGTATTTCTCTTGAAGAGCTTTACATTTCACATACGAAAATAAACTATGAACCACTGGGTGCTATATTATGCATTACATGATACATAACATAATAATCTCCTGAACTTTTCTCGCCTTCAAAAGTGTCTGTTCCGTTAACTAGCTTGAAAGAGCTAGCTCTAGCCCAATTTAAATAAAAAAGGGAAGCTCTAAACTTTTTTTTTAACGCAGTTTGGAGGGAGGACTGATTCCGAGTTGAAACAAGCGTACCTGTATTATTGGTTGAGTAATATAGGGGTCCAGGTAAGGCATCAGCTTACAGTACACGTCAGCTGTGCTTATCTGATGAGCTACCACCGTGATGAACCCCACAGCACCATAGCGTATCCACAGATTGGGGTGGCACAGGAAAGGGGCTGGGGAAGGGAAACGAGGAACGGATTAAACCGTGTTCACAAACAGTGTCAAACTGTCAAGATAAACAAATTTTCACCTGTAACACAACCGATAATAAAGATTATACCACGTGTTACTATCGGGTGCCCTCACACACTCAATCATCCTGAGGCATAAACTCAACCAAGTCAACATACTAATATAATATGCAAAATTCAGCAATAGCATAAAAGAATAAAAACAGCTACCTCCTTTCTGAGAATTTAAATTTATAGTTTTTAGTCAGGGCTGAAGATGGGTGGACATCCACTCATTTAAAAGATTGGATTAAAAACTACTAGAGAAGCCCTGGCTGGTGTAGCTCAGTGGATTGAGCATGGGCCTGTGAACCAAAAGATTGTGGTTCCATTCCCAGTCAGGGCACATGCCTGGGTTGCAGGCCAGTTCCCAGCAGGGGATGCACCAGAAGCAACCATACATTGATATTTCTCTCCTTCTCTCCTTCCCTTCTAAAGATTGAAAAAAAAAAAAAAAACCTACTAGAGAGACATAAAAAGTCCCAAAACTATCTAGCAAACTATTATTCCTGTTGCCACTTCCCCAAAGAAGTCCAAGGACATGTCCTCTACCACATAAGTAGCAAAGAAATGAGTAAGTTGTCTCTTCTCTAAGCCGTAGCATTAAGATTAAGGAAACAATTTTACCTGACATTCCTTTTAATTAAAAGGTTTGATCAAATCTAATACATCACAAGGCATTATAAATGAAAGCTAAAAAGCAGAAAACATAATGCCCATTCTCAAAGAATTCAAAATGTGAGATTAAACAAGGGAATTAAATTAAATATCTTTTCACCCCTTTTAACTACTTTGTGTACTATTCCTAAAACCAGTGGTTTCAACTAAACATAGGCTCAGAATAAAATTCAAACTTCCAAAAGCAATAAATAAATAAATAAATAAAATGTATTAATTCTGAGCATGCAAAAACACCAGCATTTAGAGGATATTAATTTTATAAGAAGTTCATGCCAACAGAGAAATAAGAACAATGTCACATGCTAATATTATAGTATAAAAAGGGGAAGGAGAAAAACACTTCTTCAAAATATGTCTTCCAAGTTCTCCCATTCCAATTCTTTTCACTGCACATGGAGGTTTTGACTGTTTCATAAACATCCTGCAGCCTTTGATACCTCCCACAAGGGAGAGCTAATAATTTCCCTCTGACAATGGGGAAAACAAGGAATGGAAAAACACTGAAAAATCTCCAAAAAGTAAGTAAACCCAAAACGACTTGGCAGGAGTTGGGCACCGGATGAGGCTGAATTACCAGTGCCAATTCTTTGTGTTATCTGTATTACACGCTTGCCTTGTATTCATGCTTCTGTTCAGTTACATTACCTGCTCTGACCAATGGCATGTTAATACAAACAGAGGCTTGAATAGCCAGGCCTGCTCCCGTGCTTCTGCCATTACCCAGAACATGACTCCGGAATGAGACAGATCGATCACAGTCACCACAGACAATCTGGAGATGTAAACCCTAATGCACACAGCTTACAGATGCATGATGAGAAATTTAATGGAGCATTTACTGAGAATTTGTGGTTGACTGTTATATAGCATTATTGTATCAATAAGTAAATAATAGATACAAAGAACCTTAACACTCAAAAAACTAGAAACCAGAACCAAGAGGATTTCCTGTGAAACAGTGTCCTCAATCTCTTCTCCACCCAACTTATTCCACACATCCGGGGACAGGCATGGGGAAAGGTGAATATTCAGAATATCTAAGTGGAAAGAATACAGTTTTTGAAAGAACTGCCCCAAAATCATGATAATCACCATCACTCCCGTCACCATTCCCTTTAAGAACCACTTAAGCCAACAGAGATCTGATGTGTACAGTTTATCATTTGCTTTAGTAGGTGTTTTAAGTCACTAAAAACCATTTTTTCTTTTAAATTGTTTAAAATGCCAATAAATGACTGTTTAATTATGCAACATTTTTTTTCTTTTTCCTCATAGCTGGTCCTAAATTCAGTGCTACAATAATAGTTCAAAGGGATTTCCCCATCCAAAAAGTTGTAGCACACTGGACTTATTCTATAGCTAAAGATAATTTATTTTGATGTAAAACTAAGGATATATGAATACTCCATGTGTTCATCCTGTGATCAATGACTAGGAACAGCAGAGCCTAGTAAAACCTCTGCAAAATTTAAGAGAAAGGGTAAGAAACTCTCTGTATGATGATTTGTGCTTAAAAATGATTGGCCATCCACTTTTCAGATAAATAAAATGCCAGTTACAAGCTACACTAAATATCAAAAAAAACATTTCCAAATAATTAGTCAATAGAAGAAATACATTATGTAAAATGAAATATGCCATCAGTACATATTTATATATAGAAGTTATTCATTAAAATAAAGAGAACCAAAGTAAAAAGCAAGAAAAATCCAACTCTTGGAAAGTAATGTCACTCTTACAGGAAAAAAAAGCACCGATATTAGAATTCAGAAAATGAGAACGAGCAGAAAAATATTCCAGGTACTAAGATGTTTGTGTTAACACAATACATTTTAATACTACTATGAAAATAAAATGGGTGCTTTCTGTATCTGCCTTCCACTATACAGGACTAGAAATTCTGTAGCTCATATAAAACATCAAATCATCTCAATAGAATGGAGATTTTTATGATGATTGTATTGTTAATACTCAACAATTTTCTATTAAATTTCTAATTCTTTTTTTAAAATACTTTATTTATTTATTTTTAGAGAGAGGGGAAGGAAAGGAGAAAGACAGGGCAAGAAACATTAGTCTGCAAGAGATACTGGTTGCCTCTTGCATGTCTCCAACTGGGGAGCTGGCCCACAACCCAGGCATGTGCCCTGACTGGGAATGGAACCAGCAACCTTTCAGTTCACAGGCTGGCACTCAATCCACTGAGCCACACCAGCCAGGGCTAAATTTGTAATTCTTTTTAAAATAATAATTTAAAAATTCAAACCAAATTAGTTATAAACTAAAAGAAGGATTATAGATACTAAAGTACAGAATAAGAAACCTACGTATACTTAAATTTTACAAAAAAAAATTTTTTAAAGCTACATTCATGTCTTTCTAGACATGAATTTTCTGGAATTTTCCAAAAATTTCCAGAAATTTTATACACCCCTACTCTCTACCATCTCGTTTCCCAACAATTAAAATAAGTAACTCTTCTATCTTTCTTTCCTCTGAAGAGTGCCTCAAAAAAAAAAAAAAAACTATTAACCATTTCTAACCAATCTGGGTTTCTACTAATTTTTCTCAACAAGGCATTTTTAGCAGCAATTAAGTATTTTATCTAGAAGCAGTATTCTCAGATTTCACATCCTCTGTGGAGAGAGCCAACCTGCAATCTTACTTTGTTCACTTTCTTAAAGTAGACTGATAAGAAGATTGAAAGTTGTGGATAGTCTTAGTTTTAAGATGTGTCCAACTGACTTGCTTGAACTTACTCTCAATTTTCAGTTGAGGTAAATAGGTACTTGCTGTACAGTAAAGTAATTAATTCCTTTCACTGGCTGGTAAAATTACTAACTGTAGTAACTTCAATACTAAGAGTTCTTAACTGGCAAACACACGAAACAGACCATCTTCCACACCCAATTTCAACTTGACTAGTAGTCCGGTGTCCGAAAAAATAAGTTGATTCTTCAGAACAGTAAAAGACTTTATCCATAGTATGCTTAACAAAAACAAAATAAAACAAAACAAGTCTTCATTTTTCAAGGATCACAAAGATAACTATAAATAAAAACAAAAAGCCCTGGCCGGGGGGCTCAGTTGGTTGGAGCACTGGCCCTATACCAAAAGGCTGTGGGTTCGATCCCCAGTCAGGACAGATATTGTCAGGCTACTGACTAATGTTTCTCTCTCACATTGATGCTTCTGTCTCTCTTCGTTTCCCTTCCTCTCTTTCTAAAATCAACACACACACGCTGGGTAAGGATTAAAAAAAGAGAGAGATTTCCCAACCTGGGCTGCAGAACGAAATGATCCTTTTTGCCTGCCTGTCTCTCACACACATGCAAGCATGTGTGCACACACATGCAAATGACACACATATACACGTACACATACAATACGGGAATAAAGTAGCAAACCTGACCCTATATTAACTAGAAATTCTACAATGCTCTATTAATTGTTATTTTTCTTCCCATATCCTACTTTTCTCATCCTAATTTTCACAAACAGAAACTTACCAATGTCACTGGCGAATTCATAGACATGGGGTTTTTGTAGCAGCCCTAACTGGCACATACAGGTAAGGGCATTAAGAGCTTTCACAATAACAAATTCCTCAGCGTCACTAAGACCTTGTTGCAGCAGGGGTTTGAGAATTGAGGAGCTCTGCCAGCCAACATAGGCGGCAACACCTGAAAAAGAGAAGCAACGCTACATGATTACATTATTTTATATCTGGAAGTGCAAATGCCATCCAGTAAAACAATAAAATTAATCAAAAAACAAATATTTTGAGTAACCACCAAGGAGACGACATCGCACTTCCTATCCAGCACAATAAATGAAAAGCACCAATCCAAAGCAAATCATCAAGAAATTCTGGAACCCCCAAGAGAAAAAACAAGACCCTAGGAACTTACAAAAAGAAAAGTATAGGTGCCCTAAAAATGAAAGAGAATGAAGGGCATCACATTACCTTCAGCAATAATGGAGCTAAACTGTAACAGAGCAAGGCCTTCAGAAAAGTTACAAAATATTATACCCAAACTGTCAATAAAATAAGAGAACAAACATAAGTTGTTTTGAGATATGCAAGAACGATACAGGTCTGCCTCCTGTGCAATCACTTCTAAGAAAGTTACTTGAGGATATACTCTAGCAAAATAAAAAATATACGCAATGTACAAAATAGTAGCTATAATCCTGTAATTCAAAGGGGGAAAAATAATACCTAGCAAAGATCCAGAAATTAATTAGCCAAAATTAGAGCAGAAAGCCAATAATTTTTTAAAATGTTATCAAGAAGAAAAATGGAGGGAGTTACAAACAGATAAAAATTGGTAAGAAAAAGGCTAGATAGTATAGTTAAGATGAAGAAGGTGTATCATTTTTCTCTATAAAACAAAAGCAAAGGAATATGAAACTCCAAGACAAACAATAAATTTGTCAAGAAAGTCATGGTATAAATATGAGATAAATTAAAATGTGCAATGTATTTCTTAATTAATAGAGGTCAGGAAAGAGAATCCATTGACTTTGATGCTAGAAATATTCTCATCAAGGATAAAGAAGTCACAGCACTGGAACTGTGGTGAAGCCAAAATAATCCACTACTTGGCTCTAACCTGTAGACGTTCATAATCATGTACATTTTGTTGTACATTTTTAGAACCAATCTATACAAAGCACCAAAGACTATTATAATTACAATGCAGAATGTAATTATCATCAACTATGACAATGCAAACAATTAGTTGAATGAATTATCAACCATCAAAAAAAAAAAGAAAGAAAAAGTAGAAAGAGAGAGACACTAATATTCTTGTAGTCCAAATCAGAAGAGGATCAATAAGAAAGTTTAATTATTCAAAGTTATACAAATAACAAGCTAAAACACTGAAAATAGTGACCTATATCTCAAAAACAGAAAGGAAGAGGAAACTGGCATGGAGAAATAAATCTAAAGTTTATAATTCTACAAATAGCAATATGAAAGCACTATTGAGAGTAATGTCAATAATCACCTGAAGATATCAAATCAAAATCACACACCAGAATAGCTGCCTCTAGGATGTGAAACTACTGCTTTTCATATACTACTTCATACATTTTGAATGAATTTTAAATAATTTATAAATGCATATTTCTCTAGAATTCATAAATTTTAGATTTTTTTGTAATAAAAGGAAAAGTATTCAGTTGGCCAAAAAGTTTGACTTTTCCCATAAGATGGCTCCAGTAGTGCTTAGTTGTCCTTAACTTCATTCAAAACAATTTTGTTAGACTGTATTGTGACAAGTATCAGTGTGCATTTTAAGAAAATCTTAACGAAACATGAATTTTTGCGTAGCCACTACAATACTGAAGATGGGAGAAAATTGCACATTTGCGGCATATTATGCTTCATTATTTTAAGAAAGTTAAAAACGCAACTGACACAAGCAAAAAAACCTGTGCAATATATGGAGAAGGTACTGTGACTGATCAAACATGTTAAAACTGGTTTGCAAAGGTTTGCGCTATAGATTTCTCACTGGATGAGGCTCCACGGTCCAGCAGACCAGTTGAAGTTGATAGCCATCAAATCAAGACTGACAACAATTAGTTAAATCACGTAGAAGACAGCCAACACACTCAAAATATCCAAATGAATAAACTTATTGAAGATTAAAAATGTATCTTTTGAATTTCCAGCCAAGATGGAGGTGTAGGTAAACACACTGTGCCTCCTTGCACAAACAAAATAAGGACAACAATTTAGAAACAAAAGAACAACCAGAACTGAAAGAAAACTGAACTGTATGGAAGTTGGACAACCAAAGATATAAAATAGACATATTCATACAGACCAGTAGGTGGGCCGGAGTCGGCCAGCTGGGCAGAGGGGTCTGAGCACAAAAAGTGGCGGCACCCAGCGCGCAAGGCACCCCCGCGTGCAAGACGGCACGCAGGCGGCTGGCAGCCCCCAGGCATGGGGTGGTAACGGGCAGACCCAGTGCAGCAGCAATTGCCAAGCGAGGCACTATGTGTAAGGCGGCTGGCTGACCAGGTGGTCCCACATTCATGCACAGATAAACCAGGCAAAATTGGGGAGCCAGACAGACTGCATAACCCAGGCTCCCAGTGCCGGGAAATAAAGCCTCAAAGCATGCACTGAAAACACCTGTGGGGGTTGAGGTGCTGGGAGATACTCCTAACCTCACAAGAGAGTTCGTTGGAGAGACCCACAGGGTCCTAGAATGTACACAAGCCCATCCACATGCGAATCAGCACCAGAAAGGCCCAACTGGCTTGGGGGAAGCTGTAGGAGGGATTGAAATTTGACAGAGAGCGGAGCAAACACCATTGTTCCCTCTCAGACCCCAGCCCCACATACAGCATCACAACCCAGCAACTGGGTTGCCCTGCCCTGGTGAGCACCTAAGGCTCTGCCCCTCACTATGTAACAGGTGTGACCAGACCAAAAAAATGGCTCAAACAAAAGAACAGATTAGAGGTCCACAGCAAATACAGCTAAGAGACCAAGAGAGAGCCAACCTATCAGATGCACGGTTCAAAGCATTGGTGATCAGGACACTCACAGAACTGGTTGAATTACGTCGCAAATCAGATGAAAAAATGAAGGCTACACTAAGTGAAATGAAGGAAAATGCACAGGGAACCAACAGTGATGGGAAGGAAACTGGGACTCAAATCAATGGAATGGACCAGAAGGAAAAAAGAACCAACCAAACAGAAAAGAATGAAGAAACAAGAATTCAAAAAAATGAGGAGAGGCTTAGGAACATCTTTAAATGTCCTCCAGGACATCTTTAAATGTTCCAACATCCAAATTATAGGGGTACCAGAAAGAGAAGAGGAAGAGCAACAAGTGGTAAAGTTATTGGAACAAATAATAAAGGAGAACTTCCCCAATCTGGCAAAGGAAGTAGACTTCCAGGAAATCCTGGAAGCTCAGAGTCCCAAAGAAGGTGGACCCAAGGAGGAACACACCAAGGCACATCATAATTACATCAGCCAAGATTAAAATGGAGAGAATCCTAGAAGCAGCAAGAGATAAGGAGACATCACCTACACAGGAGTTCCCATTAAGACTGTCAGCTGATTTCTTTCTCAAAAGAGACCTTCCAGGCAAGAAGGGGCTGGAAAGAGGTATTCCAAGTCATGAAAGACAAGGATCTACATCCAAGATCGCTCTATCCAACAAAGCTTTCATTTAGAATGGAAGGGCAGATAAAGTGCTTCTCAGATAAGGTCAAGTTAAAGGAGTTCATCATCACTAACCCCTTATTATATGAAATGTTAAGGGGATTTATCTAAAAAAAAATAAGATGAGAAACATGTATACTTAAATGACAGAAAACTCACAATTACTAACAACCATACCTAAAAAAAAAAAGAAACAAACTAACCAAACAACTAGAACAGGAACAGAACCACAGAAATGGAGATCACATGGAGGGTTAGCAACAAGGGAGTGGGAGGAAGGGGGGGAAGGTACAGACAATAAGTAGCATAGATGGTAGGTAGAAAATAGACAGGGGAGGGCAAGAGTAGTATGGGAAATGTAGTAGCTGAAGAATTTATGACACATGGACATGAACTAAAGGGGGGAATGTGGGTGGGAGGGGGTGTGCAGGGTGGAGGGGAATGAAGGGGGGAAATGGGACAACTGTAATAGCATAATCAATAAAATATATTTTAAAAAATGTACCTTTTATTTTACAGAAAAAAACTAAATGGACTTTTTGGCCTACAAAGTACTATCTAAAATTCCAGTGGATTATATTTAGAAACTTTGCAAACTGAAATGTATGAGCTAAGAAAGCTCAAAATATTTTTTTGGAAGAGTGACACCTGGGGAACTCACCCTACCAGATATTAATATTAGTTATAAGTATGTAAAAATTAAAAAATTATATAGCTATAAGAATACAGTACAATATTGAGTACAAGAATGAGAAATCAATGAAATAAAACAGATACCCAGATAATAATTGAAGCTTCACGAATCAATGGGAAAAAAAGTAAAATGCTTAATACATCATGTTGGTAAAATTACCTATATTTCTGAGAAAAATATGGATTGCACTTCACACTATACTCCAAAGGTATGTGTGAAAAATTAAACATTTGGGGGGAGAAAAAAACAGAAGACACACATCTAACAGATTATTAACCTAATTCTGGAACTTGAAGGCACAAAAAATAAGAGCAAAAATCAAATAAATTGACAACATAAAAATTTGTTTTTAGGACATAAAAATAATCATTATGAGAAAAAAATATTGCCATACTAATAATAAAAAGTTATTTAATGTTCTTAACATAGATATATAAATGGCTCAAAAATACCAACAAAGTACCATAAAAAAACAATAAATTAAAAATGAGAATAAGAAATTAACAGGAGAAAGTTTTGATAAGTAGCATCATTTCACTTCCGTATGGAATCTAAAATAATGAATAAACAAAAAACACAAAACAAGTTAATATAAAAATAAGAACAGACACAGAGATAGAGAAAACAAGCTGATGGTTACACCAAAGGAGGGAGATGGAAACTTTTTTGAAGTGTTAACAAAAAAATAAGCCCTAGCTGGTATGGCTCAGTGGATTGAGTGCCAGGCTGCAAATCACAGAGTCTCAGGTTTGGTTCCCAGTCTAGGGCAAATACCTGGGTTGCAAGCCAGGTCCCCAGTGGGGGGCGTGCAAGAGGCAACCACACATTGATTTTTCTCTCCCTCTCTTTCTCCTTCTCTCCCCCTCTCTAAAATAAATAAAATCTTAAAAACGCGCGCACACACACACACACACACACAAGAAACTTTTTCAACTTCACTAATAAGCAAAGAAATATACTATATTGAAACAAGTTATCATTTTACCCAACCAACAGGGAGAGTAATTGAAGCCTATTTCATACTGGAAGTATGCAGTACTGTCAAACAATACTGATCAGAGTGAAAAATATCTTTTTGAAAAGTGTGTAAGATGTCAAGAGTGTAAAAAATATATTCCCATGCTTTAACTCAGAAGTTAAAATTTGATTCTAGCCTGAAAAAATAATCAAAAACAAGATATATATAAAAGATTATCTGTATAATCTATGATAGAAAAAATTTAAATATACAACAGAAGAGTTTAATAAATTTTGGTCAAACTATATAATGGAACAGTTTGATTTATTACTATAAAGTATGGTTTCGAAGAATTTTTAGAGACATGAGAAAATGCTTAGAACATACATTACTAGAAAAAGGTTTAAGTAGTAACATTAAGAAGAAATACAGCCCCGGCCAGGTAGCTCAGTTGGTCAGAGCATCCTCCTGGTACAACAAGGTTCTGGGTTCAAATCAGCCAGTGACTGCGTAAATAAGTAGAACAAAAAAAAAAATCAACATTTCTCTCTCTCCCTTACTCTTCTCTAAAAGCAATCAATAAATATTTTTTAAAAAATATAACATCACATATGCACAGCATTTATATACCAGCACTACTACATGTTAATTTATTCTATTTTCATAACAACAGTGAACAACCAATACATAGGGAACTATTATTATTCCCATCTTATGGATAGGGAAACTAAGGCATGAAAGAGAGTAAGTAATTTCTGCAACAACCACGAGTAAATGAAAAAACCAGAACTTACACCCAGCAATCTGGCTCCGGAATGCCCACTCTTAACTAGTACACAACGGTGTCTCTCAACATATACAAGGGAATGGGATAGATGGGATGGAAAGAGAAGGGACGTACCTACAGGAAAAGACCCTGAAAACATTCACAGAGGTTATGAGTTACAGGGTTAGAGATTGTTTGCTTCTTGGTTTCTCAATTTTCCAAATATTCTACAGCAAGCAGGCATTACTTTTATAAACAAACAAACAAACAAACAAACTTCCATGAGAAATATTTTTAAATGAAAAAAATATAAAGCCATGTTTCAAAATACACATGAATTGACCAACAGATGGAGAAAGTTCTATGAACCACCTTTTCTCAAGAAAAGGAATAAAAATAAATTGTCTGAGAAAAGACAAAGATGTGAGAAGCAAAGTACTATATTCAGAAACTGAGTTAGATGAAGTCTGAGATGACTCAATAAATGCAAAAAAAAACCTGATGTATGAAAAGAGGAGGTACAATAATCCTCAACAATAACAAAGCAAGAACAGCAGGCAACTGCAAAGTTTTCAAGAGTAGGAAGCACCCTTTTCTATATAGCATATGTGATAGCATTTGCAGAAACATTAATACTATTGCCATGTTTCTTTCCTTCAAAAAAGAAAAAAAATACAGCCAACAGCAAACCTTTTAGCAGTTACTTTTCCAGACTACTGGGAAACAAAATCTACAACCTACAGCTTTCTACTACTACATGAGAAAGTTTTAATACCAGCAAAGCTTTCCAAAGTATAGAAGAGTCTTTAAACATTTGAGTTAACAGACAAGCCAGCAATCATGTCCAAAATGATATAAAGGGGGTTAGCAGGTAATCATAATAACATGGCTTTAGCATGTAATATTTCCAAATCCAAATTTCCTAATTATTGGGCTGGCCAAAAAGTGTGTTTAGTTTTTTTCTGTTCAATGGTTCTAGTAATGCTTAGTTGTCTTTAAGTTCATTCAAAGCAATTTTGTCAGACTGTATTGTGACAGCTGGCATAACAGCATGCACTTTTTAAAAAACTCATCGAATTTGGTGAATTTTTGTGCAGCCATTTTAATACTGAAGATGGAAGAAGATACACAACACTTCCGGCATATTACGCTTTATTATTTCAAGAAACATAAAAATGCAACTGAAACTCAAAGAAAAGATTTATGCAGCAGTGTGTGGAGAAGGTGCTGTGACTGACCAAAGATGTCAAAAGTGGTTTCTTGGTACTACTGACATTTTGGCCAAGTAATCCTTTGCTGTGGGGCTGTTGTTTGCATTGGAAGATGTTGAGCAGCACCTCTGGCCTCTACCCCCTTGCTAGAAGCCAATAATGGGAGATAGCCGGCATACTCAAAAAATATAAATCAATACGGTTATTAGTGAAAATGAAATATGTGTCTTTCAGTTTACAGAAAAAAAACTAAACAGAGTTTTTGACCAACACAACAGATTGATTTTCGATCACAATTACACTTTAATTGATTTTTTGATCGTTAAAGTTATGTATGTTTACTGTAAACAATCACCCAAAATCCCAGCCCCAGGGATAATCACCATTCACACCTTAGTATATACATTCCAGACCTTTTTTATAAATACATATGATTTATTATTGTTACCTTTACACAACTGAAATCATACTTTAAGTGGATCTACAATCTACTTTAGTCACTTTAATAATATTTCATGATACCTTCCAGGGTCGTGAAATATTTTTTAAAAACATAGTATTTAATGATCACATGGTATTCCTTCATCTGGATGTATCACAGTTTAATTAACCAATTCCCTGATCGGCTGAGATATTCTTATCATACAAAAGCAGCAGGAAGACAGAAATACTAGGAACTCATTCTATTATTAATAAAATTCGGTAGTATTGTCACCTTTCAGATTGCATGCTTTTTTGAGGTCAAAATCTTAAAGATGAATTTAAAAAAAACATACCAACTATACTATCAAAAAAAGCTCCGCGGAGATGCCAATCATTCTTATCATTTAAGAAAGTAATCATGTGGGACAATAAAACATCATTGGCTTTCTGACGTCCAAAGAATACACACAGCCGTGTTATTCCATTTTCCATTAAGGTTTGTTTCACGATATTTTCAGGGTCACTTAGCAAAGTGACAACTTTCTGCTGAACCATTTCATGCAAGGCCTGGAGCTCTAAAAAGGAAAAAAAAAAAGTAAAGATACGGTCCACAATATTTCCCCATATGCGTGGGCCCAGTCTTCTTAGTCCTCAGAGAAACAGAATGGTTACAGAAACCACTGTAGAAAGTCTATAATCACTATGTTACGTTTTTCCACTATTTGGAGCTCTGAAGGATAGATGGAAAGCTGAGATACAAAACTGAAGAACATCCTTAATAAACTGATTTCACAAGCCTGGTTACTATCACTAATTCAATAACTCTATTTATGAGGTTTAGGAGAAAACTGTGGGGAAACAAGAAAAGGAGCTCATACCGCTCCAATAAGATCAACTTAACCAAGCACATGAAAACCCTAGACTAGTTCAGGATACAATCTGATGGCACAGGTTGATACTCTTAGAAAGCATTTCAAAGGCCAGATTATGACATCTTGGAAAGCCACTGCAAGTCCTGTCGAGCCTTTACACCATCTGGCCACTGCCACCTTCTCTGACCTTACCTCCTACCACCATCCCCTTTTATTTATTTACTTAGCTGCTTATCTTTCCCTTACTATCAATAAAATATTAGCTTAAGAGGAGAGATTTTTCTCTCATTCACCACAGTGTCCCTAGTGGTTAGAGATGTGCTGGCAGAGAATCGAGTGACCCGGAGCTGTTCCTAACAATTATCTGATGGCTAGATGAGGGAGGGCAGAGGCCCCTCCAGTCCAGCACTGTCGAGGGAAAAAAAGTCTGAGATGCAAAATTATAATACACACATTAAAAAAACTTTAGGTTACCTCCCTAAAAGTTTTAACACCAAACTTCGTCATCTAAAAAGATTCAATTGCACAGTTATATAGAATGTTGAACAGTATTTTCTAAGTAATTCTATGGAAAAAGTGAGGATTTCCTTTCTGATATATTCTCCTATAAGTTCAAAATTATTTCATTGTCTTCAACTCAAATAATTATGCCATCTAAAACGATGTCATTTCAACAAGTAACAGAGCCACTGCAGCTGTCTATAGCATGAAAATCTGGAAACTAGCTTCCCTAGTTTTTCTCAACTAGAAAAATATCTTAGAATAGACCTAAGCACACTATTTTACTTCTGAGTCTCTAACTCAATAAACATTAACTGTAAGCCTGTTAAAAGCTGTATGGATGTAAAGAAACAGGACAGGAACTCTGACCTCAAAAGGGTTCACCATCACATCTGTCCCTTCACAGTAAACTGTGTGTGCTTTACTATGTAAATCACAGACAGCATGAAAAAAAAACAAAACACAAGTTTATGACTGAGGATACGCAGAATATACTCACATAAGGAGAAAAGGTTTAGATTCTTTAGCTATGATGTTTCCAATGGTTTTTTCCTCTTATCCTAAGACTGATACGATTCAGCTAGCTTTACTGTTGACACAAATCAATTCTGGCTGGAGAACAATTGAGCTTAGAATCTGTGGCAACAAGCTGATCGTTTGACTAGATAAATGTTCGAGAACAGAGAGAACAATCAGAAACCTGGGACCCTTCCTATTTACGCATCTGGTATTCTTTCATCTTACATGAAAAACAGAAATGATTTGCTGCAAGTTCACAATAGTAATTCGTTCTAAGTAACAGGAACTCTAGAACAGAAAATCATAGTACCTGTGTCATAATTTCCATTGGGATGTGTAACTTCATCGATTTCCTCACTATTTGGGTCATTTTCCATATTGAGATTTTTTAACTGCACTAATTCCAGGAATCTTAAAGCTGTTTCCGCCAGCAGAGCTATGTTTTCTATAAAAGGAAGAAAAATTATAATTATCTTCTTAAATCTCTGTAATACTTACAATTTTTTCTCACTAACCCTTTATACATAATCACAGAACTAAGAAGAAAAAGCAGAACTTTTAAATTTACCACTTAACCTAATCATATGTCATTAACTAATTTCATAATCTACAACTAACCCTAGACTACCAGTTTTAATAACAAAACATAAGCATCTTTAAAAAAAAAATGAAAATAACCCAAAATATAGCACTCGGATCTACTGAGGAAAAATTTTTTAAAAGTTCCTTCTACAAAGTCCTACCCCTTCTTTTATAAGATATTTTATTGATTCCAGAGAGAAGGGAAGGGAGGGAGAAAAAGAGAGGGAAACATCAATGTGAGAGAAACATTGATCAGCCTCTTGCACACACCCGGGCTGGGGACAGAGTCCGCCACCCAGGCGCGGGCTCTGACCCGGAATTGAACGTGGGACCTTTCTGCTTGCAGGGTAACACCCAACCGAGCCACACCAGCCAGGGCCAGAGTCCTACCCCAAACAGTATGCTGACATTGGACTAAAAAGCATTAACATGAAAAACAGTTACAATCAAGCTGGGCTTTGGAATCACAGAGACCCTGGCTCACATCTCTACTCTGCCACTTAGGCGCTGGCTGCTTTACCCAACGTGAGCCTTGGTTTCTTCACACATACAGAGCCATTACCAGACTGAATCAAGCACTGCTGGACTGCATTACAAGCAATACTCTGAAGCTCTTAAGGAACGAAGTGTGAGGCTGTTTGCCACGCTTCTGCAGTTGTCTGTATTTCCTCCTTTCTCTTTCTGATAATCTAGTAAGACTACTGATACTCCTCACCACTTACTTCTAAGTTCTGTGTCACATTTGCTATTAATTATATCTACTCTATCGTTTATACCTTCTTCCTTATGTTATTTATTCCTGTCTCTACCCTTCTTTCTCTATTACTTCTGTGCTTCTTAGCCAAAGACTGCACTCTTTCCCTTCTTGGCAGTAAATAGCACTGAACATTAAGTTTAACTACTTTATTTTATTGATTCTAAAACTCACCGTGCCTTTAATTTTTACATCTCCAAAACTGAGATGCACTGTGCAATAATATGATTATTCGGTATACCAAATGCAGTTAAGTCCCTTCACCCACCTCCCCTAGGTTCAAGATTCCTCTGAACAGAACTCCACGTAAGCAAGACAGTAAGGCCCTTCAATGTCTGCTCACCCTAAAGGTGGGAAAATGTGAAGCATCCTCTGATAGTAAGTAAAACAACAGGTGAATATCCTCACTTAAGGAACATATCTTTAAGAAAAGTCTCTTATTTTTCTGAACCTCCAAAGTCTAAGTAGATCTATGCTTATTTCTCCACTTATGTTTATACACCAGGATGTACTTGTAAGTTTACTTCAGACAAGATACAAATTGTAACATCTCTGAGCTCATAAATGATGTGAAAGAAATTTACAAATGGATTTTAAACTTTTATAATTACTGGCCTGTGGTTTAATTAACCATAAAAGTTCAAACAGACTTCTGGCTCTATAAAAAAAAAGGCAGCTTTCCTCTGTGCAGAGCCATGATGAAGGGAGACTGGAAGTACTGGCACTCACCCTGGGTCATCCTGGACTCTCATCAGAAAGACTGAAAGACCAAAGACAAACAGGGTTGCTCCAAGATCACGGTCTAGACCAGTAGCTCTAAGAACTGAGAGGGAGTTAGGCCGGATATGTTTGGGTTGTTTTTTTAAGACTGTCCCATTTCCAATTTCCTCACTGGTAAAATGAAGGTAATATAAGTCACTGCTCAAGGTTTTTGCAAGGGAGAGTTGTGAAAGATATTTAGGTCTCAGAATCTTAAAATCTGGAATTTATCTTAGAATTTAGAATGTACCTTAGAATCTATGTATCTCCTGCAACTAACCCTTGCAACAACCTTGAGCAGCAGATGCCCTGACACACAACAGGTTTTTTGATAAATAGTAGCATTATTTTTATGCTATGACTGTTAGTAACTGAATGTCAATATGTTACTATGACACCTACACATCAAAATCTTACCTATTTAACACAGTTAAGAAGAGACTAAGATACCCTGGGCCAAAAGTAGGTTACAAAACTCTAAAGGTACATCTTGTTTTTAAAACCTAAAACCTTTTTTTTTAAAGATTTTCTTTCTTTTAGACAGAGGGGAAGGGAGGGAGGAAGAGAGGGAGAGAAGCATCAATGTGTGGCTGCCTCTCATATGCCCCCTACTGAGGACCTGGCTGGCAACCCAGGCATGTGCCCTGACTGGGAATCAGACCAGTGACCCTTTGGTTTGTAGGCTGGTACTCAATCCACTCAGTCACAGCAGCCATGCCTAAAGCCTAAAAACTTTAATTTTTATCTAACTCAATGAGTTATATTTACCAAGTGAATGATAAATGTGCTTTGTTACAAGTCATAAACTCAGATCTATCTTAAAGAAATCCTGGATTTTCCAGGCCTGAAGTTTATACCTATACAATTATGAAAACCAAAAACCATACATAAGTAAATAGGCAGATGGATTAAATATAAATAAAAATCTACATATAAAAAAAGAAACAACCCAACAATCACCAATCACTCTGTGGATGAGCCTAAAAGAAAAGGCCAGGGTCTAACAACCATTTTCTGTGCAAGTTCCATTAAAAAAGTGACAGGCAAATTGTAAAAAGAAGAAACTAAGCAAGTATCTCACAAAAGGTGACAATATCACCACCACACAGTATGTACTTCAAAAAAGAACCACTGATTTCCATCAGATTATATTTTACAAATAAATTATGGAATTACGTAAATCTTTCAATGACATTTCCACGCAGAAATAAGTGTTTGGAATTAATCTGGGGAGCTAAAAACATGAATCCCTGTCACTTGATTTTACGAGTGAGAATTACAAGTAAAAAATGCAGGTGTGTTATGCAACACACCCACCTCATCAGAGGAGCCGCACGTCCTTAGCACTAGAGTAACTGAAAGGACCTTAAGATTCAGTAACTTAATAGGGAGGATCTCTCAACACCAGACTGATTACCCAGCAGAGTAAATCTTTTTCAATGAATTGTTGAATATCCTAAAATTGATATTCAAACAAGCTAATGTTTCACAGAAACTTCATAAAGGCCTTAAGACACTACCTCAAAAGCACATACCTATAAACATTAGTCTTATTTCAAAGTAAATGTAATACTCCCACTAAAATCATAACATTCTGTTATATACTTTTTACTTGATAACTCTGATCACTTCAAAAATGAAAGAACACACAAAAGTTGAGTCTTAGGAACAGACTAGCTATATTACTATAATTTATACAGTTTAAAAACCAAAGTTCATTCTTGGAATTCCCAGAAGAAATCAGAGAAACAAGAGGTATTATAGTCACGAACTTCAAGAACATGAGTGGCTGTCACTTGGACAATCATCTCTTACCAGCATAGGCTAGTCTGACAATGGTAGCATCATCTTGGGCTAGGTGGGCTATGCCCGGCAGAATATACTCCGGATAGATATTGACATCATTGCGAGGAACCTCTTTGACAAGAGCTAGAACTTTGGTCAACGTCCTCAAGGCTTCGGCCCTTACTCTAGGAACAGAGTCATTGCTGAAATGCAAAAGGTATGGCGTGATACGATCCAAAAGAATTTCTACGCTTAATCGTGGGGCCAAATGAAGAATAAGTTCCAAAGCAGCAAGTTTGGAGTCACAGTATTTAAGGGTCTGCAGACAGGAGGTAATGACAGACACCAGGATAACCAGCCCATTTTCCTTTGGCTCTTCTTCCGATTTTTCTGGCAGGTCATGTCCACAGAGATTGTTAATAATGTTGCCCAAATCCTTCCGTATAACCAGAATGCGCTCATCTGCGGATAGAAATGTTTCCTTGGCAAACTGGGCCATGTAGGGCTGAAGGAAAGTATAAAATATTTCAGGAAAGGCATTGCCACGCTGCTGCTTTAGGTAATCTTCTGCCTCTAACCGTTTATCTGGCTCACGGTGAATCATCTGTGTTACCTATACCAAGGGGAGAAAGGGAGTTAAAAAAAATACATTTGATAACAGCGAATTAAATCTGATGAAAGTTATAAGGGCATCTTCACCATTATTTAAAGGATTTACAAGGTATCTCTGACTCTTCTCAACCTTTACCATTCAAACTCCTTTCAGAACCTAACCACTGAGTAATACGTGACTCTACTATTATCCTAAAAAGCAACAAGAAATTACATCCTAACGTATTACAAATGGCCCAGACACATAAAGAAGAGGTGTACTCTGTTCAACATTCGCTGTTTATTAAGACAGAGGAATAATATATTAATGCCCACAACTCAAGGATCCTTAAAAGTTTTTGAGCAGGAGATGCCACCAAAATTTTGTCCTAAGAGAAAAATGTATACACAATTTTTCCACACAAAATTACAGACAATTCTGAAAAGAAAGATAGATCCCCTGACATCTATTTACACACTAGAGTTCTGGTTTGGAGACTTATTTTCACAAGCTCAAGGAAATACATGGCTTAAGTGCAGCCCTAGGATCTGTTCAAAAAGGGAATGAGTGGTTTAAACTTTTTAAGTAGGTAAAAGAGATGTTAAACCCTGCAAACACTAAAAATGACATACCTAATTGGAATATATTTCTAGTATCATAAGAAAATAGTTTTTTCAACATACAGAGCACATTTCATCTTTCCTAGACCCTCACAGTGTATCAGTTATTATTTAAATACATGAAATATCAGAAACACATATTTAGTTATTTGAGCTTTCTGTTTATAGTCTAAATAAGAGCCTCTCACTGAACCTGGGGGAATCAAACGTACTGTAAACACCCAGATTCATGAGTGCCATACCCAAAGATGTAGCCAAATGTACCAACTCCTAATCTAGTACACTGCTCATTGAACATGAACTAAACTGGCTTCCTCCGAAGCATATTTTTTAACATTTGCCATTTGTAAGAAATTAAAAAATATATTTTCCTACCTTACTAAAGGATACTTTGATTTTTTTTTATGCTTACCCATGGGTGTGGTTTTTTATTGATGTTAGAGAGAGAGGAAGGGCAAGGGAAGAGAGAGAGGAGAGAGGGAGAGGAAGGGAGGGGAGAGGGGGAGAGGAAGGGAGGGGAGGAGGGAGAGGAAGGGAGGGGAGGGGAAAGGGGGAGAGGAAGGGAGGGGAGGGGGAGAGGAAGGGAGGGGAGGGAGGGAGGGAGGGGAGAGGGGAGAGGAAGGGAGGGGAGGAGGGAGAGGAAGGGAGGGGAGAGGGGGAGAGGAAGGGAGGGAGAGGGGGAGAGGAAGGGAGGGAGAGGGGGAGAAGGGAGGGGAGAGGAAGGGAGGGAGAGGGGAGAGGAAGGGAGGGGAGAGGGGGAGAGGAAGGGAGGGGAGAGAGGGAGAGGAAGGAGGGAGAGGGGGAGAGGAAGGGAGGGGAGAGGGAGGGGAGAGGGGAGAGGAAGGGAGGAGAGGGGGAGAGGAAGGGAGGGGAGGAGGGAGAGGAAGGGAGGGGAGAGGGGGAGAGGAAGGGAGGGGAGAGGGGGAGAGGAAGGGAGGGGAGAGGGGGAGGGGAGAGGGGGAGAGGGAGGGAGGGGAGAGGGGGAGAGGAAGGGAGGGGAGGGGGAGAGGAAGGGAGGGAGAGGGGAGAGGAAGGAGGGGAGAGGGGAGAGGGAGGGAGAGGGGAGAGGAAGGGAGGGGAGAGGGGAGAGGAAGGGAGGGAGGGGGAGAGGAAGGGAGGGAGAGGGAGAGGAAGGGAGGGAGAGGGGAGAGGAAGGGGAGAGGGGAGAGGAAGGGGGGAGAGGGGGAGAGGAAGGGAGGGGAGAGGGGAGAGGAAGGGAGGGGAGAGGGAGGGGAGAGGGGGAGAGGAAGGAGGGAGAGGGGGAGAGGAAGGGAGGGGAGAGGGGGAGAGGAAGGGAGGGGAGAGGGGGAGAGGAAGGGAGGGGAGAGGGGAGAGGAAGGGAGGGAGAGGAAGGGAGGGGAGGAGGGAGGGAGGGGGGAGAGGAAGGGAGGGGAGAGGGGGAGAGGAGGGAGGAGAGGGGAGGGGAGAGGGAGAGGAAGGGAGGGAGGGGGGAGAGGAAGAGAGGGGAGAGGAAGGGAGGGGAGAGGGGGAGAGGAAGGGAGGGGAGAGGGGGAGAGGAAGAGAAAAACACTGATCACCCTCCTCCTGTGTGCGCCCCAACCAGGGAACCAGGGATCGAACCTGCAACCTAGCTATGTGCCCTGACTCAGGATTAAACTTGCAACCTTCTGGGGCATGGAAAGACACTCCACTCAAATGAGCCACCAGGCCAGGGCAAGGGATGTTTTAAATATACCATTCTTTCTACAACTCAAGAGTCTTCATCATGATGAACATGGGTTCCTACACTGACTCACTGACGGACTGACTTTAAAAAGACCCCCTCAAACAGTAATGGCTTATACGACCTCCCACAGAATTCCTCACATCTGTTCAGCTACACTAATTTGTGCTTCTGTATCTCCCCTCCCAGAACTGCCCTCAGGGCCAAGGGAGGTAAACAAAGCTAATAGCTTCTATTCAAAATGGCCTTATACTGCTGCATTATATTCAAGTTGCTGTTTCCTGTCTCCTTCATTTAGGTGTGTCTTCCTCATTTCTTACTACTAGGTTCTATCCCGGGTAACTTCTCCAGTCCCCAGGCAGGCCTCTCCTTCTAAACCCCTCCAAAGCAAGAGCTAAAGATTGTAATGAGCGTGGCAAGAGGTATGTGTATCGTGCGTGTGTGTAAAACATTAAGTCAAATGAGCTCTGTCTGAGAAGGGGGAAAATTGTACAGTTTTCCCTAATAAAGTAAAAACAATAAGCCATTTGTATGAGTCTATAGGGCTCTTTGTTCCAAATTTGTAACATTTTAGAGAGTGGACTAATGCAAAAGAAAGAACACAATTCTATTAAAATCTTTATGGCCAATATTTGTAGCACAGTTACCAAATCTCTGATACTGCGATCTTCAATTTTATTTAGCACTTGTTCAGGGAAAAATTGTCCATTTCTATAAGCCAAAAGCTGAGAGAGATCAAATAATGGTACACCTTCTGTGAAAAGCTCGGCTACCACACAACCTGGAAAAGAGCAGATATAATTCCATTAAACACAAAATGCAAGATATCAGTAAATACAGGTCAAGAATTCAGAGAACTCAAAATGTAAAGCCAAGTAAACTCAACTAAAAATTTTAATGCAATGTACAACTACAACCAATCAAGATCAAGAAAATATCTATTGCATAATCAATTCTAAAAGGGTAAAGTCAAAAGGTCCATTTTATTGTTCTCCCTCTTAAAAAAAAAGTTATTTCCTAGTTCTATAATTAAAAATAAATGTGTACATATAACATATATATACCATATATTTAGCAATAGATACTCGTAGATCAATTACAAGCCACAAGAAATACACTATTTTTTTAAAATATGGGTTTACAGAAATTAAGTTCATTAGAAATTACTGTGAAATCATAGCTGAGAATTTTTATCACTGAACAAAAAAATCATTAGGCATCTACATTAGGTTCTCACAGAACAGAAACAGACAAAACCCTGCCCTCACAAAGCTTTCATTACAGGGAGGCATAAAATAAACCAGTGAGCAAACATAATAATTAAGTGAGAAGTGCTAAGAAGTGTGACTATTAAGATTAGAGAGGAAAGAAGATATAACCCAATCATTTTATACTTGCATAATATTCAACAAGGAATAAGAAAGAAAACCTATCTACATTCCAAAAAAGGAAAAAGTAGTTTCACTGAATCATTATGACATGCATTCAGCAATTCTTTAAAAAGATTCTTAAACAGCCTTAACTCGCCACAGCCTTTTCATTTGCTATCCTTCTGCCTAAAATGCCATTCCCCCAAGTATCCACGTGGCTTATACCTGCGTCTCCTTCAGATCTCTAATCAACCGTCATTTCAGCAGTAAGGCCTTTCTTGATGGCCTGGTTTAAAATCACAAGCCCCAAAACTGTAACTCCCCCACACTCTTCACTGGGCACATCCCCTTTCCCCTTTCCGGTTTTCCCCTCATCAACTGCCAAATTATATATTTCATGTATTTTTTCTTTATTCTCTATATACCCACTACAAGGCAAACTCCACGAGGAAGGGATTTTTGTCCATTTTGTTCACTGCAACATCTCCAGCAACTAAGACAATCTTGACACATATAAACAATACATTTCTCCCATTAATTTCTACCTATAGAATATCAAGTTTTAGAATAAAAGACTTAAAAATAGCTATTACAAACATCATAACCAAGAAGGAAATAGAATTAAACACCACTACGGACCAACTGGATCTCAGACATCGAAAGAACACTCCGCCCGACGACAGAATACAAAATTACTCTCAACTACACATGGAATACTCTCCAGGTTAATCCCTATGCTAGGCCATGAAATAACCCTCAATAAGTTTTTTAAAAAACTGAAATGACACAAATTATGTTTTTCAAATCACAATGGAACAAAGTAAGAAATCAGTTAACAGAAAAAAAGTTCAAAAAATTCTAATATGTAGGAATTAATTATACCCCAAAATAACCAATGGATCAAAGGGAAATTATGAAATACTTCGAGATGAATGAAAGTGAAAACACAAAACACAGAAACATATGAAATGAAACTAAAGCAGTTTTTAAAGGAAATGTGAAACTATGAACATCTCTATTAAAAAGGACAAACTCAAAACAATCACCTTACCTTCACCTTAAGGAACAAGAATATACTCAAACCAAACAGAAGGAAGAGAATAACAAAGACTGGGGTGGAAAAGGGACATTACTACCAACTACCAACTGTACAGAAATGGGAAGAATTATAAGAGTTGGCAACTGCATGCCAACAAATTAGATAATCTAAATGAAATGGCCAGATTCCCAGAAAGAGATCACTAAAGCTGCCCTGAAAAAGAAACAAAGTCTGAATGAGCATTGTAAGAGACTGTTGGTTACGAAAAACTTCCCACAAAGAAAGCCTAAGCCCAGAGGGCTTAACAGGTGAATTCCATCAAACTTTGAAGGACCTGACACTCACCCTTCACCACTTCTCCCCCCCGCAAAAAGAAGAGGGAACACCTCCCAATTCATTCTATGACACCAATACTATCCCCATACAAAACCAGATAAAGACATCATAAAGAAAAACCACAAACACCCCTGATGAATACAGATTTTTTAAATTCCTCCAAAAAAAGTACTAGCCAAATGAGTGTAGGAATCTATACCAATGATAACATAAATGGGAAAGTGGACACCTGAGTGTAATAAAATGCTGGGGACTGAGGACCTACTGGTAAATGTGAAGGAAGTGCTGGAATTGGTAAAGCATCATTTTAAAGCCATTGCAGTAAAGACTGAATCAGGTGAGAATCATCAGTGGATGCCAGGTCAAGGAGTAAATTGTGAAAACTGCCAGGGTTTTTGCATGGCCTTAAAGTTTCTTCCTACTGATTGCTTATTAGTTGCAAGGGATTTTAAAAATTAACTATAAAGAGAAGAAACAGGACAAGATCTTGACCATCCAACACCTTGCGCCTGCAGGAGTGATACTGTAAAGACACATCGCCTATGCACTATTCCTACTGAGAATGAATAACCTGAATCTAATCTCAAGGAAACAGCAGACAAATCCAAAATGAAGAACATCCTGTTAAAAAACAAAGGGGTGGGGTGGCCCATACACACAGCGATGGGGGACTCAAGAGCTGGAAAGTTTTAGTTCAGGGAATAGCTAATAAGCTTGGCAGTCCATGCATGTAAAAAGCTATTGTTTCAGGAACTGAAGGTATGACCTACATGGACTCCAGGACACCATAAGCAGTTCCACCTTTGTGCCTCAGGAGGACTGTGAGCCATCAAGATGGCATTCGAGCCATTGTGCTCCAGGGTGAGTCGCCCACCACCCAGGACACAGATAATAAAGACCACCTTGCCCAGGACACAGATGAAAGAATGCTGCAGTTTTCATCTGTATGGCTTTTGTCCTTCAATTCCAAATCTCTCCCCTACACTTTTTCCTCCTTATAAAGAGGCTGGCTTGAAAGGAAATGTAAGCCAGTTTGTTAGGGTACATAACCCACCATCTGGAGACAGGACCTTTAAAGAGGTAATTACGGTTAAATATGGTCGTACGGGGGGCCCAACCTGTGCAACCAAGGAGAGTAGTAGCCCCAGGAGAAATCAACCCTGCTGGCACCTTCATCTTAGACTTCCAGCCTCCAGAAATGGGGGAAACAAATTTTTGTTTAAGCTACTTAGCCTGGGGTAGTTTCTCATGGCACCCTTAGTCAGCTAACACAGAGGTGAGTACAGGATTTTTTGTTTTCTTGCAACTGTAGAATGTTATTCTGGAAGAGGTGTTATTGGGAGGTTTTTGCCTGTGGAGTTATCTATCATCACTGAGTTCTCCTCGTCACTCAGACTTCCACTCAAATGTTTAAATTCTAGGAGAGGCCTTATGGGACCATGTTAACTAAAGTAGTCACCTACCAGGCTTCGTCACAGCACTTATCACTAACTTGCTTACTTATTTACTTGTTTATTTTATCTCTTCCTCACTAGAAAGCAGGCTCCATGAGGGCGAAAACGTTGTTGGACTTGTTCACAGCTGTATTCTCAACATCCACACAATGCAGTGTCTCTCACGTAACAAATGTTCACCCAGCCAATGAATGAAAGCTCTCCAGCAAGAAAAGCTCTGCCCGTACATTTGGTCAGACACAGAATATACACACTTCTCTCAAACAAGCGGCCAAACACATGGATGTGCACCAAGATGGGGAAAAGTAACATTCAAAACCCAAGGAGCCTAAACCAAATCTTAGGAACCATGGGAGCTGGAGAGACCCCACCCCCCTCTTTCAAAGGAGTAAAAGGGCCTGTCTTCAGCCAAAACAATGGAGGGCTCTTTTAGTCTGAAAAAACAAAATGCTGAGCAAGAATTTTGTTGATGTTCACAAAAAAGATACTTTCATCAACCCCTGAAATTTAAAACTCTAATAGACTTCCAGTTCTAAGTCATAGGGATGTACTGTACAGCATGGTGACTATAATTAATAATACTGTATTGCATAATTGAAAGTTCCTAAGAGAGATTTCAAAAGTTCTCATAACAAGGGAAAAAAATTCTTGACAGATGTCAGATTTACTGTGGATATCATTTTACCATGTATACAAATATTGAATCATTATGTTGTATACATGAAACTAATACAATGCTATATGCCACTATACCTCAAAAACAACAAAACCTATAAATGACCCCCTAAAGCTAGAAAGTAGCCATGTTTCTAAGCTAAAGGAGTCCTATTTACAAAACAGGAAGTGTAATGTAAAATGTAATAAAGGTTCAAGAAAAATTTAGATAAATTCACTGATCAAGAAAGTTGGGACTTGGATAACATTTTTAACAGTGTTAAAGCTACAGCACAAAGGCTAACCCTATCTCACCAAAACACCCCTTGGTATTATCCTGGGGCACAGATCAGTCAGTGGACTGAACCAACAGAGGTGCGATCCTGTGTAACAGTTATTCATTCTACCTATATGTGATATACTTTTTCCTTAATTATGTTACTGTATTTTTCTGTAATCTAACACAGTTTAATTCATGTTTTCTTTGTAGTAAACTTATACATGAGAAAATGATTAAACCCAACTTTTCCAAAATTTACCAAAAAGAAAAAAAAAATGGTCCTGATGCCAGAGTTCAGATAGTATTCTTCGGGGACCCGACCCTCAGCACACGTCCCCTCCCAGAAGTTCATAGACAACCTGGAATTGTTTCATGTGGTCTGCGTGTGAACTAATGCACTGTACTTATTTCTAGGGAAGAAGGCCACTAATTTGATCAAACTTTCGATCACTTCTCTAAGAACTCTCACTAGCTACAAATTCATTCCCTTGACTATAATTACTACCTATATTTCCTGATAACTACCAAATCTCTCTCTCCACCCTAAATCTCTATGCATCAAACCTTTATAACCAACTGCCTGTTATATTCTTCTCCTAGACATCTCCAAACCCCTTCAATGCAACATATCTAATACAGACCTTAGCCTCTTCTCACCCCCTAGTTGTTCCTCCTCTTGTGTCTCCCAGCTCAGTGACCAGCATCACCACCCACCATGTTTCCCAAGAGGGGGCAAAGGGAGGGTGTAGGGGGTGGGGGTGCTCTTGACTTCATCTTCCAATCAATCACCAAGTCATGACAACTCTACCTACTAATTATCTCTTAAGCATTACAGCTGACCCCCGAACAATAGAAGTTTGAAGTGCGTGGATCCACTTACACAGATGTTTTTCTTCAGTAAATACGATGAAAAACATTTGGAGATTTGCTACAACTTAAAAGAACTCACAGATGAATCTTATGATTTCCTTAACATTTTCCTTCTCTAGCTTACTTTAAGTATATAGTATATATTAGATATAACACATAAAACATGCTAATTGACTGTTTGTGTTATTAGTCAATAGTAAGCTATTAGTAGTTAAGTTTTGGGGGAGTCAAAAGTTATATAAGGATTTTCGAATGTGCTGGTGCCCCTAAGCTTTAACTGTACCTCTCTCTGTTCCCTCTACAACTTTGTCACAACTTTAAGCCAGTCAGGCTCATGTCTTACCTGGACTGGTGGTAATTTACTACTAATTGGTTTTCCCTTCTCCAGTGTAGTTGCCCTCAATCCACTCTCCATGCTATAGTCTGTGTTTTATCTGACAATGTCTCTCAAGACTAGCATTGGCCTGAGACCCTTTCTGATCTGGGCCTTGCTTACCTCACACTCTATGTTCCAGATATACTATACCACTTCGAGTGCTCTTATAAATCAGTGCATCCATCATGCTCTGGTCCTCAAGTCTTTGTATAAGCAACCCCCTAAGCCTGAAACAAACACCCAATACCACAGCTGGCTTCCCAGTCATCTTTCAGATCTCAGCTTAAATGTCATCTTTCCAATAAAGAGGTCTTGCCTGATCCTGCCTCTCTATCCATCACCACCATGGAAACTAATTTAAGTATCTATTAAATACATGTTCCTATAAGCACCCTATGTTTATTACCATCACAGCAGTTGCATTACATTGAAATGTCCTTTTTCAATCATATCTATCTCCCCATTAAAGGATAAGCACCTTAAAAAAGGGAAATCATTACCCATCTATGTCTCCAGCACATAAGAGTGCCTGACACATACAGAACAAGTCAAATACTTCTCAAATGTTTGAATGAATGGCTGTTGCATTTTCTAGGCACATGAATGCATCCAATGAAAGAATACGGCATTATATTTAAAATCGTGTAAGAGGACAAATGAACTTTTCAACATAATGGAAAAAATTTTTTAAATCTATGTTTCTATGTTCGGGTTAAAACACATGCACATGGTCCCTTAGCAAATTTAACCAACCCAAATACCTGCTGAAAAGATGTCCATTGCTCGCTTCAACTCTCCTCTTGTTCTCTGATTGCTATTTAAGTCTACAAGTGGAGTTGAAGGATCTCTCATATATTCCAACTCAGTGGCAAACAATCCACCATCAACGAAACGTTCAGGAGCAATATAACAAGTTCTCCTCCGTGAAGTGTCAAAGAAATAGTTGAAATCTGCTGGGTTGTCCTCTGGAAGATAAGTGGGTTTAAAACTGGCAAAATCAGTTAGAAGGACCCAGTTCCAACTGGTGACCATTACATTCTCAGTCTTGATGTCCCCGTGTCGGACTCCAGATTTGTGTGCTTGGTCCACAGCTGTCAGGATCTGGAAAGCAATCCAACGCTTCTCAATATTATTTAAGAATGGACGGGTACTGATGCGATCATAGAGGTTGTCTCGCACATATTGCCTGAAGAGCATGGCTGCTTTCTCAGATGCTTTTTCTGCTGCTTTCTGGAAAGGTAGACAGTTTTGTGCCGAATGCAGGCGGATTTTCAATTCCTCTAGCTCTTGTTTATAGCTAGTTAAAGGCAATGTGGGATCCTGAATTGCAAAGACCTTCACAACCACCAGGCCTTCTCGGTGCTTTGCTCGAGCAACTTTAAAAAAGCGAGTACTCCCCAGGCTTTTATCATATTCAAAGTCATGGATGTCTGAGAAATAACTCTCCACAGAAAGGATCTGGGAAGGAGCAATACCAGCGAGCTGATTTCCCATAATGGCAGCACACGCCTCTGAGTCAGTAAGTTAAGATACAACGCCTATTTAAAACAAAATAAAGCAGAAGAAAAAGAAACAAACAAACACCATTATTTATTTGGTCTCCTCCTAAAAGACAGATGCACTATACTTCTCTTCCCCTGAGATCATTGTACTTACCCTTCCAGGCAGCCTCTAAATGTCAGACACATTTATCTAATGAGATCTTGTTACTTTATCCTTTCCAAGATAAAGTTGTCCTTTATCTTGTTGTCCTTTCCTGGAGCTGAACTGTATTTAAACAGGCCCCTTCAATATTAAGTTGAAGATGTTAAAGCATGTATTTTCGGATTTTTAAAATTACTAAACCTTTACTCTCTGTTCAGTATTGTGCTTGGAGCTAGGACGGTCACATCAGTACAACATAAAGCAGTCTTTGTCCAAGAACTTGTAGGCTTGCACATAAACACATTAAAACTTAAAACTAAGAAACACCTAATGCAAAAAGTACATTGAACACCTCAAAGGTCACGCTAAGATCCAAAAATCGGTACCTCCTGGGTCTTTCCACATTAATTCCAGTGTTCCTTCCCACCCAGCTAACAGAAGGCACAAAGTTGTCTGGTTTGCTACCACCACAGGGGAGACCCCCTGGCAAAGACGCTTAAAAAAAAAGTAAACCAAAACACACACTTGCCAAATACAGCCCAGGGTTTTCTCCTAGCTGATTTTGCAGGAAATAAAAGACTCATACACACACAGCTATGCGCCCATATAAACATTTACCCTAGGACTCTGCAAAGTATCACAGGTCGGTCATTAGCTCACACTAGGGTCATGGTGGGTCGCTTCGCGGCAGGGAAGGAAGTCGGCAGCCGGGTGAGTCTTCTCTAGGAGGGGGTCTTCCTTCGAAAGCAAGAGGTGGGATGTTGGGAGAGAGACGCAAAAAAGTCCCAACCTCCACAAACCCCAGTTGTCCGCCGCGTGGCACTGGGGGAAGCTCTCAGGGACGCAGAACACAAAAAAAGCCAGGTTGAAATGATTGCACAGATACCCAGGGAGTTGCCCCCGCCAGCCCCCCTATTCAGCCCTAAAGGCCACGCATTCTCGGGTCTTGTCTTCCTCCAGCGCGGACTTCCAGACCCTCGAGGTCCTCACCACCAGGCTGCAAGGTGAAACTCGGAAGAGCGAGGAAGAACCCCAGATCCACGGAAATAACTTCAGCAGCTACACACCTCAAACGCTGAACTCCTGGGAAAGCCGCGGGTTATGACCACTTCCTGCGCGGAGCGGAAGTTACGAAGAAACGGGGCTTGAGGAGGAGTCCCTCGTGGGTGCTGGTTGCTAGGAAACGGGGAAGGGGCGTGGTCTCGCTCCGCGAGTCTATAGGAAGGAATCTAGTCCCTAATCTTGATCTTCCTATTCTTCCCTAAACTCTGGCGCTTCGGATTTCCTCCAAACTTGTTCACACACCCTCTTTACCCGAAGTACACAAGAACAAAGTTCTATAAGAGAATTCACATGCTTATTTAGGATCGTTAATATAATTTACATATTATATAGTTCACCTGTTTAGAATATACAACTCAATGTTGTTAAAATGTATGTAGAGTTGTTCAATTATCCCTGTAATCTAGTTTTTGAACATTTCGTGACCCTCAAAATGAACCCCTGCAACTATTAGCAGTCACTCCCCGATCTCCCTATTTCTCCTTTTTCTCCCTGCCCAAGACAATCACTATCTACTGCTTCTACAGACTTACCTATATTTCATAAATATGGTACACAATATGCGCGCTCTATTTTTATATACAATGTGACCTTTATAACTGATTTCTTTCTTTCACTTCATGTTTTTTGAGGTTTACCTCTGTTGTAGCTTGTATCAGTTCTTCGTTTCTTTTTATTGCCAAAAATTCTCTTGTATAAATATCCGACATTCATTATGCATTTAGTTGATGGACTTTGGGGTTGTTTCCACATTTTGGTTACTATAAGTGCTGCTGCTATAAATGTGTGTGTATACGGATTTTTGAGGCCATATGTTTTCTTTTATCTTGGGTAAACACGCAGGAGTGGAGTTGTGGAGTCATATGGTAACTCTATGCTTAACATATCGAAAAATTACCAGGCTGTTCTCCTAAGTGCTGTACCATTGAACATTCCTACCAGTAACGTACGAAGGTTCCAATTTCCCCACATCCCCACTGAAATTTCTTATCTATCCTTTTGATTATAGCCATTCTAGTGGATATAAAGTAGTAGTTCATTGTGGTTTTTATTTGCATTTCCCTAATGACTAATGATGTTGAATATCTTTTCATGTGCTTATTGGCCATTCATATATCTGCCCTGGAGAAATGTCTATTCAAATTTTTTGCCTCTTTTTTAATTGGGTTGTCTTTTTATTATTGAGTTTTAAGAGTTCTTTACATATGCTGAGGGAATACAATCCCTTATCAGATTTGCAAATAGTTTTTCTCTGTATTGTCTTTTCACTTCCTTGTTCACGTCCTTTAAAGCTTAAAGTGTTTTCATTGAAAGCTGGAATTTTTTAACCATCCCTGCAACGTCCCCTCCTCCCTTTTCCCCCATCTCTGTAGGCAGCACCAGCAGCCCCTGGATTCCCCAAACTACAATGGGTGAAAGTTATTAATCCATCCTTGATATCTTTTTACTCTCTCCCTCTTTCACCTGCCCCCTTCAATAATCACGGTCTCCTGCTGATTACAGCTCCGAAATATGCCTTGAAGCCATCCACTTCCCTCTCTCCAGGGCTTAGATCACTGCTAGGATATCTAGATTTTGAAACCTACTCAGAAAAAACATTCCGCAACCAGTATAATTATATTATACTTCTCCTATAACTTCTAGGTCTCTTATGACATCATTTTATGTCCTTAAAATTCCAACTTTATTTTTTCTCTGGAAGCATACTCAAGTATCAAAAATATGAAGTAATCTACTCTTTCCTCCCCACTTATTTGAAATATCATAGTCACCATATACAAATTTCCTGTATATATATTTGGGCCCCATGTTGGATTTTCTCTTCTGTGTATTGAATTGCAATTTATCTGCCAGTACTGCTTTATTTTATTTTATAGTTTACTGACCTTAAATATTTGCTGTAGCTTTCCTTTACATGCTCAGCTTTTATTTATTTTTAATATATTTTATTGATTATGTTATTACAGTTGTCCCATTCCCCCCCTTTATTCCCCTCTGCCCTGCACACCCCTTCCCACCTGCATTCCCCTCTTTAGTTCATGTCCATGGGTCATACATATAAGTTATTTGGCTTCCACATTTCCTATACTATTCTTAAGGCCCCCCTATTTTCTACCTACCATTTACACTACTTATTCTCTGTACCTTTTCCCCTTTTTCCCCCCCTCTTGTTCCCCCACTGATAACCCTTCATGTGGTCTCCATTTTTGTGATTCTGTTCCCATTCTAGTTGTTTGCTTAGTTTGTTTTTGCTTTTGTTTTTTAGGTTCAGTTGTTAATAGCTGTGAGTTTGTTTTCATTTTACTGTTCATATTTTTCATCTCCTTTTTCTTAAATAAGTCCCTTTAACATTTTATACAATAAGGGCTGGGTGATGATGAACTCCTTTAAAGTGACCTTATCTGGGAAGCACTTAATCTGCCCTTCTATTATAAATTATAACTGTGCTGTATAAAGTTATCTTGGATGTAAGTCCTTACCTTTCATGACTTGGAATGCTTCTTTCCAGCCCCTTCTTGCCAGCAAGATTCTTTTTGGGTTCGTTTGTTTGTTTTGAGAAATCAGCTGATAGTCTAATGGGAATTTCTTTATAGGTAACTCCTTTTCTCTTGCTGCTTTTAAGATTTCTTATCTTTAATCTCAGGAAATGTAATTATGATGTGCCTCGGGGTGTTCCTCTTTGGGTCCAACTTCTTTGAAACTCTCTGAGCTTCCTGGACTTCCTTAGAGTCTATTTTCTTTGCCATATTGGGGAAGTTCTCCATTATTTTTTCAAATAAGTTTTCAACTTTTTGGTCTTCCTCTTCTCCTTCTGGCACGGCTATCATCCAGATGTTGGAATGTTTAAAGATGTTCTGGAGGTTCCTAAGCCAGTCCTCATTTTTTTGAATTGTTGTTTTTTCATTCTGTTCTGGTGGAATGTTTCTTTCTTCCTTCTGCTCCAAACTGTTGATTTGAGTCCTAGTCTCCTTCTCATCACTGTTGATTCCCTGTATATATTTTTTTATTTCACATGATGTAACCTTCATTGATGCCTGGGTCTTTTTTATGCTGTTGAAGTACCCAGTGAGTTCCTGGAGCATCCTGATCACCAGTGCTTTCAACTGTGCATCTGACAGTTTGGCTATCTCTTCAGTGCTTAGTTGCATTTTTCCTGGAGCTTTGATCTGTTGTTTCATTTGGGCTATTTTTTGTGTGTGTCTTGGCACGCCTGTTATGTATAAGTGGTGGAGCCTTAGGTGTTCACCAGGGCAAGGCAACCCACGTACATCCCTGCATTGTGATGCTGTATGTGGGGTAGGGGTCTAAAAGGGAACAGTGCCACTTGCTCTGCTCTCTGCTGGTTTTACCCACAAGCAAAGTGGGCCCCTCTGGTGCTGATTCTCATGTAGGTTGGCTTGTGTACATTCTAGGACCCTGCGGGTCTCTCCAACAAACTCTCCTGTGAAGCTGGGAGTTTCTCCCACTGCCGCCTCAACCCCCACGGGTATTTTCAGTCAGAGGTTTGAGGCTTTATTTACCTTGCTGAGAGCCTGAGTTGCACGGTCTGTCTCACTCCCCAGTTGTTCCTCCTGGTTTATCTGCGCACACGAATGTGGGACTGTCCAGTCCACAAGCCACCACCTTGCCAGGTCTGCCAGCTGCCACCCTGCTGCCAGTCCTCTCCGCCTGGCTGCCCATCTCCGCCCCTCCTACCGGTTTGGATGAATGTTTCTTCTTTAACCCCCCACCCCGGTTATTGGACTTCCATACAATTTGATTTTCTGGCAGTTCTGGTTGTTTTTTTGTTTTTAAATTTGTTGTCCTTCTTCTGGTTGTGCGAGGAGACACAGTGTGTCTACCTATACCTCCATCTTGAATGGAAGTCCCAGTACTGCTTTAATCATTGTAAAATATTGGGTTGGCAAAAAAATTTGTTTGTATGTTTTCTGTAAGATAGCACTAGTAGAGTTAAGTTGTCTTTAATTTAATTCAAAACAGTTTTGTTAGACTGTATTGTGACAGCTGTCATATCAGCATGCAAAAAAAAACCCCATCAAAACTGATGAATTTTTGTGTAGCCATTTTAATATTGAAGATGGAGGAAAATGTGCAACATTTTTGGGATATTATGCTTTTATTATTTCAAGAAAGGTTAAAAACACAACTGAAATGCAAAAAAAAATTGTGCAGTGTATGGAGAAAATGCTGTGACTCATCAAATGTGTCAAAAGTAGTTTGCCAAGTTTCATGCTGGAGATTTCTCGCTGGATGATGCTGCACAGTCAGGGTTAGAAACATTGAAGTTGATAGCAAATTGAGACATTAATTGAGAACAATCAACATTGGTCCATGCAAAAGATAGGCAACATACTCAAAATATCCAAATCAATAAAGTTATTAGTGAACATGAAAAATGCGTCTTTTATTTAATAGAAAAAATATATACAGACTGTTTGGCCAACTCTCAGCTACTACTACTCTTTTTAAAAATACAACTATAATCATGAGACACCTGTGCTTACATCTTTCCAGATTTCCCCCCCTTATTTTTAGGCTAAAGTTAAAAATCCTTAGCTTGACCTACAAGACCCTGTGTGATTTGACCCCTGCCCTCCCCCCACCCACCTTAGGCGGCTTCACTCACTGTCCCTCCCAGGCCCCACACACTGGTCTTTGTCTGAAAAACTTTTCCCCACCACTAGGCCTTCAAATTTACTCTTTTCACTGCTTCAAAGACTTTTTTTTCCTACTCTCTATGTAGCCAAACCTGTTCATCTTCCTGCTCCCAGATTAAGTGCCAAAACTTCAGCATCTGCCCTGGAGCCTCCCCTTCCAATTATAATCTCATAAACCCTAAACTTTTTCTCCATAGCACTTATTATCACTGAAATTATTCGATTTGGGAAGGAAGGGTAACTATTAGCTTAATGTCTGTTTTCCCACCAAACCATAAACGTAATGAGGGCAGTGATTGTGTAATTCTTATTCACCAAGGTATCTTCAACACCTAGTTCAGTATCTGACATTTGGTAGACATTTAATAAATATTTGTTAA